TGTTATACCTAAAATTCATACTCGGGCCCAAAAGTATAGTAATTTGATTTCATGTAAGTGGTTCGTCAGTTAATTTTGAGGGTGATTTGCTTCAATTAAAAGACTTACTAATCATGAACTTTTTAATTAAGAAAAATAGTTATAAGAAGATAAACATGTAAGATACTTCTCTAGCAATCAAGAAAGAAAATGGGAAGTTACAAAAAAAAAAAAAAACATGATAAAAATAATTACGGATGAATATGAAGCATTGTAAAAGATCATAGATGCGCTCGAAGCATATAAGTACAAGTTACAATGAAGAAAAAAAAAGAACACATGAACAATATACAAACAAACTTAATTTGCAAATTACAAAAAACTCGTACAATGCTTTTCCAAATCTCAACATAATTGAAACTTGTTACACTAGAGCTTGTAAATAATAGTTTGTAAGCTCGCAATCATGTAGATAGTAATTCTTAAACAATAATCAAGTAGGCTAATAGGTAGTTTCTACTTATCATATTGTGTTCGCATTTTGTTATAGTGACTCTTAATTCTTGCAAGATTGTTATGTCTAGAGCACTAATTCGTAAAAATTCACCATCCACAATGACTGTAAGCTCTCCCTTTTAAATTGTTTATTGTTAGAATTGCAACCTTATAATTTTGATTTAAGTATTATTAAAACTTCAAGTTTATCGTTTCGCTTGCACCTAAATTATTGTTAAAAATGCACCTTATTTTTTTAGTACATAAGTTGCCTAATCTTCTAGTTTTTAGTCTAAATTTGTTATTTTGATTGCATATCAACTTAAAAGTTTGAATTATTAGTTTACAATAGTTGATATTGTGAATAATTATCCTTGCAAACCTATAATACAACCAGTTTGGGTAGATTTCAGACCTCTTTCGAGAATTTGAAAACTAATTGCAATCCATTTAATTTAAATTTATATAAAAAAAAACACAAAAACATCATTAGGATATGTAGTAAAACGTTTAGAGTAATGAGTTGAACTCGTTTACTATCCAACCGTACTTTTTATCTTTTGTTGTAAATTCTTTTTAGTTGAGGCATGTACAAAAGGACCCATAGAAGACACATGTTAATCGAAGCTATATATACATAATTAAAAAATAAAAAATAAAAAAGGTCTATGTTGTCATATTTTGAAGGAAAAAATGGAAATGAAAAAAAAATTATTATTTAAAAAAAATGAAAGAATACACGAGTTGGTCTCATGCCTAATATGACAAGAGATCAAGTAGATATGTTCAACTAATTAACATTTTGCAAGCTTGCATCCACCATTTTATTTTCTCTCTCTATTTTATTTGTTTTAATTTAATTAATTTTACTTAGTCAATATATTTTTAGCAAAACCTCAATTTAGTCTCGGAGCATAACCTTATTATTGAGTCTCAAATATTTTAAGTTTATCAATTTCATCACAATCGTAATCAATATTAAACAATGTCACACTTTTGTCCCTTCATGGTTAATGATTATTAAAAAATTTCGTCAAATTCAAACATTCCGGACATCCTCATCAATTCTTTCTAAAAAGATGCTAAAATAAAGCTAATATCCAATTCCAACTCCATTATCGTATTTCTAAATGGAAGCAAATTTAAAGACTTTTTTTGTTCTAAAGTTGTATGTATTTCTAAATGGAAGCAAATTTAAAGACTTTTTTGTTCTAAAGTTGTATGTTATGAGTTATTTTGAAATCTCTATATGAGTAATTAACGAGCTCATATAAATTATGTACAATTAGATAAAAAAATTTATTTGTTACGAATATTGAAAAAATAGAAGGATGATATTGTCTAAAATAAATCACATTTGGAACAAAATTGATAAAATTTTAAGATTTGAAATTCAATTAATAACAAGATCATAGTAGGGATGGCAATGGGGCGGGGATGCCACCCTTGAAAATTTTGCCTCATCCCGCCTTGTGTACCGAACGGGGCAAAATTTGTCATACCATCCTCGCCCCAAATGGGGACGAGGATCCCCGTGGGGTGCGACGGGGCAAAAAGAATACCAAATTTTTTTCTATCTTGTCTTCTCCCATTCTACTACCAAATTTCAAACTATAGAAAAAAATGATAGTTCACATAGAAAATAAACCCTAAAAGTCACTAGTCATAGATTTTATATAGGGTATAATTATAATTTTAGGGATGAAAATCATGAAATGAGGTAAACAGGGTGGCCCAACAAATACCATCCCCGTCCCATTCTCGTTCATGGAGCGCCATGCCCAGCCTCGTTCCCCGATCAATGTAGGGAATCCCCGCATTGACCGAGGCGAAATGGGGTGAGGCGTATAGTTCAACTCCTTTTGGATAAAAAAAAGGGATGATAAAATTTTAATTCAACTTCTAGTTACACTCTAATAGATTATGGTTTAAAAAAATGATTTAATGCATTTTTTGCCTTTAAACTATGGAGGTTATCGCATATCAAAATATGTATTATCAATTTGATCAATTTTGACATGAATTATCATGTTATGGATAAATATTATCCCTTTGTTTGATTTTATGGTTATTGTTGAACAAAACCTCTTTTAAAAAAAAATTCAACATATAGTATTTTTAGCTATTTTTATCATAGAGGTTAAGAAAAATTCAACCCAATTTCAAAAATAATTTCATTTTTTTTAAGTAAGAAATTATAACTTTTATTTTTTGAACAATAAAAATTCAATAAATTACGAAGAATAGAATATAAGCTAGAATTGTCTCAAATTTATCGGAAAGCTCTAAGGAGGTAATATAAATTTACATATATAATTTGAGTGATGTTTTTATAGTGATTCTCAAAATTAATATATTTTAAACTTTGGTTTGGTATCATATAATCATGCTAAGATTAAGCGAGATAAAAATACATGATTGTTTTAGGACTTAAAAAAAAAAGATTATTCCAAATTATTTTCTATATTTTATAATTTTATAAATATTTAATGTTTACTAAAATTAAAAATACTTTATTAGCATATGTGAAAATTTTCAACTCAAAAAAATTGAATTTTTAAAAAGAGCTTTTTGGTTAAGAATAACGATCAAATCAAACGGGTGGACAATATCAGCTCAAAACATGAAAATTTAAACATAAAATTGACAATATATGTCTTAATGGATCATAACTCTAATAATTCAAGAGTAAAAAAAAAAAATACCATTAAACCAAAAAAATAAAAATAGAAAGGAGGAGCATTAATATCACCATAGAGTCTCACAAGGTAAGCAATGTTTTTTCTTTTTTATCTCTAAATAATGTGTTAGACCCCCATTCTATTAATTATTAGAAAACAAATCAAATAAGAAAATAAAGTAGAAAAACAAGAATGATCATACAGCACAAAGTTATGCCTACTCTATAGTTGCACTAGAGTTTCTTATTAGGATTTTAGTAAGTGACAAATTCAAATACATAAGATTTTGTCCTTATTTATAAAGTGGATAACTAGGGTTACATTAAAAAAGCCTAACAGACTTATATACATGTCTCAGTATTATGTAGACTTTTTAGCTCCGCTCCCAAGTCCCTACAAAGGGCGTTGTCCCCTTACACTCACATGTTAATTGGCTAACGAGATTGTCATATGCATAGCATCCTAAACTATAAATTTCATACATATTAATCTCTCCAACTTGACATTAATTCCTATTTAGTTGGTTATCTGCATATATTTTGGAAGTGATTAAAAACGATGTGTCCATTGTCGCAAAACAAGATCTAGATAATTTGTTTTTTCATCTTCAGGATTTTAAAAAGAAATCCAGATAATGTGTAGCCAATCGCTTAATTACTTGCTTCCTCTCTTAAAAATTCATACATGATTTTGTCATCTAAGATTTTACTTAGTGACCAATGTTGCTTGGGACCATGCCCTGATCATGGTCACGCAAGCAAAATTGCTCATGGAGACATCACTTCAGATGTTTATGCTAACAATATCCGTGATGATCGTGGTTAGTCAATACTTGTTCCCCGATTTTACAGCAATATATACATGCACACACAGAGGTACACACGCATACAGCCAAACGGTATTATTTGATAAGCTTTTTTTTCACCATTAAAATAATGATATTTTTAGATTAATTTATTCATTAATCAAAATTAAATTATTTTTCGAATATTTTTAAGGAAGCACCACTTCTCATAGCAACTTGATATATTAAAAAAAAAATTAATAATTTTTTTTAAGTGCCAGCACAACTTTTAATATTTAAACCCATAAAATTAAAAAAATAGTCAAATTTCTACAATCACCAGATTCATTAGAAAAAATAAACCATTGTTATAAATATTAAAATCAAGTCAATCAGATTGAATAAACTATCTTTATTGAAATTAGAAAATTGATGAATTTTTTTTTATGCATATTTTGCAGCACCTTATTATTTTGTTTTTGTTTTTTACGGTTTGAATGTATTGAGAGTAATTCCCTAAAAGAAAAGGTACAGCAACTACGTTCATTTTTCAGATTCGTAGATTTAAGAGAATTTTTTTTTTTTTTTTGGAAGTGACAAGGCTTGAACCCTCACCTTTCAATATAACAAAAAGGTATTTTTGGGGAATAATAGAAAGCAAAAAGATTTATTTGAAAAAGAAAGACGACCCAACTAAATCAAAATTAAACAGACTATGAACCGAAGCAACATATATACATATAGCAAACCTGACGCCCACAGGTTGAAGCAGCAGTACAAATTAGAAAACCACCTACTATATAGTACAGAGGGCAATTGTGTCCTTACAACCTTTACCCTTCGAGTAGTAGTTGAAAAAATCGCTGTCTCAGAAGGATAAATCTTCCCTCGAATCTCTCTTCCCTTCCCATTTCTCTCTGTCATTTCTCCCTCCGAAAATCTCTCTTTCTTCCATCTTCTTTCCTTTTTTTTTTCTTTTCTTCTCTTTAATTACTTCAGCTCTCTCTGATCATATCGAGAGAGATTGGCTCTGCTTGTGACCCCTATCAACGTCATCTAGCATGAGAGACCTACAGTTGACCCAGGTGGCTGGCACCCGGCTATTCCCGCCGGCTGTGATTTCCTCCGGCGAAGAAGATGCCGATGACATGATGGAGGATGTTAGGCTTCTTGATTCATATGAAAGCCGTGACTATCATAACGATAATTCGCTTAGAATTGTGATTGAAGAAGATGGTTTGAAGAGAATTCAAGTGAGAGTTACAGGGATGACTTGTGCTGCTTGTTCCAATTCTGTTGAATCAGCATTGAAGAGTGTCAATGGGGTTTTCAGAGCTTCTGTTGCTTTGCTTCAAAATAAAGCTGATGTTGTCTTCGACCCTGCTTTGGTTAAGGTAGGATGGTATTTTTAGTGGTGGCTAAAAAGAAAAATATTACAACTGAATTTTGATTTTGTGTTTGACTATGAATTACGAGATGGGTTATTGTTCGCTTTTTGGAATTTGTAGCTTTTTATAAGTTAGTTGTTAGTTAGTAACTTTGATTTTATGTTGGTTATATTGAATATTTGTTTTGCTTTAGTTACTGGTTTATGGTGCTGAGTTGAATCATATTTTAATGCTATTTTCAGTTTGTGTCTGTTTATTGCTGATGGTGGATTGGAAGTTGTTTTTATAGCGAGTGTTTTGAACTGAATGTTCTAAGTTTTTTAAAAGCTGAGCTGAATGTCTTACTTCGGCTTCTAAGCATTAGATTGGTTTCCTGATAGCTATTGAGTTCGTATGTTTTTAACCACGGCCTAATTTTGGTTTTTTAATGTTCGTTACGGATCATATATTGGATAATTGGTAGACTGGAGGAATTTCTTTATGGCTATAGTACTTCTGATGTTAGAGAAGATCTAAGATGACGTACGTGTCCTAAATGATGTGAAAGGTATACTTTGACATTGCTATTGATAAAGCAGAACAACTGGGAATACTATATTACCACTTACTCGGGACGTATTATGGTTAAAGATTTCTTGCACCTTCTTTTTTATTTAGGATACACTCCGAAAGTTCGACTATCAAATTCTAGGTCCCCATTTCCTGACTACTTTTCTTGCTGGGGTATGGGGGTTTGGTGAAATGAAATCTTCAGGTACTCCAAAAAATTGTGAATTATATGTGTAACGTTCAATGCTTCAACTAAACATGATTAATGAATTTCAAGGTTACGTATTTGTTGCTCCTGAGAAAGGGTTTCCACAGTTGTTGAAAGACAATAGATAAAGGGTTCTCTGAGATGTTTATATAAACGTGAGAGATTTATGTCACACGGTTTCCTTCTCTTTAATGGCTTAAATCAACTGCATGGGCTGTTACTTTGCATGGCTTGACTGCTGTTTATGTAAATGTACTGAGTATTTAATAAACATGTCTTACTACAGGATGATGATATCAAGAATGCAATTGAGGATGCAGGCTTTGAAGCAGAGATTCTGTCTGAACCCATCACATTAAAAACAAAGCCAAATGGAACCCTTTTGGGGCAGTTCACAATTGGAGGTATGACCTGTGCTGCCTGTGTGAATTCTGTTGAAGGCATTTTGAGAGATCTTCCTGGTGTCAAAAGGGCTGTGGTGGCTTTGGCTACTTCTTTAGGGGAAGTTGAGTATGATCCTATTGTAATTAGCAAAGATGATATAGTGAATGCTATTGAAGATGCAGGCTTTGATGCGTCTCTTGTACAGAGCAATCAACAGGATAAAATTGTACTTGGAGTTGCTGGGATATTCTGTGAGATGGATGTACAGCTTTTAGAGGGAATACTGACCATGCTTAAAGGAGTACGACAATTCCGTTACAACCAGATATCCAGTGAACTAGAAGTTCTCTTTGACCCTGAAATTCTAGGTTCTAGATCCTTGGTTGATGAGGTTGAGGGAGGGAGCAATGGGAAATTTAAATTACATGCCATTAACCCTTACTCAAGAATGACTTCTAAAGATGGAGAAACCTCTGTTATGTTTCGACTTTTCATTTCCAGTCTGTTTCTTAGTGTGAGTATTTTCTTAACATGCTAATGGTTTTGATTATCTCTTCAATAGTTTACTTCAAATGCTTTTTTTTTATTTATCTTATCTTATGTTTATGTGTGTGGTGGGGTGGGGTGTGGGGTGGTGAGGGTGTTAAGGTTAGTTTACAATTGGCATCATTATCTGCTTGCTTTTATACACAAGTGTGCGCTTTATACTCTTTACTAGTTTCTTCTAATGGTTGATGATAATTGAGAAGGCATTGTATATTAATATATTCTTCTGGTAATCTTGCTACCATGACATCTTCTCTTAGAACGCTTGGAAAGCTCATTTAGGCATCTGTTTGTTTCTTTGTTGGTCTGTTTTTATTGTTTACCATTGTACTAACTTTGGCATTTTCAGATTCCCATCTTTTTCATGCGAGTAATTTGCCCTCACATACCACTGCTGTATTCCTTACTACTCTGGCGCTGTGGGCCCTTCCTAATGGGTGATTGGTTAAAGTGGGCATTGGTGAGTGTTGTTCAATTTGTAATTGGGAAGCGCTTCTACGTGGCAGCTGGTAGAGCCCTTCGAAATGGTTCAACCAACATGGATGTTTTAGTTGCATTGGGAACTTCAGCCTCATACTTCTACTCTGTTTGCGCACTACTATATGGTGCAGTCACTGGCTTTTGGTCTCCAACATACTTTGAGACAAGTTCCATGCTGATAACATTTGTATTATTGGGGAAGTATTTGGAGTGCCTTGCCAAGGGAAAAACATCAGATGCTATCAAGAAGTTAGTAGAACTTGCTCCGGCAACAGCTCTGCTGGTTGTAAAAGACAAAGGTGTTTTTTCCAATTTTTCTTTTTCTAATTTTTTGTACTTGAGATATGGTTTGGAATGATCTCATTCAAAATTTTATTAATACAGCTATAAACAATATGAAATACACATAATCCCCCTCAACCTTAATCAGGCTAAAAATAATTAAAATAAAGTGCCAAACCATTGAAGAACTAAGTAAATTTTGGTTCATTTTCTAGGTGGAAAGTGCATTGGAGAAAGGGAAATAGATTCGTTACTTATTCAGCCTAGTGACACATTAAAAGTTCTACCTGGTACCAAAGTTCCTGCTGACGGTGTGGTTGTATGGGGCTCAAGTTATGTTAATGAAAGCATGGTGACTGGTGAATCTGCACCTGTTTTGAAGGAAGCTAGTTCATCAGTTATTGGAGGCACGATAAATTTACATGGCGCTCTTCACATACAAGCTACTAAAGTAGGATCAGATGCTGTTTTGAGCCAGATAATTAGTTTGGTTGAGACAGCCCAGATGTCCAAAGCTCCAATTCAGAAATTTGCAGATTATGTAAGTCCCATGTATGTGGCTTTGGCTTGAATTTTTTTCACTACTATTGTCCTTCTGGTAAATGGAATATGTCATCTGCTTTGGGAAAAAACTGCAGTTCCTGCTGCTTGCCTATCCATAGTAACTAAATGAGTTTTCATGCACGAAGTAAAAGTACCTTTGTTAAACACTTTTTTGCTTTCGACAAGATATCAATTATAATGCCACGTCCTTATTAAATTGCCGATCCATATTCTTATGTCCCAAATATATGCTATGCATTATCTTAATTGTCTCTTATTTTGATGTCCAAGGGTCCGATTTCAATTTTGTTAATGTTAAAAATTTGAGCTAGTTTTTTTGGGATGAGAGAGACATAAGTATGATCAGAACATAAACCGGTTTTAAGACTGCCATTTTGTCTTGCTGGAATATTTCGTAGTTCATGTTGCTGTTAGCTCTTGGCTGTTTTTACAAATAATTTGTCAAAGGGATTCTGTATTGCTTGATATACCATCACTAGGCCAGTGTCCTAGGGTTCAGTTAATCTTTTAAAATTTGCAATCAAGTTTTCTTCATCTGTTCCCCTCCACTGAATTATTGGCATTGCTAGATCTCAGATAGAAGGAAACCAATAGGATATTTTAGCTTGTTGGGTTGACGTTACCTGCTAAAAACATCACACTTGTTTCCTGTTTTATATGCATATCCAGTTGTTCCTATTTCTGGCCACTATTGAATCCATAGGTCCGCAATCATTGCTGTTGTTATGCTTATAGACAAGTGTGTAATCAGATACTCTTACTCTTATATTCTTCTTATGTTAGATGTCTATATGAGTTGCAGGTGGCAAGCATTTTTGTTCCTACAGTTGTTGGATTGTCTTTGGTGACATTGTTTAGCTGGTAAGTTCTTAACTTGTTTTGCTTTGTTGATGTGGTATCTTAATTTTTTTAATGGTTGTTTTCTTAAATTTTTTTGGTTAAATATATTCTGTAATTTCTTGTAGGTACATGAGTGGAATTTTGGGAGCTTACCCAGAAGAATGGCTTCCAGAAAATGGCAATTACTTTGTTTTTTCCCTCATGTTTTCAATCTCAGTGGTGGTAATTGCATGCCCTTGTGCACTTGGCCTGGCAACACCAACCGCTGTCATGGTTGCTACTGGGGTTGGGGCTAATAATGGTGTGCTGATAAAAGGAGGAGATGCTTTGGAAAGGGCTCAGAAGATTAAGTATGTGATATTTGATAAAACAGGTACTCTAACCCAGGGAAAAGCCAGTGTTACTGATGCAAGAGTTTTCACTGGAATGGGTCGTGGAGAATTTCTCAGATGGGTGGCTTCTGCAGAGGTGATTCTTTTATTTATTTTTAAATTTTTTTGATAAATGTATCTCTGCATGCTTTGTGTGCGATAATTATGATATGCGTGCACTCACAGCCTACCAGAGCTCAGTTGGTAATGGCTTGGTTTCCCATTTATGGTTTCAAAGTTAGTGCCTTAAATGGTGGTACAGTGGATACCCATAATTTAAAACTACAGGAAAATATGCCATAATGCATTTTGTGACATGCGATGTGTATTTAGGTACTGGTGGGAATCATCTCCTTCCCCCATTCTTTGTTACATGATTATTCAAAAATATAAAGACAATCTCTGATTCGCTGTTACCCTGTTTCCATGTCTCAGGCTAGCAGTGAACATCCATTGGCAAAAGCAGTAGTGGAATATGCACGCCATTTCCATTTCTTTGATGAACCTTCTGCAACCAGCCAAACCCCCAGCAAAGAGTCTACAGTCTCTGGGTGGCTTCTTGATGTCTCAGACTTCTCAGCTCTTCCTGGAAGAGGCGTGAAGTGCTTTATAGATGGAAAACAAGTTTTGGTGAGTTCCTTGGCATAATAAATATGCAACATATATGTATTACAGCTTGAATCTCGAGAAAGATGTTCAATCACTTCTGGAAATACTCATACGATGTGTCCTTAATAGGTTGGTAACCGGAAACTGGTGACTGAAAGTGGAATTGCCATTCCAGACCAAGTAGAAAATTTTGTAGTAGAGCTTGAAGAAAGTGCAAAGACAGGTGTCCTTGTTGCTTTTGATGACGACATAATTGGTGTTTTGGGGATTGCAGATCCATTAAAGAGAGAAGCTGCTGTGGTAATAGAGGGCCTTCTGAAAATGGGTGTCAAACCAGTCATGGTGACGGGAGATAATTGGAGGACAGCGCGTGCAGTTGCTATGGAGGTTTGTATATCTTCTATAATACCTCGTCCATAAATTTTATCCAAAAAATTTGATGGAAGTACCTATTTCCTCAGAAAGGCAATCTATTTTCACACAATTATACACAGTTTGTAGACCCATGACTGAACTGAATGAAACAGTCACTTTGTTGTTGCCCACTCTTCTGTGAAATTAGACACCAACTTTGTGGAAATAGAATCAACCTATTTATATATCCTAGTTCTGATCAATCTTTACCGTTTCCCTTGATTTCACAAGACAATAGAATCTAAAATCCTTCCTTCTTGATGCCTTTGTTTTTCTGCTGTGACAGTATTGGTATCATTTTGATCTTTACTAATAATATATTTTTCAATACTTTACATGACGTGAAAATTTTTGTACTATGACATGTTTTCACACAGTTTTAGTAGTGATTTTACAGTTGATGATGTGTTTAGGAACCAACATGAAACCATTGAAAGTTTTTTAGTTTTGCCGAACAAGTAACTGTTAATTGCTGGCATCATTGCTCATTCCCTCTCATTGGTGCTGTTATTGATAGGCCTCTTTTGGAACCAAAGTGCTTCATCACTAGCTTTGAGTTGGTCATTGTTATTATGCTATATGGCCCTTTATATGCTGCTGATTTTATTGGCACTTTGTCTACTTGTAGGCTGAAAACATATGCGTTTTTTCTTTGTGAAAAATAAAAATCCATTTACATTGGGTGCGGGCTTTATTTTTTGTTGTAATGTAAATAACTTCTAGTTTTCCTTTTATTGTTTGAAAGTTTCTTTCCCCGTTTTCTTTGAAGTTAAACTTGAAAGTCTTGTTGCTGAGCAGGTGGGCATTCAAGATGTTAGGGCTGAAGTAATGCCAGCTGGCAAAGCCGAGGTTATCCACTCATTTCAGAAGGATGGGAGCATCGTAGCAATGGTGGGTGACGGTATCAATGACTCTCCTGCTCTAGCCGCTGCAGATGTTGGTATGGCAATTGGGGCAGGGACGGATATTGCCATAGAAGCTGCTGACTATGTGTTGATGAGGAATAACTTGGAGGATGTAATCACAGCCGTTGATCTCTCAAGAAAAACCTTCTCTCGCATTAGATTGAATTATATTTTTGCCATGGCTTACAATGTGATTGCGATCCCTATTGCTGCCGGGGCTTTATTTCCTTCTCTAGGGATCATGTTGCCACCATGGGTAGCTGGTGCTTGCATGGCTCTCTCATCTGTAAGTGTTGTATGCTCTTCTTTGCTTCTTAGAAGATATAGAAAACCCAGACTTACCACCATCTTGGAAATAACTGTAGAGTAGATCGCGAAAGAAAAAAAAAACTCTAGGTGTCAGATTTGTAGGGAAGAAAAATTGAAAATGGAGATGAAGTGGTGGGTGGAACATAAAAGTCGCAATTTTGTATTCTTTTTTTCCCTCTCCGTCGCTTCTTATACACCAAGGGGCTGCAATTTATCACGTCAAATGTAAATGTACTTGTATAATGTCATCATTCTTGTGTTTTCTCGTGGTTTTCCTATTCAATTTAAAGGGCTTTCTCTCTCTCTCTCTCTCTCTCCTTTTTTGTACTTTTTGAGAGTTTATTCATGTGAAAACAATTTTAGTTTTTGGACACTGAAAGAAGTTCTTGGAAACCATAGCTGGTGACACCGAGTTCGCATTTTCCTCCTGGAATTTTCATTTATAAAACTTGATTACGATTGCTGTGTTGCTGGAGACCGGAAACCTTGGATTTTAAAATTTGAAGTCGGAGCCAGCCAAAAGCCGTATTCTTAATCATCCGTATGGCACAATAGCCTTGTCAACTGGCTTCAAAATCAAAACGGAACTCCTTTTGTTGGTCTGGAAAGATCTAGATAAATCAATAGATTAAGATCGAAGCACGAATACTGCCAAAGTAGCAGCACGCTGAAAACAAGCACGCCAACGCCTAATGCCTGGAAAAGAAGATATTTTTAGCAAAGCCAGAATTGAACTAGTTGGAAAAAAAAAAAAGAAGAAGAGAAGAAGAAGAAAAGGAAATGGATTTGGCTCCATTCAATCTGGTCTTTGACGTGGTGCTTTGATGATAAAGCAAGGAATGTTCAAGGTCTTACTGCCAGTTTGCGAGTGGAATCTTACGTGAAGTTTACATTAATTCAATATGGTACTTACTATGGTTTCTTCAAGGCAATATAATTACAATGCTTTTAAGTTTACGAGATACTCCCTGTGTCTCACCATCATCCTTTTTTATTTTTTATATAGTTTTAAAAAATTATTAATTATTATATTATATTATATTAATATTTTTTGTTCATATTTTCTTAAAATATTTTTTTTCATCAAAATTTGTAGTTATCAAATTTACTCATGCATTACATAAAATTAATATTAATTTAAAGAGAAAATCTATAAAAAATCAAGATGGTAAATAAAAAAAATCATTAAATTAATTAACAATTAAGTTTAAAATAATTATGAAAAATAACATATTAATGTCAATAGTATACTCTCAAAATTTTGGCATGCTATAAAGTTCCTGTAAGATTAAAAATTTTTCATGTAAGAAAATTTTCTTTTGAAATTTTCATGTTAAATGTATTTCAATGTATAAAGAAAAAGTATAAAGAATATTGATTTTTTGTTAGTGAAGAACATGAAATAGAAGAAATAATTGATTTTCTTTATCAGTTATAGATATTTTAGAAAAATATATTATTTAAAATTTTGATGAGACAAACATTTTAGGATAGAGAGAGTAATGAAATAGTGTTTTATACGAAATAAATGTAAATATTTATTAGTTCGTAATCATTTACAAATGGTTTATTTATAATTAAACTAATAATTCTTTTCTTGTTTAGGGTAATAACTTTTTTCGTTGAAATTGTACTTAATTATTCATAATCATTATAATTACAAAGCAATAAGTAAATTATGAGAAAATAAAATATTTTTTTATGATTTATTAATGAATTTATTTAACAATTTGTAATCACTTAATAGTTACGAAGTGAATAGTATTTATTTTTCATTTGAAAAGAATAATGTAACTTTTGTGTTGTAATTATATGTATAAAAAAATTGTACAATAATATTAGTAACCAGCATAATTACAAGATAATTAGTTAAATTACTGAATTATAAGATAATTTGTTACGTTATAATAAATAAAAAATATTTAATAATTCGTAACTTGAAGGCGCTTGCAGTAATCAAAACAAGCCTCATTCAATATATCTACTTTCTATATACAAACTGAAGCATGTTATCTTTTCTTTTTCTTTTTTTTTTTAAAAAAAAAAAAAGAAAAGAGAAAGAAAAAGGAATTTAACGTGTTTGAAAAATTCTTTACAAATGAAATTTTGAAGAGGATCGAAGGGTTTCCAACATTTGCACATCTATGAAGATTGTTTAACTTTTAGTAATTCTACAATTTGATTATTCACCATATACGTGTTCGTTAAAAATAGCATTATGAAGGGTGGAGGGAAAAAAAAAAAATTAAAAGATTCCTCCATAAACTCTGTTTCTTTATATCTCTCTAGTCTTTAGTCTTTACTATTTAGTACGTACGTAGATTTATCCTGATCTTTTTTAATTGAATGCAATAACACTGTACGTAAAAATAGAGGAATTACAAAATCACATATGATTAAAAAAAGTCTTTAGTTTGGAATTGAAACTTGTAGGAGAAATATTAATGAATAATTTTTGCGTAATATTTGCACTTCTTGGCATGGTTTTTCCTTTTCCTTTTCTTTTTCCTCAAGCTTATTTACAATGTGATTTTAAAATTTCATTTATTCACAGAATTGACTGAGGGAATTATGTGATGATTAGATTCACATGCACAACTTATATAATTTAACAAAAAGTTATTAACTTTGGAGAATTGCTGAATAATGTAAATTCCATTCCGTATTATAAACGTGCAAGCGTATTTAACGAATTAATTTACTTTTAAGTTAATAATTATATTTACGATAATCATTGAATACTAAGTGCCAAAAAATATTGATTAAATTTGAATATTGTTATTACTATTATTTTATTTTGAAGACTGGAAGCCATATGAACCATGTGGGCTTTGACACATGGTAGTGTAAAAAGCAATGGATAAGTGGGAGAAGCAAGAAATGCTGAGATGGTAGTATAAAATGATTGATTGAAGATGGGTGTACTTTCTATATATGGGGAAGAAGCAGCAACCTTGACATGATTCCAAAGTGCCAGAAGCACAAATGGATCGAATCAAGATTGTTTAAGTTTGAGATCGATGAAAGATATAATGTGCGTATATTATATAGACCAGGTCAAACCCAAAAAGGTTGGTTGCCCATATATTTATTCATATAATTCAACTGGCATCAGAAAGATGATAAGTTTGATCTTTGAAATTGTATCTTGCCTTCCTCATGTTTGTTTGACTTTTCTAACCGGCTTTTGTTATGCAACTACCTGTCCAGTCAAACTCCACACTTTATACTTCAGCTGTCCTTTCACACTGCAATTAAAGAAAGAAAGAAAACCCATATAGTTCGAAAATTTCCAATGTTGCCCTTCTATTTCCAAAAGTTCCAATTTTTGCTCCTAACCATTAAATACATAACTTTTTTTTTTAATTTCGTTTTTGATTTTTTTTTTAAAGGTTTCTATGAGGGAGTGTAACATTTATGGGGATTTGAGAAGGAAAAATGTGAGAATAAAATATGAAAAAAAAGTGAGTGAGATTTTTGTTAGTTCTTCAGAAGTAATTAATGGCAAAATTGAAACTTTTTAAATAATAATGGGGGTAAATTTGCAAAATACTAAACTAATGGGGTTAGAAGTAGAGCATTGAAGAATCTAGAAGGGGAGAATATATAGTTTAGAAAAAGTGGAAATTGATATATCATGCCAAGTCTTGGATCGCAATCATAGGGGTACTAATATATACTATATGTTTTCAATTTCTGAAGTAATCACTTTGAATGGGATTGTAATAGAATTGACTTGTAATAGTCTTTTGTTTTTTGGAAAAAAAAAAAAAAAAACTCTAGCAGATGAATACAAGGAAAAAAAAAAAAAAAAGGAAAAGATCATCAATTGAAGGGGAAACTTGTTGGGCTTTCTGGTTAAACTATATCGTCTCCCTACCCTACAAACATGGCCATTGGTAAATGGTAAGGACGTCAAAGTTGACCATTAATCAATGAATAATAAAATCCTTTCAGACATTATTATTATAGATTTGGAAAATGAGGTTTGGTCAAAACTACATCTCTTACACTTGCTTTGCAAGCTAATTGATCCTTAAATTTCCAGGTAGGTTCCTGACTGCTAATTAATCCTTAAATTTACGGAGTAGAGGCATTGTTTTGGGAATTTGGTTTAAGTGGGAGCATAATCCCAGCTAGCCAATCCGTTTAAAGAAAATCAGAATACATCAATGCCTACGTCACAACCTCGATGCCATCAACAGGTTGGTATGTGAAGATGAGAATTGATTATTCTGACGATACTGTTTTGGAGGAAAGTGACAGCACAAACTAATTGATGTTCTGAAGATTAATGACAAGTCATCAATAGGTAGGAAATTCGAATATTGAAGAGGGCATTCTCATCGAACCCATCATCCATTTGGTGCGTAGCTTCATTCATTAATTAATTCTATGTTCACATTGATGATTATATGAGCTGGAAATTCCAACCAATTTACATTGTGGATGCATTCCGCAGAAAAGAAGATCATGATATTAATGAATTATTCAACCTGTACACATGCTTTTTATTTTTTAGATTAATGACAAATAATTATATCAATACAATATGCTAATTAAATAATTAAGTAAATTTAGAGCGTTGTAATTAGGAGTAAATTATAAATCAATCCTTTTAGTTTTACAAAATAAATTAAATCAAATTAGTTTAGTCTCTTAATCAATACTGATTATAATTGATTTATAATTATTTTATTCTAAAAAAATTATCATCAAGCTTTTTACATTCTTTTGCTTTTTTTATTTATTAAAAAATAAGTTACAAATAGATTTAAAAATATAAAAATTAATTAATTAGTTATTGAAATTAGATGAACTGTTTAATTTCTTTAAGAAAAAATAGAGGGACTAGTTTATAATTTACTCTTGTAATTAGATATATATAACATTACAAAAGGTGAACAATCCATTAATCGGTCCATCCTTATATACAAGAGTTTTTGATAATTTGATAAAAATAATCTTTCTCAATCTAACTAAACTACGCTTTTAATTATATCAATGAAAGTTTATTAATATTGCTAAGAAATTGATAGAAAACAAAACAAAAAGGGAAAGTGGAATAGCTCTTTACTTTTTCTTGCATTGAATTTGAAGGTGCATGTACGTTATCAGGTTTCAACCCACTACGATGTCTGATTCTAGTCAAAAGAGAATTGGTTGGTCATTCTTAGATATACGATCCATTCAACAGTATGTTTGGTTGAATAATCAAAGGCATGCACTACCTTTGGAAATGTATTCAAAACTAGGAATGTTAACTGTTTGGTGAAAATAAAAAATCGAATAATCGAATTGAATTGTATTAAAATATTAATTTTGATATTTTTTAAATTAAAATAAAAATTTAAATCGAAATAATTTTATTTTTTGAGTTTGGTTTCGATTTTTCTAAAAAAAAAATTAATCAAAAAATAAAATTTTTTAATATATATATATATATATATATATATATATATATATTAAGTTAGATCGGTTAGTATTTTCCTAAATTGAAAAACCTTTCTCCACTGGATGCACTTCCTCTCATAGCTTCGTACGTGCTCTTTTTATCTCGTTATAAGTATGAATGTTCATAAAATAACAAAGATATTGATAGATTTTTTATCTTCTCATATTTAAACTTTTTTTAATAGACAACTTATTATTCGTTTATCTATTAATGTATTTGTTATTTTTTTGAACGTAGTAGTACACAAAATAAAAAGAAATGCATTCTAAACGAAGATTTCAAAAACTTTAATAGAATTAATCATTTGTAGAAAAAATAAAATAAAATAAAATAGATAAAAATTGAATTACTGAACATCGAAATCGAACCGAAAAATCGAATAACATTTCAGTTCGGTTTCGATTATTTTTTTAAAAAATCAATTAACCAAAATCCGTCTAAAATATTTCGAAATCAAATCGAATAACCGAGCCAACACCGCTGTTCAAAACTGATACTCCTTCAGTATTTTCAACATCATTCTGTGTACGCTGTAAAACTGTTTCGAAAAGGCCATGCTTTTGGTTTTTCAAAATAAAAGACTAGGTATTTGATTGATGGATATATGCATATGAGGAGACTTGATGTAGAAGAAATAAATAAGGGAGAGGTGGTTTGATTTATTAAGCACTGCTGGATTATTTTGATGATTCTATATTAATTTAAGCAAAATTTTATGACCAAGAAGCTCAGACCATCTCGAATCACTCCAAAGATAACCTACTGTAAGTCTGGAGGTGATGCTAACTCTGATATCGTGATCTCATTGACAACAACAGATGTTGCTTCCAGGAAACTACACTTGCCTCGGTCTTTGTCTCTCTCCCAAGGAATCGTCAACAGTATGTACATTTACTTTGACCAAACATTGTCTCCTTAGTATATAGATGACTCTAGGTTTATATTTATTCCTTTCCATACTAAATAGCACAGTTTAATACAGTATCAGACAGAGAATTAAAGAGTACAACCAAAGCCACCATGAGTGACACTGTGGCTAGTTCATCAAGTGATTGGGTGCAACTCTATGAACAATCCAATATTCATGGACCGGCAACATCTTCCTTTGGATTCTCAGATGCCCGGAGTGTCGCAACGAGTGGTGCATCTGATATCATAAATCCAAGCAGTTCAGTTACATCAAGTACTGGTGATCAGACGTTAACCTCTAAAGGTTTTCTGCCGAAGCCAATCAAAAGAAGGTCTAGAGCTTCTAAGAAGACACCAACCACCCTCCTCAATGCCAGCACTGCCAATTTTAGAGCCTTGGTGCAGCAATTCACTGGCTGTCCTAGTATTTCGGTTGGGGGCCAGAAGGGTCCAATCAACTTGAATTTTGGACTCGGGAGTGCACAAAATCATAGCTATGCGCCTGCAGAAATGCCTCCGTTTGACAACGGTTATTATCATACACAAGCTCAGATGCAACAACGACAACAGCCGAGGCAAAATGTACATCAACTGCACCGGGACCAAGGATTACTTGATAATCTTCCTAATAGTAATGCTTATTTCTCAGTGTCTAATGACCTTGGACCTAATTTAGATATGCTAGCTGATGATGGGCTTTTGGATATGGACGATATTGCTTTGCAAGAGCTTGCTAAGGAGTCTTTCTCCCACGAAACTATGGATAATATTGATTGCTTTTAGGGATAGTTAACCATATACTAGATGGGGCTTTGTTGGTAGAATCTCCTTTTAGAGCTATATTGTATGTTTATCCATCAATTTCCCAGGCCTGTATGCAAGCAGGGGTATATTTGCTGTTTTATTAATTGCTCATCCAAATAATAAAGAAAAGGAATTAAGAGTAAGACTGTACTGATTAATTTGGACTTTTTTGTTTCAAATCAGAGTAGGATGGAGCTGAAATTTAGTAAATAGTGATACCGAAGTTATAATTAGCTTCAGGCTAATTGGTAAAACATTGCACTAGAGTTTTGATCAATTGAAACTTTAACCCTTTATTTATCTGATTTTGATCCCTTAGGCCTTAATTTTCTGTTTTTTTTTTTTTTAAAGATTTATCCACAAATTCTGTTTTTATCCATTTTTGTATGGTTGTATTTAAAGGGTGTTGTTCCTAGCATACAAAAGAAACATAATTAAATAATAAAAATTAACATAATAAATAAATAAATTTATTGTAAAATAAGATGGACAAAAGAATTGAAACTTTTTATTTTGATTGTCAAAGAATTCGAGATCAAAATCACATTATCATGTTTTATAGTATAAAGATGATCGAGTCAACAACAGAACTTTATACAAGAATTTTTAGGTGATCTGTCTCGAGGCACAATCAGATTGCTTTCTTGAGACAATATGCGTCATTCATAGAATTTATCCGATGCAACAAATCAAGAATATATTATACGGCATATCGGAGATACAACAAGCCTAGCCATCTTGTTATGTCTTAATAAATTTACGCTATTTATAAGACTTGAAACTCTAAAAATAATAATACCACTTTTATCCAAATAAAATAAAACAATATGGCTTTTGATAGGAGGATAAAAATTTCAAAATAAAAGAATTATTTTTATGTAAGCAATATATAAGATTGCTATATATCTCTCTCCAAAGCAAGAAAAAATGCAATTATTTTTTTCCTCTACACCATGTAAGAATTATTGTTGTTGTAAAATGAGAGAAATGACTCATATATATATATATATATATAAGAAAAAACAAGAGACAGAGATGGCCGTTTGAAGAAAATTAAAAGCATAAATTAAAACTCAATAAAAAGCAAACGGTAAGGAAACATTGTAAAGCCGTTTTGCAATTGAAAGTCAAATTAATGTCAAGGCCTTTTAATTGAACATAATAAGACTTTTAACAGTTTCAAAATAGTACAATGTTATTGTTTTGAAACTTATGTCCTTATTTATTTTTAAATAAATATTTTGTTAAAAAATATTCCAACAATCCCTCATTTATTTTTAATAAAATATCAGTCATATTTTCGAATAAGAAAACAAACATAATATATAATAAGGATACTAATGATTTGAACCCTTAGTATTTCAACAATATTTCTCTCAAGTGAATAGAAAACTTTGTCTTAAACTAAGGCTTTTTAAATAAAAAAAATATTGTATCACATATATTATAGTCAAGTACTCTACGATGAGTTTCAAAGCTAGTACATTACGGTCTTATTCTTGATCTCGACTTCTATGAGTGTTCTAAAGAATTAACCCTATTCTCATAGGAAGTGGTCTCACTTCCTCACTCATATAGGCGTGCCTATCAAGGATACTCTCATAACTCTAACATCCTATTAAAAAAAAAATTATAGGCCACATTAAAAGTTTCATTGAAAGAAACTTAACCTCTTTTCGTTATGGGATTCATGCACTACACCATAGGGATAGACATATAAGCATTGTAACTTAAATATATTACTCATGTAATCAAACCACTCTATGCTCGTTCTTCTCTTTTAATCTAGTTCTTAGGATCTCCAATCCTTAGGTAGAGTATCCACATAGATGATTTTATTTATTTATAAGCTTAGTCTCATCTCTCTCGATGTATCATCCAATCCTTTGACTTTAGCTACATATTTACTTCTACAATATTCAATATACACCCAAAGGATTAGGTAACTAGTACTTAATCAATTTATTAGTGCCAAGACAAGTGGTAGGAATTGCTCATCCTTACTATTTTTTCTCTAGAAAAAGACTAACATCCCCTAGCTAGTTTTTTTATTGGCTTTAGGTTTTTAGCTAATTTAAGTTTCACCACATATACATGAGCCAATTATAACTATATTTATTTTTCACATCACCATCATTGTGCTAAAATATGATGACATCATTGTATTTATAATACAATAGAAAATATCTAATATAATCACGTTGAAGTGAATAAGGATATTTTTCGATCTCTAGTTTCTCATATAAATTTAACATCGTTGTATCTAATCTATACAATAGGAATGTCAATATTTAGCTAGAGATTTAAAATTTTTAAAATATCACTAATTGTCTTATTAGAAAATGTTATTACAACACTATTGTAACTTAATTATACAACATGAGTGTCTCTAATTTTTTTTTATAGATAATATTATCAAAACACTATTGTACCTTACAATAGGAATGTCACTAATTCCATCAATTCTCTCAACATTTTTACCAAATATTCCATAAAAATCATTATACCTTTTGTATAATAGGAATACTTTTACCAAATATTTTATAAGCATCATTATACCTTTTGTATAATAGGAATGCTTTTATAAATATTTCCAATAACTTCACATTAAAAATTTACATGTGACAAAAAATTCAAACATCATGAGAAAAATTATGATAATTTATCATCATGAAAGAATTATGATAATTCATTTTGAATTTCACAATAATTTTCTCAAAAAAATTTAATGCAATAGTATTTTTTTTATGCCCTCACTATTCATATAATAAATAATTTTCTTGCTACCACTCGTAGATGCATTATTGTATTATTTCATCATCGGCATTCATAATTTATTATTGTGGCTAAACAATTAACAAGATATATATATTTTTTAAAAAATAAGATAATATATCAAAATTTTATTTTCACATAAAAAATAATATATGAAAAGTTCGTTATTAAATCATGAATCTTTATTTTCCTAATAATCTACTAACAAGATTATTATTTTCATGGTTGTTTATATTGCCACAATCAAGGAAGGGTGTCAAACAATTTCAATATGAGTCACATAAAAATATTTAAAATACAATTGATCTTAAATAAATTAATATTTGACTTTTTCAAGTCTTAATAAAACAATCATGTGAACCAATATTAATTTATAAACATTCAATAACAAGAATTTATATGAAAATTCATATTTCCCCTGTCATTTTTTTTTTAATTTTGAAACACAAGTCTAAAATTACTTGTAAATATAATTATCTCATACTTTCATCATCAAAAGTAAATTTCAAATATATAGGATAATAATAGTAAATTTTTTTTAATAATTTGACATTTAGAATACTTACTTGATTTTTTATACTTTATTTTTATATAGTAAATACCATTGGAGACTTGAAATATTTTTATTGGCCAAGCTTTTATTGCCTCCAATGCCACATAAATTTGATTTCTTTACCTTTACATCCAATATAGTAGATCCATATTAATTACTCGGATATATTTTCTTCTATAGCTTCTCGTTTATATCGATCACATGACATCACAACACAACAAGTATTTTTAATGTCAATTATCATTGAACAATATAAATCAATTTATAAATCATTCTTCAAATTATTTAAATTTGTATCAATAATAAAATTCATACAAATAAATTAACAACATGATCATCACAAATATTAATTTTCAACACTATCAATATTATTGATCTTGAATAATAAATTGAAAGGCTTACAAGTTTTTTCAAATGGTTTAGCCTTGATCGTCTTGCTATCACTATGTTACCAATATCATGGAACAATTTTTGTCCGTTAGCCATAGAGAAATTGTTCTCCTAGAATGTTGAACACATAATAGTAAATGAGGTAGTCATTCTAATAATTGGAGGTTTTGTATCTTGACATAAGCCATCGATTCACCCTCAACGACCTATTTTGAGAAATCTCGGATGTCTTTCCTCTTGTTCCATGGCTGGTTGATGGTCAAGATCAATGGTCTTGCCACCGTTTTGATCGATCCGAATTGATAAGCATAGAGGTTAGGATTGTAAGCTTTAGCAAACACCTCATCTCGAAGAGAGTAAGTCAAATCTCGACTTACTAAAACTACACCCTGCATCGATTGCTCACCGAGTAGAAAACTATATTTTGTCGAGCAATTTATTTAAGCAAAACCACAATAGTTCATATCTCGTGTGTATGAAAGGACATCCAACCTTTTAATGTACCTCGGACACAATTAAGGTCAAGGATATGCCTCAAAGCATTTGAAAGGGTTGGAGGTTGATAGGGTGCCTAATGTATAAGGGAGTGACCATAGTTATCCATGTTTTCTTTAACATAGTGAGGTCAACCCAAAATTAGAAAATAAAACTCTCTCCATATCTAGACAAACCAAAGACAACAAGATAAAGTCTTGAGCCTATTGGTTGATGCATCATGAAGCCTTGCATATGCACGGACAAGGAAAAGTGGACCCATGAGAACTCTGCTCGTCCCATTAAGTGAAGCTAAATTGATAGCCTAAGGCAAAAAGGCTTTGATTGGTTTCTTTGACTTTAAACCAACATTGTATTTATAAATCCATAAGAGATAAAAGTCGATCTCTTCATCATGAGATATTTCAATCCCCTCTCCACATCGATCGACCGGATATCCATAAACTTTGGGAAGCCTATTCTCTTAGGTTTCGAGGTCTCACAGCATTCACCTTGAAAGTCCGGCCGATTGGATATAAGCAAGTGATGGCCATAACATCATGGACATGTGTCATTCCGGAAATTAGAATCGGCTTGACACAAAGATTCCAAAAAGCAACCATGCCGATCACTAAGCCGAATTTACAGAGTAAGAGTGGATCGATAAAAGGATGGCCTCGTGAATCCCCATCGTATCCCATTTCTTGCATAATTATGGGATAAGCCTCTTCTTAACCCAATCTTCATATTTTGTGTCTAGTTTTTGGCCAAATGATAGGGAAAGTCTTGACGGATTGTGTCTAATTAATTTTGAAGATCTACATAAGATTCGAGCAAAAAGAGAATGTCGGTTTCATAAGTCTTCGGGAAGGCCATGTCGATCATATCTACAAGATGAATGACTTCGGTGTTGATAATGGGGCTCAACATCCGATAAGAACTCTTCTCTCGGTTTCTTCATATAACTAATCACAAAATCAATGATGTCGTTATCGGTAACAGTTTGAAACAATAATGTGTGTTAATCATACCTATTTGTTCGAAGAGTTTGTTTAGTTGATAGCAATCCCCTTGGAAGGTAACCTTCTCTTCAATAACTTTCTTTAAGGATTTAACATTTTCCTTTGGAGCCATCTTTATAAAGAAAATGAAAGAAGACTTTAATGAAAAGAAGAAAAAATGTTTGATAAAATGTCGAAAAAAGGCAAAGTTTTTTGTTTTGCAAAACCTAGCAGAAGGGTAAATCACCATAAAAGTCAAAATGTTGAAAATTATTTCCTTTTTATATGATATATTTCAAGGGTTGTGATGGTTGAGGTGAAAGGTTTGACGATTCGGATACGGTAGGATGAAAGCCAATGACTCGTTAGGTAATAGAGACATGAAATGATTACGGATAGTCGTTTAAGAAATAGAACGACGTGAAGTCTAATCAACATTTAATGTTTTGCCCATTACGGAAGGAATTTTTTTCATTTTATTTCTAAAGGGCTAAAAGGAGGGCATGTGTTAAAATTCAAGATCACACGTCGATCGGATATGACATCTTCTTATGAAAAAACAATAAAATAAATAGAACGATGCATTTTGGTCTTATAAACCAATTAAATTTCGACTAAGCATTAAGTTTTAAATGAAACGGTTCATTTGGTCTTATAAACCAACCAAGTTTCGACGAAGTATTAAGTTTTTAAATGAAATGGTACTTTTGATTTCATAAACCAACCAAGTTTCAACGGCGCTATAAATCTTAAGTAAAACAATGTGTTTGGTTGTATAACTAACCTAGTTTTGATGAAATCATAAGATTTAAGTAAAATGGTGTGTTTGATCCTATAATCAATCAATTTTGACGAGATGATATGCCTAAAGGAAGCAAAGGGATAGTTACCAAATAACTGTTCTTGCTTAAATTTAAATACAATGCGATTGTCAATCAAAAACTATTTAAGGAAGGGGGACCAACGGAATTAGGGACGATCAACAATCAACAAGATTAAGACTTTTCCAATACAAGTTTTTCTAATTTCTTTAGTTTATCCTATACCAATTAGATTTTACTTTCCTATAAGTAGTTTGATGGCTTTTTACCGCCTTTAGCAATTTTATCTTTGTATTTTAGGAAGTGTTGATCCGTCAACAATTGTGAACAAATGACTTTGAATGACTCGACGACTAATGATGTAAGTGTTATATTTTTCGATCTATAATGTTTATATTCTTTCTAATGAATTTTGTCTTTTTCAATTGATAAAATTCCTTTTACTTTATTACATTTTTTTTAAATTGAGTATCCATGGAAAGTCCTAATGGCTTGTTAGGCGAAACTAAGGCCCATATCATGTCATCGCGAAGGTCTTGATTATAAACCAAAGTGTCGATATATTCTATTTTAAGATTAAATTCGACAAGTTTTATGGATGTCTACTTTAAGATTATTCTAACAAGGGAGTTGTTCCTTTTTTGTTCCTTTTTTTTTTTTTTTTTGGCAAAACTTGCCTTACAGTGCCAAGACTGTGATGACAATATTTAACTACAACAGACTTGTAAGTTATTTCCCAATTTCTTCGCATGAATTAGTTTACTGCATAAATTCATCCAGCAAGATTTAAAAAAATATATATATATATAATTTAAGCTGTCATCACTTACTGAACCAGGTTAATTATGAGAGTAACAGTGTATAATTTGGGATTAGATATGAAGGACGCTATTATGAGTCTACCATCTCATCCTTAAATTAAGTGAATTAACATAAGACACAGAGATAAAATACAGTAAGTCTTCACGTGATGTTGTATAGTTATGATTTTTTTTTTCAACTTTTATTTATTGGTTTAATTTATAAATAGGATGGTAAACTAAATTTTCTTAATAATTCTCAATAACTGCTATACAAAATCCTAAACTCACTAGTTGTCCTACACTATTTTTATTTTTCATTTTTTATTTTTCCTAGACGTGATCCGACATACAATAGATAAGAGGAGAATTAAATAAAAAGAAAACAGCCAATAATAAAATGACTTAACAAAGAAAAAAAAAGACAGCAAATAAAGAAAGAGTAAATTATAAATAAGTCTTTTTAGTTTTGAGAAACAAATTAATTAGTACTCCTTGATTTATAAACTAATTATTTGATTCTTATATTTTAATTATTTTTTTTTGTAACTTAATCATTTTTGCTTTTTTCCAATTTACTTTGATTTTTCACCTGAAGGAAAAAAAAAGTAAAAATATAGACAGATTGATAAGATAAAAAAAAAATTATAAATAAAATAATATTAAGTTAAACCTGTTAAGAAACTGAATATTTTTTCAAACAAAAAAAATTAAATAATTTATTTCTCCAAAATAAAATACTAATTTACTCAACAAAGAAACAATGGGAGCTAAACAAAGAAAAACACTCTCCAAACAGCCAAGTGTAGCTATGGCCACTTCAACCAGACTCCTCAGCAAAAAAGAAAAACTTCGTGTCTAATAAAGAAAAACTCCAATATTTCCCAATAAGCACACACAGATGACAGAACACAGCCATCACACCATGATGAGATACCTTAGCTATTTAAAGCGTGGTCAATATGTATTTGATAAAATTGGCGTACCCAAATCTGATGGCTTTAATTATTACAAGCACTCGATGAGCTCTATAGATTCAATCAAAACGACCATAAAAGGGCAAGGAAGGGAAAACAAAAAACAAAAAGAAAGGTGGACTTACATTTACTTGGTTGAACTGATCTCGATTCCTTGTTCAATGTAACAACCAAGAACAGAGCCCTGAAATTATTAAGTGCCAGTTTTGTTAGAACTCAAATCATGAGCAGGTTTAAAAATTTACATAAATTTACGTAATGGATGCTTCAATCTAAAAGCAGCAAACAAGCTTCACAAAACTTCTTATCTTAATGATGAAAAATGTAAATCTACAATTGGATGATTAATAAATCACAACTTTTAGAATATTGGAATGAAATATGTTGAGAGACTTAACTTGTTATACATCGAATTGGGAACTGAATTCAACGAAATTTGATGAGCACTAATTGGGTGGATTGGAGCAGTCTACAGAAGCATTGATCTAGGCGGCCGTTTGAAGGAGGTTGGCACGACTTTGTACTTGCTTAGTAATTAACATGTGATGTAATTTTCTCTCTGAGACCGATGGGATTCCCGTAGGGTTTTTTTTCTTACAAAAAAAAAAAAAAAAAGAAAAGAAAAGGAAAAAATAGGAATGCAGAATTACTTATGCATGCATAAAATCTTAATAAATACAACAACGCTACAAATAAAAACACTTTACAACTTCCAACCGTTAACCGAGAAAATAGAAACTGTGTAACAAACACCAGGAGAGTAGCTCAATCGAACGAACATAGGTAAAGTCTCTGATCCAGGATCAGTGGAGTTTCCAACTGAGAATGAAGCAGAGTAATTGCGATTTCAACAAGTCGAATCGGTGAAGGCCCTAGCCCCTGAGGCCTAAACAAGATTTTCATTCGGCAAATATCGAGATGACTACAAGGGCCATGGGTCGTCGCCAACAGACTTTAGAAGATAAAAGACCTGAATGAAAAGACAGGTGAAAAAACCGAATATAAAAAACTTTATGGTGCTGCTGTCTCTACGAAATGCTAAAACAACCTTTGAAGCCGGAAAGCGGATTAGATATATAAGACTGCTTTAAGTTGTTCATTTTCAATGTTTCACGAGAAAGGCGGTAGTAGAGCTGAGTTAGAACACCATGAACCAGGGCCAGGCTCGGCAGAAGGGGATGCAGTCTAGTTTCTGAACAACGAAATAACTCTTTTTTGCTGCTCAGCCTGTAATATACAAGGACATCTGCAAAGCGACAACCGTAGCGAACTATATTGAAATCAGAATGGAGACCAAAGTTGTAGCCATAAAAATTTTGAACTTCTACAAAAATGGTTTCTAGCTTTCAATCAAATATGAAGCCATAACATCTCTGTCTTAACCTTTGATAGTAGGCAATTAGCTGCTTCAAATTTGAGCACAACCCTGTCAAGCCAGTCAAGTTCTGCTTAAATCCCATCGAACATTTTCTCTTTTCTAGAAATACCTAGGCAAATGACGGATCAGAAAATCTATATCAACAAAACCAGAAGAACACCATAAGATTGTATTTTGACTATAAAGAAGCCTGGTTCATAGTACATCGTATGAAACTATGAAAACTAATACCAGATAAACATCAAATCAGCAGTTATGTTGATACACAAACTAGAAATGCAATGCAGTTTAGAGAAGGAAATCGTTCAATATTAACACACTCGGATGATGCTCTCAAATCATCAGCAATGAAAAAAAAAAAAAAAATCCTTCATTTAAAAGCATCTGCCTGTATAGTTACATGTGAGAGCTATGCAGAAACATACAGAAATGACTAGTGTCTGCTAAACAACCATCTATTAAGGGGAAAAAAGGTACGAATTATAAAGCACCATTGGTCTTGGGAATGACAATGTTAAGCACCCCGTCATTCATAACAGCATTAATCTTATCAACCTCATACTCACTAGCAGGGATATAAAATTTGCCTGAATAGTTTCTAGCACCATGAAAAGGACCCTTATCTTTCTCTACACCTTTGAAATGCAAAGTATTGTTTTCAAACCACACCCTTACTCCTTTGCTTCCAATTCCAGGCATGTCAATCCTCACACACCAACTATCATCTTCTACTTTCACATCATATGGAAGTTGATTTCCTTCATCTTGAAAAGGATGCCAGTAAAGCACCTCCCAAAATTTTGGGCTGACTTCTGAAATTAAGCATGTTCCAAAACACAAATAAAGAAAATATTGATTAGAGGGAGGCATTACTAGTCCATTTCGATAAAAAGCTCTGGCTCAGCCATTGTTAGCCGCCATGCTCTTGAAACAACAATGATTACCAGGGGTAGGTTTACAAGTCAGATTTATGTATAATTCAAAATGAATAATACTATTTTCTCTTAACAAACTCTCCCAAAAAAAAATTCTACAAACACCACAGCAAAAATCATGTACTTTGAACATTTACTCCTAACATATATCATTTTCCGTTAGAATTTTATCTAAATCAAATTAAAAAGAAATAAAAAGAGTCGATACCTTCGCTTTAAAACTCAAAGGGAGAACTAGAACTTTATCATATAAATAAAAGATAATCCAAGGGCTAATTAATAAAATATATCAAAGAAATGTTCTAGTACTCGAGAAAATTAGCAAGTTTAGGAGATAAAAGTGAAATAACCCTCAAAATAAAAGGGTAAATATTTTGAAAAGAAATTCAAGCTTGGCCAACTCAATGATAAGTTTTTTTAAACCCTAAACTCAAACATTAAGAAAAAATTGCATGATTTGCCCCAATTTATCACTACTAATTAACAAAAAGAGAGTGATAAGAGATGATAACCTGGATGATCATCCTTAATTTTTTTCTCATATCACTGACCATCCGATGTGCTGTCTTCGTGAGAGTTTCAAAGGCTTCACGATTATCGAAATTCGGAATTTGAAGATCTGACAAGCAGTAGTAAAACTTCATCAACTATCACTCTTACTTACAGTGCACCAAAAAACTAATAAATAACAAAAATTAGTAATAATTATAACCTGGATTGATGGACATTATTTTTTCCTTCATATCATTGATCATTCTTGCAGCTTTCGTTGCGAAAGTTTCCATATCTTCATTTTGTTCAAGGTTTTGAGTGGAATCGGCTGAGTCATCTTTGGGTGGAGCGCTAAGCATGGAGTTGGTGGCATGGAAAGAGCGAGCGACGGTGACTGTGGGGCGAGGATGGCTCAAACGGAGGAGTCTGGAGATGAGTGTGGATCTTGAGAAAGCCATTACAGGGGGTTATTGATTTGACGGAGGGTTTTATTTATTTTTGAGAGGGTTTATGCAATGTAATTATGTGATGATGAAGCAGTTTTTTCGGGTAATCAGATCGGTCGCTCTCGCTCTCCATAAAACGATTTGATTTTGGGCCATTGAACTCTTAGAGGCCCAATATATACAAATTTAAGATGTTCATAATACTAGCCCATGCAATTCTCAGGCCCGGTTGAATTTTAGCATAAAACTCTATTATCTGTGTAATTTTTGTGTGCTAATTGGTTCCAAATTATTCTGAATATTTGGTCAAACGAAAAAAAGTTCTCAGCCTTGAATTTGTCTAATTTGAATTTCAAATATTTTTCTTTTTGTCAACGATCAAGTTTTTTTAAATCTCTCGTATACGCGCAAATGAATACATATATGTATAGTACTAATAAGATGTAAGTTAAGTAACGAATAAATGACCAAATTTCAAACAAATTAAACTTTAAATGATGTTTCATGTGTGAATAGAAAATTTTTGAAATGAAGAGTTTATAGGTTTTTCACTAAAAATTAAAAAGTTAGAATTCTTTTTATAATGATGTAAAGTCTGGTATTTATATTGAAATAAGGATGGCTATTGAGTGCTAAAATCTTTCAGTCATATTTGCAATATAATTGATCGCTTGGCTAGGGGGTTTCTTTGGGGTTCTCTAGAGGCTAATGGTGGAGTACATCTGGTAGATTGGCACACTGTCACTACCTCAAAGTTAAGAGGTGGCCTGGGTATTCGAAGGGCTAGGGAGAATAACACTGCTATGTTGGGAAAATTGGCTTGGGATCTAGTCCAACAGTCAAACAAGCCCTGGGTGCAGACTCTATCTCAGAAATATTTGCAAGGTGAGTCCCTCATGCTGCATCGAACTCCTCAGACAGCCTCCCCGACTTGGAAAGCTATTTGTAAGTCTTTCTTCCACCTGAAAGATGAAAGATGGATATATGTGGCATATTGGCATTGGACAGTACGTATCATTATGGTTCGATAGATGGTTGGGATAAACCCCCTTACAAAATTGTGTGGCAAACATCACCAATGGGGAGAGGAAGCTTCAGGTTACAGACATCGTATCAGAGACTAGTAATTGAGACACCTCTAGGTTGGGTTCTATCCTACCGTCGCGTGTTCAGGCAGCATTAATAGCCACCCCTCTTACTTGCGTTTCTTCCTTAGCTGATAGACTGGCTTGGAGTGACAAGAGTTCAGGAGGCTACACGACCAAATCTGGCTATGAATTCCTTACAAGGACCCCATCCCAATGGAGCCGAACATCAAATGGAAGAAAATGTGGGGTCTGAAATTGGCTCAAAAGCACCATTTTTTCTTTTGGCAGCTGGAGCGGCAACGCCTTCCCACTAATGCCCTTCGCTTCCATAGGACCATGTTCAACTCTCCATTATGTCAGAGGTGTGGCATAGACCAAGAGATAGAATTACATGTCTTTTGTGACTGTGTGTGGACTAAGAATGTATGGCAACACCTATTCGGTTCAAACCCCCCGCTGACTTTTTTTCGACTACTTAGGAGGATTAGCTGTATGGTAATGCCCTTTGCCCCACTTTGCCTTGCCTTGGTATCATTGTCGAAAATTTATCCTCACCTGCTGGACCATCTGGTGTGCTCACAATCAAGAAGTAATCCAAGGAACTGTTACTGCAGCAGAACAACAGGTAAGGCTACTTTAGTCTAGGATACATGATTGTGTGTTGGCTTTTGAGACTCCTCATATTGTAAAGCAGACTAGCCCACATGTTTGGGTTTCTTAGACAGCACCAGCACCACCACCGCCCCGACGCGCATGGCACTGTCAAGTGCAATACCGATGGTAGTTTACTTGAGTGTGTTTAAATGTGCTAGGATGGGAGGCCTGATAAGGGATCATTGTGGTGCGTGGAGAGCTTGCTTCTCGGGTTTGGAGGTTCATCTATTATGTTGGCAGGGTTGGAAGTTATCCAACAGGGGTTGATTCTGACTTGGGAAAATGGTTTTCGGAAGGTGATTATGGAGTTTGGTTCTCAAAAAGCAATCAATGCTATTTGCAAGGGCGTTCGCCCGATTCATCCATATCACAACATCATCACGGACATCCGCTACATGGGACAGAGACAATGGAGTGTTTCCTTTAAACATATCTTGAAGGAAGGTAACAGGGGTACTGACCACTTAGCTCGTGTTGGTTCATCGAATGATACACCTTTGCATGTTTGGATTCATCCCCCGCTGGACATGATTGACATTTTGGCTGTTGAAGCTGCTAGCTTCAGTGTTTTGAGGACTTAGCTTAGCCTTTCCCCCTTTGTACAAAAAAAAAAAAATGGAGAATGTCACCATTTGATTTGTTTTGTTTTATGATGATCAGTGGGGTTATTGAATTATAACATATTCTTTTTTTATATAAAGTTGCAACTCTTTGTACTTACTTAATAGGATATATGATAGAATTAAATACCAACACCTGCAGACTTTGATTAAATTAATCATTTTATTTTGGCAAAACTAATTATGAGTTAGTCTTTTTTTATTCAAAAATCAATTACTTTGTTATTTTTGTTCATTTTATGTTATTTTCTAAGTTATTTTTCTTTTTGTTTGAAAAAATAAAAAAATGAAAAAAATAAATTTATATCATGAAAAAATTGATGAAAAAAGAAAATGTTTTATAGAATAAAATATATTATATTAAATACGATCAACATTGATCACAAGATTAAATAATTAGTTTTTGAAACATTAAACTAATTAATTCATTTATCTAAATTAGAGGAACTAATGTATAATTTACTTCTAGTTGTCTGTAAGGTGCACAACTTCAAAGGCCTGCAAATGTATGCTTTAATTGATTAAATTATAAATTAGTGCTTTTAATCTGAAAAAATAAAATAATTGGTTCTTTTTGTTTTAAAAACTAATTATTTAGTCATATTTTTTATTTTATTTTTTATTTTTTTTAATTTATTTTAAAAATTAAAAGAAGTGAAAAATAAATTTACATCATGAAAATATTGATTAAAAAACATTTGTAAAGTAAAATATATTACATTGAACATAATTAATACTGATAAAAAAGATCAAAATTAATTTTTGAAATACAAAGGACTAATTAATTAATTTATCAAAACTAAAAAAACTAATGTATAATTTATTCTCTCACAAAATTCAAAGGCATAACTGACAGCCTTTGAATTTGATTTTATGCAATCAAATAATGGAAGAAAAACATATGCACTTTTCCAAATTAAAATATCATGTCATTTTCAACTTCATTCGTATTCATAAAATTAATAGGGATCAACTCTTAACCTTACAACTTTCTCCCAAACCTCGGTTTGTTATAAACCTCACTTTTTCTTCGCAAATCACATTAAACATTTTAAATATTTGTTTGAAAAATAAAAAATTCACCAAAATAATTCTCAACTCAAATTAATTTTATAATTTTTATGTAATATTAATATATTAAAAATATTATTAACTATTTTCTTGTAATAAATTCTTATTAAATTATTAAAAATATTATTACTCATTAGTATATCTAATTAATAAAATTATTAAAAATATATAAATTAAAATAAATTTATTAATAATTACTAACACATTTAAAATTATTATAATCATTATTTTACTATAGTAATAAACGACAATCCACAATAATAATTAATTTTTCAATCAAGACTCCGACATAAAACTATGTTTTCCACCCCCACCCCTAACATATTATCACATAAGCGCTCAACAATTGATATAGCATCTGATATATTATTATTTACGTGCTCAATAATTGATATCCATTTGACGGTAAATACCACATCCACCTCCCAATTTTAGCTTAAAAAATTACCGTAAGTCATGACAAGAATACATTAAACGACAAGTCCTTCGTATCAATTTCTAAAACTAAAAGCCGTTCTTATGCTTTGCAATCCGAAGAAAAATATTATCAGCAATGCAAGGTGCTGGAACCAAGTATGTGCCAATTTTAACTACAGTTCATAACTAATGGCAGCTTCCGCTAGATCATATTCCTCTTTAACAAAAATAGAGAAAATTAAAAAGAAATAAACATGTGGACAAAGACTTCATTTTGATTTATTTGTCATCTAAACAAGGGTTTTTGGTCTGTACCTCCATAGCAACGGCAATCCGAAAGGAATATGATACAAAGCTAGATTCTCTACATGATAAATTATCACATAAGCAACCTCACTCAATCTTAACCTCGTGCACATTCTCCTTCTCCTCCTCTTTCACCTTAGGCACCACTAACTTCAAAACACCATTCTTCATTTCACCCTTAATCTCATCAAGCCTGTAAAGATTTAAAGGCAATTCGAGTCTGCTACTGTACCTCCTTCCACTCTCATCGCCTTCCTTCGCTTCTTCGCCTTTGATGACGAGGGTATTCTGCTCCACGCTGACCTTGACATCCTCTTTGCTAAGCCCAGGCATGTCCATGCTCATACAAAGAGCATTCTCGTCCTCCTTCACATCAAAACCTCTCCTTGATAAAGGAGCTCCAGCACCACGAGATGCAGGGAGGAAAGGGTTGTCCAAGAACTGGTCCATTAGGTTCAGGACCTGGTTTAGACTCCTCGTTGGGAAAAATGGGTCAAACGCATCTGTGTACCACAAAAAAAAAAAATAAATAAATAAAATAAAATAAATAAATAAAATCATACAAATGAATAAAGTAATTTTTTGCCAAGCGATCTGGGAGTTTATCTATCACGGGCATGTAGTGCACAAGAGCTTGCAAATTAGAAATCGTTGGCAGGTTAGTTATAACAAGTACCAGAGAAGAAACTTGGAGTAGTATCACGACGTTGAGCAGGTCTACGATCAGAGGAGCTTCGGCTATCAAGCTCAACACTACCATAGTCAGCTGGAGCATTGCCTCCAGTTGTGGTGACCTGAGACTGAGAGTCAGTGTTGAAGGAACGAAAAACAGAGACAGAACGTACAGGGCCTGTGAGCTTCGAAAACAGAGGAGAAGCGGCGGCTCTCCTTAGAGCGATAGAGGCCGTCATTTTGTTTTGGACTGTAGAAGTGTTACTTGGTTGTGCGTGGAGTTTAAGAAGGTGCCACTTGGTGGGGTTATATAGAGGCTTAAAATGATTCTTGAAGAGAAGTGGAGAAGGAAGTAGAAAGTTCCAGAGCGGTGGAGGTAAGTAAAGACAATGTTCTAGAATTCTGGATTTTTCTTTGTAGTATTCTGTTCATCATATAATTCTCTAGATGATTTCGTTATTTTGCAAATAAATTTATGCAATCATAAAACGGGCATTTTAAGTCCAAACATAATTAGTTTGCACGTGGAAACCGCTTCTTAAAATTACTAGGATCGGCTCATACAAGTATAGAGCTTAGGTATCATAATTGATCCATTTTCCTTTAAAGGGCATAATTGAAGATATATGACATACAAAGGCATATTAGTTTACAATTATAAATTGCCTTGGTTCACAATTGATTACTGTGAAAAAAGAACTAACAAAGACACAATAATAATAATAATAACAGAATTTAAAGAACAGCATAAAAAAGAAATCATTTAAGGCCAGCAAGTCTGCCTGAGAAGAGATGAGAGGGTCCCCTAGTTCCTACTAAGCAACAATCGGCAGCCAAAACGAATGGTTAAAATGATACTCTCTCACTACTTTTTTCCAGCATGCCGAAATTGTGTAGAGTATTAATAGTCTTTAGCATTCCATTACCAAAATCTCCCAAATTGAAGCACGAAAGAAACAAAAAGGAAAAAATGACAAGGGAAAAAAAAATCATCCTCCTTAGGTTACAAAAAGAATCTATGTGAAGGTCAATAAAAGCATAGGTCTCACCGCATGGCAGTTAAGCGGCTACATTATATCACCTGATCTAAACAATTTTTGCTAGTTCCAGAAAACTAAGAAATCCACCATGGTCTGTTCATTAGTTTCTCTTCCTTTCATCGTCATTCTTTGAATGGCGAGGAACAGGAAAAATGAAGAAACTTATGGCCAAGTTATATGGAGATAGCTGCTTACGTCTTCTTCATGAGATACCCCAGAAATATGCCAAGCAAGCCAACAAAGATGATGAACATAAAGGATACACCACCATGGTTTTTGTTGCCTTGGCGTCTCAGGAGTTCCTGTATTGTAAAGACATTAAGCAATTAACACCGCTTCAAGATCACGGGAATCAGAGAAAGGCATATCAAAGCACAGCAATTATCACAATAAAAAGCTTCAAATTTTCTTTCTTACATATGAACTTTATAACTTAATTAGATCTAAAGAGCCAAGAGAAAAAGCAGTCCTAAGGCAACAAATAATACAAAATCGTAGCTAATAAACTCAATTATGGCGTAAACCGAAGACAGGAAAATCAATAAAACGCTAAAATGGTGATCTACTGAAACATAAGAAAAGAACAATGAGAAAGATGAGACAGTGGAGATTATAGCAGAAAGTATAATGGACAAAAGTACAATAGAAGTCACAGAAATCAAGCCTAATCACAAAGCAAACATCCCATCAAGGTACCCAGATGCAAAACTTGTGCTTTTACTTTAATTGGTCCTGTGACGATAGTTATATTCATTACATTAGAATAGATCAACCTTTGGTTTCAAACTTAAAGGAGCTTCTGATAAAGCCATCAAGCCCAAAAGCACTATCCCATCCAGCTTTAATCTTCCCTTTTCTATCCTCTTAAAATATTTGGAAGAAAAGGCACATGTTTTATGAAAGATTAACTTCACATCAACAAAGCAGTCATTACAGAAATGATAAAAATTTCAATTAGTGATGACCAGAGAAAAAGGAATACATAACAAAAGATCAGAAGAATCAGCCTGAACTTCCCACAAAAACATGATGGACCAGATGCAGCTCATGAGTACAACCCAACAAATTCTAACACATCATTTCTATCCCACATCTGGCAGTCTCGGTTAATTTCACTAAAAACAGCAGGAAGTCAAATAATTAAGCACAAAGGGGAGAAAATGCATTGGTCATGCTGTTTGACGGGTAAAAATCAAAATAAAAAAATGTTTAAGCTACTGATGAACATTTTTGCTGGGAATGTAAATAAAAAGGTGAGTGAAGCTTGTTCTGCTGCTCAAGGATTGATTTGGAGCTCCTAAATGGATATCTCACAGGCACTGGACCTTGAATGATGTGCTGAGAATAGATTTGATTATTATTCAATTTTCTAGCTTATACTGCTGTTGTGCATAATTCCAGAATATCAACAGCTGCAGTCGCAGCCCATGTCTCATTTTCCTAGATAAAGCATCAGTTCTATTAGTAGTTTATACAGTATTAATAGTTGTTACAGTTGTGGAGCCTACAAGTCTATATAAATTGTAAGGTATAGAATTTTAAAGAGTAAGTAATGTTCGGATTCCAGAGATTTAAACCCTCTAGTTGAATCTCATAACATTAAAGGACGGAAGAGACAGATTCTATAGTTTCATTCTTTCCACTACTATCACTGTCCATGACGAACCTAACCTTCTACATGAACATAGAAAATGAGGGGCAACGAGATGAAACCATCCCACAACACAGAGAAGTCAAGACTTATATTCAAAGCATATTGAATCTCCATAAACATGACCTTACGAGAGAACGGTGAAATAATAAACGTGTTAATGACTCACCAATTCTTGACGAAGCTTGTTATTTTGTTGAATTGCATTATTCTTATCAGCAGTCAGCTTTGAAATAAGAGCTCTTGCCTGCAATTAGGCAAAATATTTTTTATAGATGGTAATTATCACATATTTGAAGACAAACAATTCATACAGGAAAAAAATCACCAAAAGCAATTCCACAGTAGCATAGCAGCACAGTATTAAATGGCAAGTAAAACCACATTACAAGTAAGGGTGTGTGTGTTGATAGAGAGACGGACGGATAGACAATTACAAATTTTATTATAATTATGGTTGCTCACAAATGAATCACATGATGAGTATCAACATTAAACCTTAAATTTCAATAGACAGATTAAGAATCTAATTTTACAGAAGAATATAAAAACGAATTCTAGGATGAATTGCTGAAAGAAACAGATAGCAACTACATCCATAGAGAAGCAATTCCAATGTGACAAAAATTAAAGCAGAGTTAACACTAGGTAAAAATTCTGCAAGAAAATTGACAGCTTTTTCCTAATAGAAGATGGAAAATACTACTTTGATGAATATCCCATGGCTGTCATAACTAAAGAAGGAATAGACAATCGCATAGCTCCAATCCTGACCAAACTGAAGTTACACCCAATTATTTTCCCCACCTCAATAAAATCAATTAAAATTAGATAGCTACCCATCAACACCCATATGCCTGAAACATCAAGTTATATCTCATTAGAACTTAAAAGCTCACTTGTGAGTTATGAAACAGAAGTAATAGCCCAGGACCATCTAACAACAAAAATAACATTTTCGCAAAGCCAGCTTGACCTCAGTCATAATCATTCCAGCATAGATGTACACTGTATTAGCAGTCAGCTACTTGGCAGTGAGTGACCTCTATAAAGTCACATGTATGCTTAACCGCTTTACAAACCATAAGTTAAACAAAAGCTGGGAGGAAAGATTCATGTACATGTACAATAGGAGGGGATACGCATATAGAAGATCCTATCCATGGAAATGCAACAGAACTTTCTAGAAATGCTATCCAAGAAGGCATGTAAATTTGATCAGGTAAACAAATACAGCTTAATTTTACCTCCGAAGATTTGTCTTGAGGTTCAAGCTGCTCAACAAATGCCTTTGTTGCCTATATTCACCAGCAAAAAAGAAGGCTCTCGATATCTTTAGGCTAATCAAAAATCAAAATGACAACGATAAACTATAGCTTCATGTACTCACAGTAGATAAATCAGTGCCATTAACGTTCCCATTGTCCGACACAGAACCCCTGGGGGACGACCCTTCCTCTGACCCTTCTGGAACAGGAGAAGGTGGTTGAGGGGGAGACACATAAAGCACTCTCAATTTGCACTCCTCGACAACATGCCCTGCCTCCTTACTGAACTGCACAGCCAAAATTACCATAAACCGTAACCCCAACAGTCCATAACTAACCCCACTTGCAAAATAAACAAATTACATGCAAGTAATTTACCATTTCTGCATTAATATCCTTTGCAGTGACACCGTCATTTGCTTTTACACTTTGAAGCAAAAACTTGTCCTTGCATTGCATGTCAGGAGGAGACTCCTTTTGCGCTTGCATAGTAACTAAATCAAATCTATGTCAGAAATTATAAAGCGGCAATAAAAATTAAATCACAAAATCTATTTCACAAAACAAACTAACAGAATGAACGAAATGGGCACCTATAACATCACATGTGGAGCGAGGCAACACAATCCCAGCATTTGGTCGGACACAGTACTTCTTGGGATTTGTTGTTTTGACCTAAGCATCAAATATAATTAGAGATTTGAGCATTCCACAAATCTACATTGTACAATTCCAGATTTGAGCTACCTACTGTTCTTGTTATTGTCAGGCTATAATATTGCATAAAATTCAATAATTTCTCCCGTGACAGAAACCCTTTTGATCCAATTGGATAAAAAATAAAGAATAAAACATAGAGAAAGAAATAGAGAGGAAATATTAATTTACCTTGAAAGCGACATAATTATCAGTTTTATTAGACAGTTGAAGAGAACAAGAGATCTGCTTCTTCAATTCAACTAATCCAAAAAAAAAAACATGAATTTACAAATCAAAAGCAGAAATAAAGAAAGATGAATGAAGGTTGGTATTCATGCATCGGTGACTTACAAGGAAATTTGAGCTCTAGAGGTTCGATGCTGAGGAGCTCTCCCGTGCTCATCTTCTTGTCAGACAAAAAATAAGTACTGGTGTTTAATAATAATAAAAAAAAATTGTGAGGAAGAAGATCCGAAAATATATGGGAGTAAAAGAAGAACCAGTAAACGAGATGGATAGACGAATCGAAGGGCGGACAGATCGAGAGAAAGAGAGAGACACGAGGGAGGGGTAGGCTTTGCTTTTGCCTTCGCTTCTGGCTTGGGAATTGAAATATATTATTACTTCTGTGATTTGGTGGTTGTTGGCTGTTTTTTTATATATATATATTTTTTCTCTTTAAGATTGATTTTGTCCTTTTATTGATATGCATTCGTGCGTAGGAAATGGAAGGGAATCATTTTGCGTTAAGACTATCATGAAAAAGTATTTATCAAAAGGAAGGGAAAAAAAACTTTTATGGAAAGTCCATAATAGTTCTTGTTAATTTCATAATCTTCATTTCAGTTCTTAAAGTTTCTGAAAAATGTAATTCTCCTAACATTAACCTCGTGAGATAGATGTAATCTTTCTCATTTTAACTTATGGAAAATATTACAAAAAATTATAATATCAAGAAAATAAAGTACTAAAATGTAATTTTAACCTTAAAGACTTCATCTAGGTATATATATATATATTTTTTTTTCCAAGAATAATAATTAAAAAAAAAAAACTTCTGTGTGGCTCTAACTTTATGTTGTGATTGTTTAATGACTATAACAGACAATGACACAATGCAAAATATTACTATACATCTCCTATTCATTTCTCTTTTAGTCCACGATAACCATGACTAACTCTAGTTGTCTTTTAATTATGCTATTAATTATTAATAAATCATAACTTCTCAAGTGCCAACAACTCAAACTAAATTTTTGATGAGTACCATTGCTGCATTAGATATAAAAGGGAAAAATTATCCTTTCCTAGTTTTTGTTTTCAAACACAATCATTCTCCAATCCAATACTTCATCATGCAATTGGTGATTTTAATCTCAATTCAACAAAGTTATGTATTCCTTTGATTAAAAAAAAATGTAAATTCCATGATGCGGTGGAGTATGCATTATTTATTAAATAGAGTCGAATATACACTCTAATTTTAAATTTATAGAAAATAATGTAATCAAAATTTCATATGACCATTGATGGGAAAAGTATCAAAACAATTTCAACAAACAAGGGAAAATGACAATTATGTTACCTAATCAGTTAAGCTAAGTTTTTTTTTTTTTAAGAACACTTATTAATGTGATTTCTTATTTAAAAAAAATATTAGCTTATAAAAGGAGTAAACTATATATAAATTAACCTTTTTAGTTTTGAGAAAGGAATTAATTGATTCTTTTGTTTTAAAAACTAATTATTTAGTTCCTTAATTAATACTCGAGTATGCTTAATTTAATATTATTTTATTTTAAAAAATATTTTTTTTCTCGTTCATTTTTCTGAAATATATATTTTTTTAAAAAAAAGAAAAGAACAAAAAATACTAATTTTTTTTTTTGAAATACGAGATTAATTAATTTTGTAAAACTAAAGGGACTAATTTATATTTTACTCCTTATAAAAGCTCAAGTCAGATTTCCGGTTTTCTTTCTTTCTTTCTCTTTCTTATTTCACTTTTTGAAAAGAGTGCTAAAAGATTTTCAATTTCAGACGGTTTATCGAGCAACAATAAATAATTGTCAGTTTTGATCCATGATATAGCCTAAGTAATATCCATATCCTTTTTTATTTAAACCTCTCTCTTGTCAAGGAAAAAAAAAAGAAAAAGAAAAAAAGTGATATTTGCACTCCTCTTGCGTTATAACCACACTCCCAGTAATTTTTACTCAAATTGACAAATATATCCCTCAAAAGAAAATCCTCATTCTATCCCTCTTCACTTCTCTCTCCTCGACCTCTCTCGCTCTCTAACGTGGACCGAGAAGCTTAAAATCAAGCAAGCCAAATTTACACCCAGTCCATGCCATCCTGTACTCTGGCCTTCGTATCTGTATTGTCGCGACCATAAGATACATATATTGGAATAGATTTTGGAGAATATGTAAGGAGAACAGTACGTCGTTGTGCTTGTTAGAAACTAAGTATAAATTATATTCTGTGACTTTACTAATCGACTTAAATTTTTAGGGAGATGATCCTTTAATATGCTTATCAAAGCTTGGTTGACCTTGAGGTCCCGAGTTCAAGTCTCATCATCCTCTCAAGTATTAAGCATAAGACAACGTAGATATGTGCGAGTTTCATGCCTCAAATGTTGGCACTTTCACTTGAGAGGTAAAATTATATTCTAGAACCTCGCTTATCGACTTAAGCTTTTATATGAGATAATCCTTTAATACTTATAAGTTCTTAGAACAAATTTGTAACGTCCAAAATATCTTTGCGTGGATGAGGAAATACGTTTTGCTTTCTTGATCGTGAAATTGTTGAGCATATGGACATCATACCAGCTGTTTTTCTTATGTATAATATATCTCCTTAACAGGGGAAAGAACTAAAACACTTGCACCTGGTTGTTCTTGTACAGATTAAGTTTTTTATGTACAATGTATTATTATTATTATTTCATTTTGGTACAAGGAAGGTTCACTAGATCCAGGGTACAGTTCAGTTTTCATTTTCTTCGTTTTCGAATTTTAGTCAAACAAACAACTGTGTCACCTTTCTTACCAGACCACACTGTGGGTTCTAGAAGAGAGGCAGAGGAGGGTAGTAATGAAAGGTAGACTGAGAATTTATGTCAAGGGCTATAATTGTCAATTTTTGTACAAAAGTTACTGGGACTGTAGGAGTGTAGTTATAATGCAAGGGGAGTGAAGCTATTAATCTTTATATTGATAACATTTATTAATCTTTCCTCCACGGTCCAAACCCAACTTCTCCTTTAGATTCTTTAAAAAACACCAATCTCGGCAACCTACCCCTTTAAATGACAGCATGAAGCTATCAAGCAATACTCAAGTTTCTTTTATTTTTTTTCTTGTTCTTTTTTTTATTATTATTATTTTGTTTGGCCTTTCCTTCCTCACACATTAGCTACCTTCTTTGATAGACCTACCTAGCAAAACACTCACACACCCCATTACCATACAAATCTAAGCATACATAAAATGGCCAAATCAAACCCTATATCATAAACTTCATATCACAAATTGCAAACCCTTGTTATTAGGTTTAATGATACTATAGGTCTCGGTATATTGATTATTGACAAATACACCCTTGTGATTTTAAATTAGACAATTGAATTAACTTTATGATTTAGTTTGTTAGACATCATAGGTTCTTCCGCCTATAGTCAAACTGATATTTTATTCATTTTAACTTTTAAAGGAGATGGGGGGCCACATCTCTGCTTTATATTGGTTATAATTTAAAAAACAAGAAAAAGAAAAAATGATTAAAATTATGAAAAAATAAATTCAATTTAAAAAAAGGCTAAATTTTTTCCATTTTATTTATTTATAGAAATTATTTTTCATAATTTTTTATTCATGTACGAATTTTCTCAAATTTATTTTAAAAAAATAAAAAAATCATTTTAAAAAAATTCATTAATTTATGCTGGATTATTTTTATTTATTTATCATATTTTTTATTTGTAGCTGATTTTTATTTATTTTCAAAAGCTAAATAAAAAAAGAAATTATACGTAAAAAATATAAAATCTCGGGTACATACAATCAAAGCTTTCATGAAAAAATAAATTGGAAAATCATGCCTATGAAAAAATACCCAAAGTAAATCACATATGTTTAATCAGAAAATCGATAATTTTATCCTTCATTTATAAAATAAATAAAATAAAGTAACACTTTTTTAAATGAAATAAAAATAAACACTTTTTATGTGGAAAATAAATAAAATGTTAGCTAAAAAATTAAAAATATAAAAAATAACAAAAAAATCCAATGTATATTAATAAAAACGAAAATTTTAATCATTTTTTATTTTTTTCTTTTTAAAATAAAGTAAAAAAAAATCCTATGTAAATAAATAAAAAAATATAATAAGCTATGAATAAATAAAAAGTTGGCAAAAGTTCTTAACAATTTTTTTATTTTTTGGATATTTTTTTAATTTTCAATCAATTTGTTTTTTGAAATTGAAACCAATAAAAAGTTGACACGTATCTTGCCTCCATTTTAAAAGTCAAAATTAATTTGAGAAAAAAAAAAATAATCGATTACAGATGGAGGGACCTCTCCTCCCTGACGGACCAAACCGTAACAATTGAATTATTCAAATTAAAACCACAAGGATGTATTTATCAAAATTATGCTGTTAATTAAGACTTCTGACGTCAATAAACCCTCATCCTTATAACATTTAATGCGTAACCTGTAATTGCAGCATACAACAAATCTTCTATCAAATAATAAATTAAAGTCAAGTTGTTTGAATTGAGCTCTTCTCAACGATGGTAGATTAATGTACACTAAAGGATGTTAATTTCTAACTTAGGTACGTGACAGTTAAGTTGCATCTAAAAGAAAAATTAGGGCATAAAAATTTGGCAGGTTGATTTAAAAGGAAAATTTTGAAGAGTGGACACACACGTGAGCTTTATATATACTTTCAACTAGGCAAATTGACATCCAATTAATCTAGAAATATATTGATATAGTTTGGATTTTTCCCACATTTGAATTTTATAATTTTTAAATTTTTTTTATTAAAATCTTTTATTTTTTTTAAAAAAAATTATTTTAGATCTTTTATCATCAAGTTGATATGAGTTATCGATATGGTACTTCTATTTTTTAAGATTTTTTAATTTATTGTTAGATCACATGTCTTGATGGTTTGAATTTTATAATTAAAACAGAAATATATGATTTTTTTTTTAACAATTAGACCAATTCTCTAAGGTATTATTAGGTAATTAGGAATAGAGTGGTGAGAATGAAAGTGAAAGTTTTATTCTCACGTTGTAGTTGTTTGATTAAAAGAAATGGAGTGAGAATAAGAATAAAGAGTGAAAATAGGAATGAAAATTTATACACAACTTCATTCTCATATAAGATGTGAGAATAAAAATAAGAAATAAAAATAAAATTATTTTTTTAAAAAAATATATTTTATTTATTTATTGTCTATTAATTACTTTTATCATCACCATCATTACCTTTATTATTTTTACAACCATTATAGTTTGATAAAATTATTTTTTTAATCATTATTTTTATTTGTAAAAAAAACTAAATATTAAAAAATTTAAATTACATTCTGATTCTTCATTAATATTCTAAATACAGTATAAAAATATAAATATCATTTTAATTCTCATATTTTCATTTTAAATTTTTTATTCTTAATAATCAAATGACACCTAATAATCCTTGAGTTATAAGTGATAAGAATGTTGGCATCTCATTTTGTGTCCATTTTCATCTTTTCGAAGGGTGCACATACCGATTTCTTTTCTTAAATCCTTTAAAGTAAAGGGCGAATTTAGGAAGAAAAAAAAATTAAGTATGAATCTTCAATGCGCTCAAAAGTTTTCAGTTTTGTATTTATCTATATGATAAAATACGCCAAACTGAAACAGCCAAACCTAAAATTTTTATCTGGAGGAGTACATAAGAATTGACCTACAAAGACCGCAATGATTGAATGTTGGAGCGGTCCTAATTATCAAATGCCATCATAGTTGCTTGCTCGATCGGCCCCATTCGCTGGATATTCCTAAAAACTAAAGGGTCATAACTGTTAGTACCGTGTTGTTGTACTTATCGCTGCAAATTAATTTAAAGCCCACTGACAAGTTTTCTGTAAATGTGACTTATGACTAGCTTGCTAAGTTGACTACTTGTATTTCAAAGGGGTACCATGGCTGAATTGAAAACTAAACTACTTGCCTTCACTTTTTTTTTTTTTTTTTTGAGTTTATTACAGCATTTTTTTTTCACTTTTAAAATATTGTAATTTGATAATTTTATATTCAAAGAATCAAATTATACAATTTAAATTTTTTAATATTAAAAATTAGACAGAACAGACGGTATGTCGCAATCTCTCCCTTTCTTTTCTTTTCGATTAAACTTTTTCATTAAAAATTAGATGCTTATGAGAGAAATTAAAAGAGGGAAGGCAAACCATATGACGCAATTGAAAAAGGTCATATGGCTAACATGCTCTCTTGACTTCAATTAAAAAAAATAAGTAACAATCATAGTTGATCATTATAAATAATAAAAATTAAATAATTTATATTAAATTTTCTCAATTCATAATGTTATAAAATTTAAATTACGTAATTTGATATTTTAGATTTAAAATTATAAAATTATAATATATTGAGAGAGAAAAATATCGTAATATCCTTTTTCCGATAATATCTATAATAGAACTATTTAATTAATTCTCATAGTTTTAAAAATGGTATATAAAATTTTAGTTAGTCTTTTCGTTAGTTTCATTTTCTCTCTTATTTATTTTTCTTGAACAATAGAAATAAAAAAGAGAAGTAAATTTGAAAAAAAAACAAAAACTAATAAATTGAGGATGATGATATTAGTCAAAAAGACTATTTTAATTTTCTTTTAATCAATTAATCAAGTTACAAAGGAAGGAGGATTAGGGTTTGTTAACTCAATGTGTTGATCTCATAATCTCTTACAAAGCAAAATATCATTTATCAATTATTCTTTCGACGGATTAATAACTATCCTAGATTTATCATCATTATTCTCATTTTTTTTATATCTCGTATACTACAGAGAAAACCTTTTTTATATACAAACTTATTTTGAATCTATATTCAATTTTACATAACAAGACACTTAAACGATACAAATGAAAAATAGTACTAGCACTCTTTCTCAATAACAAAAATAAATACTTGCACTCTTCTTAAATCTCAACCCCCACCAACCCCCCGCCAAAAAGTTAGCCCAAAAAAAAAAAAAAACTACCATCAATTCCTTGTCAAAAAGTTAGGGGGAAAAAAGCTCCCACCAACTCAATTTTATGTGGACCCAGCATTGATTACCTCGGCGGCAGTCTCATCTAGTATCAACATCGGGCCCAAAAACATATCAGATTTATCCTTGTCATACGAACATGATATTCCACTTTACCAAACTAGCTACTAGCATCATATGTATATGTATATATATATATATCTTGTTTGGAGAAAACGAATTAGTTAGTTAATTTTATTTAAAAAGTTAATTATTTAATGTTTTTCAAATCGTTGGAATATCACCTGCATGACCACGCACGCCGTATGATGCTAAGACATAGTAGTTTTATTTCTTTCTTTGTTCATCCTGGATTTCAAGAAGGTTTTTGGTTGGTATAAAACTCAATTTCTATTAATTGAGTAGAAATTTTGTTATCCTTTAGCAGCATGATCCTTGATGTTATCACACAATGAAGCTATTTTGTTCATTACATAATAGCTATGTGCTTGTCATCGCTGACCGAGCGCGCAGGATATCAAGTTTGAGAACCCAAAGTTGCTCTTGTATTTACAGCTATTTATTGGGGTTATCCATTCTAATAAATGCCAAGTAAGAAAAACATCTAAGAAAATTAACACATAAATTACCGTTATTTGGCGGTATCTTTATAGTGACAAATAAGAGGGTTTTTTTTAAAAAAAAAAAAAAAAAAATCCCAAAACGTGCTTTATTTCCTTAAACTTTTATTATTACCACCGAGTTTTTCAATTTAGTATACATACTAGTACTGTCCAAAGAAAAATATAATAATTTCCCACCAGAAACAACTATAAACAAATCTGACAGGAAATGGTTCTTAAAATATGTTTTCACCTACATACATATACACAAACACTATAGTTGGCTCATGCAATTCACTTGATTTTGCACAATGTTCTAAGATTGAAACTTGAGAGCCCAGTTTGTGGCAATCTTCGTGATTTCAAATAGAAACGACAAGAGAAAAAGTGCACAACGTTGTGTGACACGACGATGATCTTGACTGTAGAGAAACCATTTTCTCTTGGGTCCTAGAAATGTTTCTAGTTGGGATTGTCAGAAGTAAGTTCAGATAGGACCTGTGCTCTGCATCCAGGTTTAATCAACAGAATATAAAGCAAAATCAGCCTACCGCTATAGGCATTCTTCACGTCAAGTCGAAATAAGGGCCTCTTCTTGATTGCAGCCAAAGAAACACCGGACAGTCTTAGCATACGCTGCATGCCATACAGCGCCTTGAGAACTCCACTTTCGTAATTGTCAAGATTGTTGTAGTAATATATATGAGATAATTAAAATATAAAAAAATCACCGGAATTTCGGACTCGGGCACGCTGGCTTATAAGTTTAAACTCTGAATGCTTTTATATGTTGTTCCAGTCGTTCCAACACCTGTGAGAGGAAAAGAATGATTAGATGAACGAAACCAGATGAGATATAAATTGGCAGCAATAAACCATAAGCATTTCTAGGCTCACCGCCTTCGTGCTGTCAAGAGCAGTTTTCAATGCTTGGATTTCCTGTAACACAACCGATTATTCAGCATCAATACTTGGCATCATATTAAACCAGCCAGAAGCAAGTTATGTGAATATCACTCACTTTGTTGGTGTTCATAAGTGCATCTTCCAGTGCCTGGATTTTCTGCGCCTCAGTTTTTCCAACAACTTTTGTTTCCTCTTCTAGTACGGGGCTTGCATCCCTGGTATCTTCATTTTGGCTAATGCCCTACATTATTCAGCAGGCAATTGTTGGCTGATAGGTTGAAATTCTATCATATCGTATTAAAAGCACTGATCTAGAAAGCCTGCAGGCAATCAGTTGGTCCATATTAATTGCAAGTGTCATAACCAAGGCATTTTGTAATTACCATAGCCTCCTCTGAAGCAACACCACTCTTTGATTCAGTATTGTAAATGTCTTCTATTGTAGAAGTTGACTGCAAGATACAAATTAAATAGTCACTGGAAGTCTCAACTGAATTCAGGCGACATGGTTCGTAATTATGTAAAACAGTTTAAAGAAGTGTTTCACAGTACTTGGAAGTTAACCTGAAGCATTTCTAGAATTTCTGGGTTCTTCCAGGGTCCTTTATCACTAAACAGGCAACCACCATAATCAGAGCATGTGCAGTTCCCTCCCAGAAAACTGGGCAAATTACTGTGAAAGGAAACGGTAAAACTTAGTGGTGCTTATATATGTAAAGAACATTCAGATCCGAAGCAAACACATGCTTTCAGAGCAATGATACATATGCCGAAGATTTGCATGGACATCGCACCTTTGATCAATAACTTCAAGCAGGTTACTTAGGTAGTTGCTTCCCAATACCTGCAATTGAAACAAATACTTGATTCATGCAGTTTGAGAAGGGAAATGCAATTGTGTTTTTCCATGGGAGAAAAATCCTTACTTGAATCTTCGCTAATGTGCGTGCATCAAGAAAAGCCCTGAGTGCTTTCCACAGTATCCTGAACCCATTTCCAGCATTGACTATAAAGAGCCGATTCAGAGTCTGAAAATTTCCATAACAAAATATTATTAATTGATATCATTCATAGAATGAAAAATTATCCCAAGCTTTACTCCTCGAAACAGCTGCACCACTTGGTCTTCCTAGAGATAAGCATAACCTAATCCTACTTGCAAAATTGAACAATCTATAAAACCGTGTCCACCTAGAACGTCTTGGCAAGCTTTCCCAGCCATAACTATAGTCCAAAATAAAGTATGAAAAGGCACAATGGAAGTTCAAAAGATCAAATGTGGCAAATGAAATTGCCATGGTTAGCTGAAAAACATGGATGCTTTAAAATAAATAATTAAGATGATTGAAGAAGGAACAAAAAATTAAAACAGTAGAAGTCCTGGACATGTGATGGTATCATTTTGTTTTCAATTTCTCCTTGATTTTAAAAGATTGAAGTTTTTCTGCATTAAGACCTTTATCAATTTAAACTATCAAAGAAAAATTATATACCTCTGGATAGTAGTTGCTATCAATTTTCTGAATTTCCACGAAGAGACATCTTGCAGGCTTTGAAAAATTGGACATTCCCTAAGCAAAGGCAAAAATTATTCAAACTATTGATCAGGACATACCACAAAAAGGCTCGGAATCAAAATTTAACTAACCAGAAAACTACATGGTTTCCCCAAGATGAACAGAAAGAAAAGAGAGAGACAGAGACAGAACGAATGACCTAAAAGTCAAGTAACCCTTTCTCAGTGCTAATAATTTGCAAGATACAAGTATAGGATAATGCTTACCACTCCCTTCACATCCAAGATACTTGTGGTGGATGCTATATACCTCTTAGCTGCAACTGAACATGCAGGGAACCTCAAATTTAACGTCTTCTCTTGTTCGGACACGTGATACTTGACAAATCTTTCAACGGTAGTTGCCTGTAACAAGGCATTAAGGTCTACCATTCCAAGCCGTTCAACATATATCGGTCTTCCATATCTATCAACCCCATGATATCCATGAGGATAACATTTCTTTACTTCTGCATATTCCTCAAACTTAAATTCCTGCAGTGAGTTCCAACAAATGAATCCTTTACAAAATTTACGGAGAAAGGCAAGAAACGAATAAATTCATGCTTCACCTTTGGAATTGCATCAACCCCATATTCCTCACGCCACTTGAGATAATTCACAAACGAGTCCTTTGCTTTGGAACTGTCAAAGTCTCTCGTTCGGAGAAACCTGACACACATAACATTGAAAACCATCTTATGGTAAAATGAGCAGTTAATAACCAAGAATATTGGTGTGTAATTCATCATTTCAGGCATTAAAACTAAAACTGATACGATCAAACTTACCGTAAAAGAGTATGATAGTCATTGTGCTTCCCCATTAAATGGCCTTCAGCAAAAAGCTGTTGGCGGAAGGAATCAATAAGTTGTTCATCTTTTGGATCATGAACTCCCTCAAGGACTATTTGCAAGCTTTTGCTCCTTCCAAGTTTCTTCAATGAGTCCCGAATCTTGAGAGGGTAATTTAACATTGACTTGATGCCTGGTTTAGGCAATGAAGAAGAAGGCTTATTTTGTTCCGGAGGACGGAGAAGCCAATGGGATTCAATGGGTGGATGGATAGATTTTGTCCTTCCTTTCGCAAACTGAGAACTCTTCAAATCTGAAGATTCATCCCCTTGTTCACCATCTCTCGATATGATTATGTCTCGATCAGTCTCTTTTTGTTTAAACATATGTGCTGATATCTGAACAACTCAGTGCGTACACGCGTCAAAATTAAAGACTTCTCAACACAAGATTACTAAAATCTGTTTCTGCAGAATCCAGTTCTATTCACTCATCTTGCGAGTATATTATATAACCTATGTCAGACAAAAATAACCAAAATTTGGAGGTCTCCATCAATTATTCTGGCTTTTGCAATGTTATTACTATCAAAACTAGAAAGAGGCTTTTGCAATGTCGTTACTATCAAAAGTAGAAAGAATTCAAGTGCAGAGTCAGGAGACCAATTTCAACTCAAAATGCAATAGAGAATTAGATCAACTTTCAAGATATCGTGGAAAACTCTCAAGCCATCCCATCCAATACTATTACGGAGAGAGAAAAAGGAGGAGGTGCCGCAAAATACTGAGGCAATCGATAAAGAAAATTGGTCATGACGTGCAATGAAAGCAAGTGCAATGAACATTTTTTACATGAAAAAACCCATCAACCATTAGAGAGTAACGTTTTTGAAGGCAGGATCTGAGTTTGTCCAAGTTAAGTGAACATGACAGCTTGAAACTGAGGGAAATGAAGAAAGCTGATACTGCTAAAAAAAGCAAGAATAAGAAAAATAAAGGTGGAGAAAGAAAACCTTGCAGAATATTAAATAACTAAGAAAGCATCGAATGCAATTCAATGCTTACTTGGTCTTCCACAATTGGGTTCTAACTTTTCTCTTTGGTATATTTCGATGCCAAGTAACATCTTCCTTCCTTCCTTCGTTCATTCTTTTTTATTTATTCTTCTATATATATATGTGTGTGTGTGTATATATTGTGTTGTTAAGCAAGGAGAATTTATGAAGGTTTCACGAAGCAGTAAAGATTTTTAAGTAAGCATAGCATGTTTAGCGGAAATTAAGGGTAAATTCTCTTCAAAATCTCTCTCTTCGAAAAGATTTTTGTTCCTTTGTTGTGCAATGTTTTGCATATTTAGATCCTAAAAGCCCAAAAAAGCACGAAGTGGCCCGTTCTGGCCCAGTCACAGGTTTAAGGTCTCAGGCTAAAGACTTTATTGATAAGCATGTCCAATCCACAGTGGCGATACCAATGACCATAGCAATTTGCAGCTCATCCCAAAAAATCAAAATCTTTGTGATATATATATATATATATATATATATATTTGAGAAGTAATCTATATAGTATTAGTTTCATGAAGCATGAATTAAAATTTCAAAAATATATCCCACAATGTCGAGCAACGTCAATATGAAGAGGGAATTTGAATAATGTTTGTCGCAACTTAGAACCTGGCTAGGAAGTGGTGTTATTCTTTGGTATTAAAATATAAGAATAGATTACTCGTGCGGTACAGTAACTCATGTTAGCATAAATGAGCAAACTTTCATGAAAAACTCGGTATTTATGGTAGATTTTATAATTAAATATGACATATATTGATTGTGGATTTTATGTTTTATGAAACAAAAGATTGAATATATGTTTCAAAGATAACAGCCGGCAAAACCTATAATTGAATTATGATCTGCTATGGTTTTTCTCAATTAATTATATAAGAATGATATTTTATTTATTGGCGCAGAACTTGTTATATTTGAGTTTTTTAATAAAAGAATCCATAAGTAGAATTTAATTATTAAGATTTGGTTTCCTCTCACATCTTAACGTTAATACATATTCATACATGATAGTTTGTTCTATAAAAAACTACATTTAAGTTATTGAAGAGTGAAAGAAAGATCTATATCTCTTCATTAATTTTATATTCTTGTGTGCATTTTTTGAAGATCAAATTCATTTCTCGACGTCATGACTAGGTAAAATTAGTAATTTATTACTTACTGACATTCATTAACTGTGTGTTCTAGTTTCTAATATAAAGATAATTGAATTCATAATATGATAGCAGAGTCTGGTTTATGTTAAGACTAAAACCTTATTAAGTTGATTAAGAAAACAGAGACTTGGAACGGAATTTTTGGGCTTAACAAGAGCAATGGTGGGCACAATTTCGTGTAATGATTTGTATCACAAATTCATGCACGGGGGGTAGATTGATTTGAAATGGACAGTCAGAAGCAATAAAAGAAAAAAAAATTGAATAAATGCAATTTCAACTCCTTCTCTTCTTCTTTCGGCGTTGTTCGTATTGTTTTTGTATTTATTGTTCCAATGTTTCATATTTATTTGTTTGAACTTGACATATTCTTTCTCTTCTTAAACAAATTTTAATAGCTTCTTTGATTACTTTGCTCTGTTCCTTGAGTTGTAAGGAGACAGGGTTGTCTTCGTTGGTATTCATAGTAGCAAACTATGCATGTTTCATGTTTGTCAGGCATGCTTATTGGTTTATTTATTTATTTATTTAAGTTGTTATGTTTTGTTGTCTTTTTTCATGAGTTAACTAATAAGGCAAGCAGTAATAATAAGCAAAATTAATTGTAGATAATTGTTTTAGTGAGAGAGTTTTATGCGTTATTATTAATGACACAATTAAAATGAGTTATTAGTAGTAATTCATAAATTTCTCAATTAAGACTAGTTTTGCTATATTAGATTATAGCATACAATGACTTATCCAAAAACAGTTATTATATGTAGTAATTTTAAGCTTAATGAGAGTAATTAGTAAGGATGTTAATGTGGGTTTTAAAAAATATTTCTGTTTGATGTAAAAAAAAAAAAATTACTACTAACTTGTTCGGTGATTCATTATATACATTACATATCATGCTTAAATATGGATATTTAATTTTATATTAGATTGCTATAAGAACATCGCTTCTTCAGTTTTTAATATATTCTTATTTTGATAAACAACGTAATATTATATTGTCATGTTTTATTAATTGCTAATACAAATTATTATTTCTGCTACTAATTCTATTGTTTCAAACAATTAAGTGTGTGCCATTGAAACTTTGATCATAAATAATTTCAAGAAATGAAAAAGAGATATTGAATTTGCTTTAGGTTCAGTTGAAATTGATATTGCTTTATGTGAGAATAAAACCCTTGTAAAGGAGAAAGCGCAGTGTGAAAAACAAAAAAGAGTTAATGCGCTAAGTTTGATGATCATATAAAAGACAATATTTGATTCTTTTGAAGGAGCTATGCCTAAAAGAAAAAAAAAAAAAAGGATTGCTATGATAAAATAGGAAAGAAAAATCAACTCTTAATCTTTTTTTATTCTTTTCCTTTCAAAGCAATTAAACATTAAATTTCCAAATAATTGCAGTCGTTGATGATTGGTCTTCGTATGGTAAGGCTATCTATGCCCAATTTCGTTTCTATATTCAAATGTTTCTCCTAGTTCCAGCTATAATCCTTTTTTCTTTTTTTTGTAAGTTAGTTATCTCTCCAAAGTTGTAAATCATAACAAAAGCGATATGAAGAGGCTTTCATCTTCTTTCAGCATGAAATTTTTTATCATCTTTTTGGTCTTTGCATTCGGTGAGTCTCTATCATTTCCCTATATATGATGTGTGTATATATATATAGTACACAAATGAATACCATAGTTATATGTATATATGCTAACTAATGAATGCTATTACCAGATATGTCTGTATCTAGGCTATCAAAGACAGAAGCTACAAAGGTGCTGCCGTTCGATTGCGTCAGGGACGATGACTGCAAAAAGGTTTGCAAGCTGGGAGGAATTTGTATCAATAAACATTGTATTTGCGCTGACGATGAAGCCACCGTTTTGCCTTCACAGCCCAAGAAGTGTGTAAGTGGCAGTAGCGACTGTCTCTGATTTTCTGTGGTCCGAGTTGTAGACCATGTGTTTGTTATGCCAAAGTGCATTAATTGTGGTCGTGCTGCCCAAATAAATCAAAGTTTTCATATCTAATCTCGTTATAAAATTATTCAACAAGGTTCATGGTTGGTCGATTAGGCTGTAAGCAGTCAAAACAAATAATTAAGGTAGCAAACTAATTAAGGATGATTTTGTATTTACCTCATAATTAATCTCTGTATAGTTTTAATTTTTTTGGTTGAGATCCTCTAATATTTTTCGAACTTGATTGAAACCTTCTACTCTTATAAATTTATTGATCGAGACACTTCGTTATAACGGTGTTAACTATTTCTCCCACATATCAATCAAGAATCGACATGTGGAAATATGGATAAAAAAAATTTTATCACATGTCATTGTCCGATTGATTACCATTAGTTTTAACTTGTCACGTATGATGAATAGTTAACGATGTTATAATGGAGGGTTTCAATCAACAAATTTATAAAAATAAAAAATTTTAATCATGCTGAAAAATAATAGAGCGTCTTAGTCAAAAAAATTAAAAATGTACATGAATCAATGATGGATGATAAAATTTCAAACGAAGATCTTAAGAGTCTATAGCTTATGCCTCCATGGAACTACAGCCATTTAACAAATAATCGTCCCAATCTTTTTTGGCGAATTGTAGATAACTTTTTGACAATGGCAAACAAGAAATTAATATGCTTTCCAACTTAATTTGAATTTGATTCATGCAATTTAAAGCCTATCAATATGTGGTCATATATATTAACCTTGCATTTTTCAGGTGCTGGCTTAATTAAATAATGAAAATTAATATTTTTTGGCATTGCCATCTCAGGTTTGAATTTAATGGAAGGATACCCGAGAAAAAAAATTATTATTAAAGTACAGCTGAATAAAGATGAACTACCTAGATATGACGGAAAAAGATTTTAATTTCAACGTTTAAAATAGATTTAAAAATATTTTAATGGTCATAAAAAGAGTAAAGCTAATGGGAACCCATTGTTAAAGAGCATTTAATAAAATTAATTATGGTACACTGTTTTGATAGAGAGAACATGATAATTAATTATTGCTCTTGTAATTAAAAATAAAATTTATTAATATAATCCTTTTTCGTATTTCTAAAAAAACAGCAAATAAAATAACTATCTCTGCAAAAATAAAAAGTTGTTCTGAAGTTTTTTTTTTATGATGGAATGGTCAGACCGACTAGATCATCACTATAAATATGAAATGCTAGTATGGTTTTTTATTATTATTTTTATATATTAATGTCTTTTTTTTTTTTTTTTTTATCTTCATAATATCTTAGGTCCAAAAACTCAAATTAATATCTCGTTATTCGATTGAATGCATAAGGTGAGCACAATACTCAATTTTTTTATTTATATATATACATATATTTAAAACAAAAATCACTTGTTTAAACGATTAGAGTTCTTTCGTTCAAACCAACTCTTTTGAATCATGATATCTTTTTTTTTTTTTTTTGAAATAAAACAGTTGTATTGAATCTACCATCACTAATAAAATTAAGAGTCTATTATTGCCTAGGCCATTACTAAAAAAACAAGAAGCTACCCTAGCATTTGTTTTTTAAAAAGAAAAAAAAATCTAAAAGGAGGACTACCACTAAACTAGAAAAAAATCTTTATGAAACTCATTATATTACGTTTTAAATATTTCCAATTTACAAATGAAAATTACTAAAGATCATATAGCACACAATGATCCTTCATGGAGAAAATTTAAAAAATGTTAATGGAAGTTGATTATAAATAAGTTAGAGAAAATTTGAAAAATATTAATAGAAGCTGATTATAAATAAGTAAGAGAAAATGCACTAGTTCCGATAACTAAATTGTGAGAACGAAAATCACTCCCAATTTCAAATAATTCAAATCGTTATCCAAGACCAATCACTAAATACAATTTTCTTTTATTTGCTTGTTGGTTGGTAGGTGGCAAAAGGCCTCAAATTTGAAGCGTTTCGTCCTTCTCTTTTGTTTGTGGTGAAAAGTGGTCCATTTTAGTGCCCACTAACTTTGAAATCAAATCTTCCACGCAAACAAGGACAATTGTTATCATTTCCAGATGGAAATCAGAACTAATATTTTTCATTATTCAAAATAAACTCATGGAATAAATATTAATAATTATTTTTTAGGTATTTTAAAATATTTCGTTGAATATACTTTTTTCAGCACCTTCCAATTCCATCCATTAAAAAAGGAAAATTTGCAAATTGGAAAGTAATAAGAAACAATGAAAGGACAAATTTTGATGGGATAACAAAATTTGCAAAGATAGATGGACATTAACTCTAATCCCATGCATGTTGAGACAGCTTACTCGAAATTCAAACCTGGAGCAAAGCAAAGGTGGGTTGTAAACATTTTCGATTCATGACATTTATTTTATACAATTAATTGATTGATTTTCATAACTAAGTAAAATCTTTATGCGCTTATTCAATATTATTGAGTATAAAATTAAATCATTACAATTACATCAATTAACATGTATCTTTAAATTACATGTTAGAAAAACCTTTCACAATAATTAAAAAAGAAGAAGTTATTATACGAAAAGAAACCATTCAAATCAATTCCTATGATCAGCTCGTAGTCCATTAATTTCTCGGAAACTGTCTCGGCAGCAAATTTCTTGAAGGTTTAAAGGACGCACTGCTGTAACAAAGTCACCCAATTGCTCAGCTGCATCGGGACTGGAGCGTGCTGGCGTGCTGCCATGTCTGAAAAACATGAAAACAAGAGAAAAGGAGAGAAAGAAAGAAAGTGGTGTAAAATATAAAAACGAGCAAGTAGCTCAACTCATATTATTGTTTCGATTTTTAATTTATTTTTTAAAAGAAAAAAAACTGTAGGAGTGGAGCCCAGAGTCGAGATTGTGGGACCGAAAGTCACACGTGGAAAAGTATCTAGAAACGCACGAACGGGGACAACTAAGCCAGCGGTGTCCAGACTGACAAATACAAAGACATAACCCTTTGGGCTTGGGGCTTTTCGGGAATTGAGAACAAGTGTTTTTTCGCTCCAGACAAAGAGAAGACCATGGCGGCGTTTTTCATCTATTTACCACGTGTAAACTCCGCCACCCAGCATTGCTGACTGTTGATGACTCAGCTCCAAATAGTTTACAGGAAAATGAAATACCAGAAAAAAATTATGGCCAAGCATCTACAAGCTGGTTGGAGATTCCTAATTACTAGTAATTATTACTGACGTTTATTAATTTATTTAATCCAATTAAAATTATATATATATATATATATTTGAGTAGTGTTTGACATGTTAAATACATTAAGTTTAATGTGAATAATATTTTTTATGTTATAAAATGTGGTGTTTGTAGGTTTCTGCTAGTTAGGCTGCCCTTAGTTAATTCTCCATTATTTGAGGATACTTCAGATAATTCCAATTTGTGTGGTAAATCTCGATTAAAATTCTTCATTTGTTTCTAATAACTAATGAAATTAAACGTGATTGGCGTTTTATTACATTCCTTTCAAGAGCTTATAATAAATTCCCATAATTCTAGCAGTATCAAAATTAAAGGATTGGTAAAATTTTTATTTTTTAACTGGCTGTTTTGCGGAGCAATTAGAACCCTGGTTTTACTGTATATAGAAATGTCTTCATCTTAAAAAAGGGATGGATCAAATTATCAAAAGAACGAAAAAGATGGATCAAAACGAAGGGATGTAATGGCAAGTTGGGTGTACCAGCAGAAGAAGCCAAACCCTCGATATGAATCCAATAATATCTGGTCGACAGCTGGTTAGCATTTTGCAATACTAAGTTGACCCTCCTCTACTGCCATGCCAGCTCGTCTTCGGGAGCTGTACACATACATCTTCTCTCGAGGCCCCCCTGCAATAAAGAACAAGAAACAAATTGCAATGGAGTACTGAAACATGCTTTAATCTGTAAGGAAACTTTGCTACTCCTAGTCCAGCTAATTAATATAGGAGCTGCATTATGCAGTAAAAGCAGAAATTTGACTCACTTTAGCTACCATTAACAGCTGTTACTATAAACTTACAGATGGTCACCACGCGCACTGGCCACTGGCATTGCAAAACACTAGCTAGCACCAAATGGAACCTAATGAGGGTGACCAACTTAAGTTCTCGGAGAGTTAGAATTTTGAAAGTTACAAGTGACGTAATTGTTGGTTCAGTCTTAATATATCCTAAGTTTGATTGCAAGAAAAGTACACATTAAAACTAATATTCACTCATAAAATTTCAATGTTCAAACTACCCTAGCTAATGGAATTTCATGTGTAAATTGTAAAAACATTACCACTCTATTTCTTGCAATTGCTTCTTTACAGTAGTTGCAGTAGACGTCATCTATGAATTCCCAATAAAGCATGTCTGAATATGATAGGTAATGGAGCAACAGTCACATGAATTACGAGAGATGAGCCTAGTTGCTCATGCTACAAAATACAAGAGGTGTCATTTGTGCTTGTATGGCATGATTAGCGATCAAGATTGCATGGACTGCATTTTAGCATGGTAGCGCTAAATATGAAAATGAATCGGATATAAAATAAATACTTATTTCATCCGATATAATAAATACTCATTACTAATGTTCAATAGGTATTAATATAAGTAATGATAAAAAAAATTACATATTTACTAATATTGTGATTATCTATTTTTTATTCTATTAATATCTATTAATTTATTTATATATTTTTATTAATATGTAGGGATTTAATTACATAAAATTTAAAAATTAAGGATTAAAATATTTTTTAAAAAACTTTGAAGACTGAAAAACTTATAAATAAATTATCGAAATGCAACAAAATTAAAATTTAAAGATTAAATTTTTTTTCTTAAAAATTATAAGGCCTAAAATAAATACTTTTTATAAATTAAATTTAATCAATAGTTAATGGATATTAAATAAACTAGTATGATATGATATGAACGGAATAAAAATTTATATAATAACTTTTTAATAAATAATAGATAGATTATTTTTTTTATAAACAAAATAAAAAATTAAATTAATTGATCGGATAATTATCCAATGCACCGCCACCAAGTTTGGATAAAGCAGGAGAATTACATTCAAAGCGTATGAGCGGATGATTTAAATTGGATTCTGAGCGCTCTTGTCACGAAAAGATTCAAAAAATCTACCAGCAGACAGCTGCATCGTCACTTTATGCATATCTTGGCTGAGGGTTCACGCTATTAACCTTTTAAAGAGCTGAAAACTAGTGATGAATCACGAAAGTTCAATTTCTACTCTATTCAGAGGCCTTTTTACATTAAATTAAAGTCACGAAGGTCCCGGTGTCATCTTAGTATCTAATCTTCCAAGGACCTTGCACATTAAACTACGTTCATCAAGCCACGTACAAAAAACTTCAATGAATTGCTCTATTCATTGGTTCATACTTTTGACTGGCTCTACAAACATGCATCCAGGGAATTTTTTATTTTATTTTTTAAGTCAAAATGGAGCTAAAAGAGATCCTCTACTAACACGAACAAAAGAAAGGAAATCTTCAATGAATTGCTCTATTCATGGGTTCATACGAATACGAACAAAAGAAAAGAAATCCTCAACGCACCTACAGGGCAGCAAAGACAAGCTATTGAGAAGGTGAAATTGGCAAACTATCACTGCCTTTGCGAAAAATCTGAGCAATGGGCTAAAAGGTTGCCTACTTTCAGTAACATCAATGTCTCCCCCATTTTAATTTTGGGTGCTATGATCAGTACCTATGGATTGGGGAAAATATAAAGAGCTTCAACAAACACACAGTAAATGAGAAGGGGAATTATGGAAATAACTTTTGCTTCATCATTGTCAGCTCTTAATTATTGAATAATGTACAAAGCATTGCTCAATCTAAATACACCATCCATCTTAGAATTATTTAATCACAACAACCACTTGAGAGAACCAAAAAAAAAAAAATCCAACTTTATACAAAGCTTTCTATAGCTCTAATCGCACACTCGCACTTCACTTTTTGGCTTCTCAAATTCACCTTTTTATGTGCTAAGCTATAAACATTTCAATGTACATTATTGAGTTATATGTCAAAAGCAAAAAAGTGAAGTGCAAACATGAAATAAACTTTATAGTAATAATACCCAAAACCTTGAACTTCAAGCCATCTTAAGGTTTGTTAATTCTGGTTCAAGGTTTCCCATAAAGATGCACACTGCCTTCTTGCAAACCCAACCCTTCTCTTCTCCAAATCATAGACAACTTCAAACCCCTGTTGCTGGTAATTTCCCAAAGTAGCCCCAGGCCCACCACTCAACTCAGCCTCATCACCGCCGTTCATCAGCATCAAACACCCAGCCTTCCTCTTCTTTCCTTTCCCATCACCACCATCCAAAAACTCATAAAAATAATTCCTCCTAGGCAGTACCACACTTGATTCATTCCCCACGAAATGTAACACGACACTCGGCACATTCACCACGTTATTATCAAAATAATAACACGGACTCAACCCAGTGTTTTCCTCAATACCTGTAGCTCGCTGATTAACTCGCCCAACTCGGTTCTCAAACTCTGCCACAACCGAGTCATACAAAGCTGCCGGCAACATAGTAAAAGTTGTCCCTGAATCCACCACCAACCCACCACTTCCCTCTCTATCAACCTTCCTCAAAAACCCTGGTGCCGGAATTTTCTTTCTACCAATAGAAATTCCCTCAAGTCCAACACAATAAAAATAAGGATGTTTTAAATTATCAAGCATAGAAGTATATACAAAACTAGGCTTATTAACACCGTTTACGCTTCTCTCTTTCTCATCATGATCATACCTTCCTAAAATGAGTGGACTCGGTCGACGAACTCGGTCTGAATCAAACGAATGAGAGACCAAACAATAAGAGAACTGGTTCCCAAGTTGGGGAGATAAAGTAGCAAGCTGAGCAGGCAAAGAAAGGACTCCCCGGCCAAACCCAGCAACCCCAACAGGCTCGGCGAGCGCGGTGTGAGCACAGCCAAATGTGAAATTATTGAACATCAAGTTAGTTGGATTGCTTAAAGGTATCATAATAGAGTCGCGGTAAAGGTGAGCTATCAGGCTGCCATCGCCATAAGCATAATAGAATTGTGGGCAAGAATGTTTTCGACAATCCGATATTTCGATGGATTCTAACGGGCAGTTGGAAATAGCACATAGGTCGGAGCTTGGGAGATTGGAGTGTGCAGCCGAACATGCAGATGATTTACAAGGGACTGGCGTGGCAGCTATGGAGAGTTTTGGTGGTGGATAGGAAGCGAGAGACGTGTTTTCAGCTTTGCCTTCACAAAGAATGCATTCAAAAGGCTGGCATGGGAACCAAACAAGGTCACTCCCTGTGTCAAGATAAAGAGAGATGGTCTGAGAGTCGAGAGTTAAGGAGAGAGTGTAGTCACTTCCGGGAGAGAGAGGGAGGGAGACTTGACGATGGTTGTGACTGTTCTTGTGATGGTGGTGGCGGAAGCGGGTGGTGGAACGGGTGGAGGTGGATTTGAGGAGGTGGTGGGTGGAGTTGAATTGGGTTTTGGACAGGAAGTGAGTTAAAGGCAGAAAAAGAGTTTGCGAGGTAGAGATGAAAATGTGGGAGAAACAGAGTAAGAAACAGAGGAACAAAGAGTGAGAGGTTGCCATAAGTCAAGTACTTCACTTTTTTGTTTTTGGTTTTTGTTAAGAAGAGAAGATAAGCATAAGGAGAGAAAATAGAGTTGAAATATGAATTTGATTAAGGAGAGAAGGCTGAGAGGAGAGTATTGAAGAGGATTGAAGGTGGAGAGGAGAGGATGGTTCTGGGAGGAATGGAGTTTAGGTTGCTGGCAGGGTAGGCTAAATGTATAGGAGTTACAATCATTGGAGATAGGAGAAATGGAAACGTGGAGAATTATATGTGGAGTTTGAAGAGACTGCTCTGACTTTTGGGGGCACAAGGTTTGAAATGACTTTGCCTACTTGAAGCAAAGTATTACCATACCTCACGAACTGCTCTTGTCTTGCTCTGGAGTGATCTTAGTTGGGATAAGTATCATTAATTTCTTCTTCTTTTTTTTTATCAAAACAATTAACTAATTTTGATACAGAGGACATGGTAAAGAAACAAATCGAACAATCGAAGCCCCAGGAAGGGGAAAACAATAAATAAAATCGAAGTCCAGTTCAATTATTCAAAAGTGAAGTCAACCTAAGGCACGGAACTGGGTCCTAGAGTAAGATTTAAGAGTTGTTGTACTAAGTAAACTTTTGAACCATTTTCTTTTCTTTTCAATTACTATAAATCAGCATCCAACCAAAATAGTTATTAACAAATCAGCCCCTATCTTCAAAAAATTGGTAATTTCTCCCCAAACATTTTATTTATTTTATTTTATTTATTTATTTTTATCTTGGTGTCTTCTATCCGTTTCTATTACCATAAGATTACAGAAGCTGATTACAAAACATGTTTTAAAAATGATTTTATTATAATCACTTCTATGAATAATGTTACGAGGAATATCATCATACTTGAAGACAGGACTAAAGAAAAGTGAAAATTAAATTTTTTTTTGGTTGATTGAAAAATATGTTAGTGTATGGATACAAATTTGGCAGTAAATAAAATAAAATTTACAAAATAAAAGGAGAAAATTAATGGTTAAAGGACATTTTTAAAGTTTTGAAATTTTCTTTGCAATCAATGCAAAAAGGGAAAATATTTTATTAAGATAAAATATTGTTAAAAAATAAAAATCTACATTTTTCATTATTTGTTCTAATCTTGTTTTCTTTGAATTTCACTTTTACTCCCACATATTTAATTAAATTATTAAGTTTTTCTTTTGTTCAAAAATAAAACAATTACAGTTGTATTTAAAAAGATAAATAAATTGATTAGCTTAACACTAATTCCCTTTTTATATCTGAACATTGATTAAAAGCGGCATAAAGTACATATATCACATAATTGAAAAAATATATAATAGAACTTTTTGGCAGGGAAATATAGAGAAAATATTGATAATACAAGCGAACTTTTTAGCAAGGGTTTACAGTGAACTTTCAATGCTTCAATTGCTGATAAAACACTCAGTTTGATAAAATTGAAGTCGGATCTGACTTAGAAAACCAAATATTTGCGCTTTTCAATTAACAAAATCAAATGATAAATTTATACTTTTTCAAAACTATATACTTGAAAATATAATTCTAGTATTTCATTCATAATAGTGAATTTCATAAATTTTCATGGAACCTGACAGGCGACCGACTTATTAGACAAAAGAAAGTATAGGGAGAAATTGGAAAAAGTTTGAAGTTCGAGGACTCATCTGTTAATGAGTATATAGATTGGGGACTAATATGTTGGCAATATCATTACCATTTTTCCTCCCTTGCTGACTTGCAAATGTTTCAAGACTTCAAAGAACCACAGTTACTGCAAGTGGGTAAGCATGCTAGACCAATAGTAAAATCAAGGAACTCACATAGGAATGAGCAACCATAGTTATTTCTTTCGAACAGAACTTTTAACCTGTTTCAGTAAATTGGAGCAGTTGGAAGATTTAAAATCCTTTCAAAGTTCCAAGCATCTCTCTTTCCAAGTAGCGTTTCATCCTAATGCACGGAAGGAGCGTGGAGATTTCGTTTGGTACTATTTGAAGTTAAAAATGGGGCCCCTCCGTTCTGGTTAAATCTGCTGAATTTTTGTCCTAAACCTATGCAACATATGTGCGGATAGCTTGTACGTATCCAGTAGAATGAATGGTCCATTGAATCTCCCCGATCCACCTTGCGTACCTCGGTTGAAACTCCTTCGATATGAGATCTACACTACAGACTCGAGAAGGAAATATGGACAAAATACAAGATTTTTAAGATATATCATTTTGTTTCATGTCCGGTTAAAAAGAATTTAAAAAAAACACTTTTGTATACATTTATGTACAAGTCTCGACTTTTGTATGCTTGGAATTAAAGATATATGGTTGTTAAATTGCTATTCAATTAACCTTTCCACAAAAATTTTCACTCTCAACAGTTTTAAGGAATTTCGCGGAGGCATACTGGAATATTAGGATGTCTATAAGAGATTAGACAAATAAGTACATAGACGATTAGTTGTTTTATCGTGTAAACTAAAGTACAATGATTAGATTAACATCAACACAAAGCACCGATCTCTCTGCTTCTTCACTCTTTTTTTTGTTTTTGTTTTTTTTCAGTAAAACCTGAGCTGAGGACAACCATAATCAAGCACCGTTTGAATCTCACCTTGGACTTGAGGTTGGTGAATGAATAGAAATGCTGCAGGTAGGGTGATCAGCTGGCAAAGACCTGTAGTCCATCCCAAAGAGCCACTTCTCTCCGGGCCCAACACTCACAATGGACCTCCATGATTCGTTCTCTCACTCCCTGCCACCTAAGATTTCGATTCCAGTTAAGATTCGCGCGAGGCCGCACCGGCTATCGATTTAAAAGAGAGGCTGCCTAACCCTAACAGCCGACCGAGACCCAACCTAGTTGTTTAAACAAAGCACAACACACCCTTCCATCTCTAATTTCAAGTCATAATAATGTCTTGGAAAAACCTACTATCAAATTTGAATCCTTTGGGTTTCACTTGGTTTTTCGTTGTTAAAAGCATCTCTCGCTTTTTTTTTTCTTTTTTTTGAAAAAAAAATATTTCTCTTGCCTTCTATTTTAACTTTTGGTAATGAAAATTTTCAGTAACTGGGGTTAACCCAGTCACCAGTTACTGAAAATTGAGAGTTGAGGATTAAAGAGTAGGACGTGTCAAGTTAGATGCGTCCAGTTGTACCAAAAGAAGTCAGGAGTAGGTTGTTAGGGGCAAGGGAAGCCTAGCTAGGATGTTCAACCAACCAAACTCAAAAAATGAAGTCTCCATGGCTTCATCATTAGCAGTCACTATTATTCCTTCAAAATCATTATTATATAGCTGTACTTGCGAACCCAAGACCATATATAAACCACGCTTGAAAAAGACGTCTCCTCAGCCATACTTCATAATTTTATGCCCTTCATCACTACCATACTTCGACGAAGAAAAGTCCGTTGTGATTTGTGAGAGCCAGCTGCACGTAGTCCTTATCAAACGTTGCCTTTACCCTACTTAGTTGTTATTTATAAGTAGAATTCGGTTTTAAACTCGCTAAATGCTACAAGTTTTTTTTTTTTTTCGTCAGAAGAATATAGCAAACATAGGACCCGCAGAATTTATGGAGGTTTTGTATACATATTTGTCCAAAGTGTGTTTCCATCATGGAAGGTACACCTATCTTAAAATGTGAGGTTTTATCACATTCTGTCTGGTGGAACAAACCTAAAAGATGAAGGGTTTAACTAAGAAGCGATGGTCTCCATTAATATCGTTCCCTAATGGCCATTATTAAAAATTAAAAAAGAGAAAAATTCAGTACCTAACACAGGCATGAAAAGAGAAGGAAAATAAAACTAACCAATGATCACATGGACCAGTCTCTGATTCATCTTGGGTTTTATTAAAAAAAAAAAAAAAAAACTAAAAGAAATGAACTTTTTATTATTCATTAAATTTTTGTGTAATTTTTACTTTTTTTAAAAAAGTTATATATAAATTATCCAGTCTTTTACGCTTTGATCTCTGATAGTTTCAATCTTTTATTTCGATCCAATCTTTTATTTTTTTAGGGGGCTGGTAAGGACCATGGCTGGAGAAGCAGGCTCAAGCGAGGCTAGCCTAGCGTGCAACCTGCACGAGCAGGGCCAGGCGTACAGGGCTGGCCTCGCACACAGGCCTGACCAAGTAGGCCCAAGCGAGCTGCCTTGGCCTAGCGTGGGCCTGGCCTATATTTTTTCCTCTTCCACCAATAATTTATTTTTATATATATTTTTTTTCATGTAATTGGGAGTGAAAATTATAGAAAACATCAGTTTTTATTTTTATTTTTATTTTTATTTTTTACATAAAATTTGATGATATAAATGAGAGATATGAGAGAGCTTTGGAGATGAACAGAGACAACCGACCAATCAAAATTTTGAGCATTTTGCTTGTTTGGAGTTAGGAAGGGGTTAGCAATCACAACTCTAAAATTTGAAGGTTAGGAACAAATAAATGAAAACAGGGGAGGAGGCGGATTTGGGTTTTGTCTTGCCACTGTTAACCATAAAGTATTTGAGTATACTCATACTGATTGTTGATGAAAATGGTTCACCAAATCAAATCAAAATGCACTGTCACATGTAAAATATTTCAATGTGGAAACAATGCCAAATATTGTGCACCTCGAAGCATGATGTGTTAAACTACAGCCAGGATCATCGAAATAGTTTGTATTCAAGTACTAACAAATCACCATGACATTTGACCATCATAATAGGCAAAGACCATTTACTGCACTGTAAGACTATGCCAGTGACTACTCATATAAGAGGAAATTTTATAGCGACTATTTAATCAACAAATATCAATGAACTGATTCTTTTGCCAAGTTATCTGCATGATAGCCTAGATGATGATGCCCAAACTTACGGTTCGGTTTAAACTACAAAATATAAAAATTGAAATAACTCTTCACAGTTAGCAATGTCATTTACTGCTCTGTAAGAGCCATAGCAACTAATTTCCAACCCTTCACAAATCTCCAGCAAGAGGGGTATAAATTCCTTCAGCATGGCATAAGTAAAATAAACAAAAGAAGAACCCATGCTATCATAACTGGATGGTAATCCTCTTTCCTTTTTAACACATTTTATGGTTGGATGTATAGAAAAATCCTAGGAGCCACTAGGACAACTGGAAACCAGATTCATAGGGAACAAGCAAACAGCTCTTTGTAAAGGAGATAATTTCGGAGACCTGAAGCAGATCATAAGGGGGAGGGAAAAACAGAAAAGAAAAGAAAGAAAGAGATCATTTTGAAACTAGAGTAATTAGGCTACCGGTATTTCGGTGCATGCATGCACATTTAATTGCTCCTACTCCACTTTCTTTCCACCGAGAACTCCTACTCTAGATTATTGCACAACCCAAAAATGGACCGCTATGCCTTTCTCAGCACTCACTCAATTACTGAAAGTTAGAATCTCTACAATATTTAAACCATGAATATGAAAACTTAAAAGGCCATGCAAACTATTTTTTATCTCATCATGCGAGATACATAGTTTGGCACTAGTATATATTGTTATTCATACCTGAAACAGGATTACCCATGAAGGTGTTGTAGATTATGCTGTTAGAACCTGAGGCAAGACCCTGCATGCATGATTCACATGCAACACTGAAAATCATATAACAGCTTTAGATTAAATTTGAACACTGAACAAGGTATTTAAATTTCTTGGGGAAGCAAGAATTTGATTTGGTCTTTGCATATCGACAAACAATAATATAACAAAAATATCAATGGCATTAGATAGAACAAAGCATAGACATGGAGGCATAACCCCACCTAAGGAGTGCATGCTTATGAAGGCTTTATTTTCTCCAGCTGCTTCTCTGCTTCAATAAACCCGAGGGGTCCCAAAGACATGTATTTAACATGTTTCCATCTGTCCAATCTCTTCATGAATTAAAATCTCTTTAATTTAATGGGCAATTCAATGTATGAAAAGATAATTGAAAGAATAATTCAAGCTTTTAGTAGTTGCAAAACATCATCAAACTGCTTACTTGGGTATGAAAGGTAATGCCAAACAATGGAGGTGTAGATGGTTAACACTGTTAAATGGAGGCTGATGAAATCCAAATCTGCCAGACAAAAGAAAATTTCTCAATTAAACTTGTTTTCCTTGAAGCAAAAACTCATGCAAAATAAAAACAGCTTCAGAGTAATCTCGCATATTTTGTTTGACCTATGATGCATGCTTATGACCCCCTATGCATATTCTTCAAAAATTTCCCTACTCAGGATCATTCATTTCCTCAAAGCTACACTCACATGCAAATTCAAAAATCATCTACATTATGAATTGGTCACCACACGTGAATCTGACCAAAAATGTATAAATAATGAAAAAAAGAAAAGGTGCTTCCATGAACCAGTACCTGTACAATTTTGACTGAGGCGCATCTCGGTGTAGTAGTGTTTGCCCCACAATCAACATGTGATTTACTAAAAAAAACAGAGAGGTAACCATTGGTTAGAAATAAGACAAGTGACAGTAGCATATGTCACTAGTTCAAACCAATGAACTGTTATATTTAATATTTTTTACCCAAAGAATAATCTTCATCTCTCCTCTGGAGATCATTGACAGTTCGAATGTGCTCCACAGGAATCACCAAGTAGTGCCTACCATGAGGCCAACCCAAAGCAACATTTTAGGAAAAGATTAAAAGAATTTGGCAAGTACAGTAGGGGATAAGACAAAATTGGCATCAAACGTTCATACACGATCGCCCAAACGATGCTAAAAGATTAATAAAAGAAAAATGACACATGCTTGCTATAGGAGAAACACATTTCTCCTGTGCTTAAGAATTTGTTTGGCATTAACTTTGCATTTGATATAATTAAAAAAAAAAAAAACACTATTCAACAAAAGAACATGGCTTTAAAACTAAATGACACCCAAATTACAGTTTCATAAACACAATGCCAAATACAACCCTACAAGTACAGTCATCTGGAATTTGACAGGTTTGGAAGCCCCTTGCGCCATCTGGCATCCCCACCAAAACCCTAAAAATTCATCTGCACAAGCATGTGCAAGCATGCTCACAGTTTAAAAAAAAAAAAAAAAATGCTAACAGTTTAACCAAAAAAAAAAAAAAAAAACTCTAAAGTCAGTACAATCCCTTGTTAAGGATTGTTTACATAGACCAGTCAAAGTAGAGAACACTTGCTATGCTTAAAAAAGTACGCGTGACCCAAATGAATAGATGTATAGCTATACATTAGATGCAGTTCCTGTATCTCTGACTAAGTGAACATGTCATAGCTACAACAGCTAATCTGCACAGCTACTTCCAAACAAGAAGCTATCACAACGCAAACCTCTCACTTGTCCACTCGCCCACACCAAACGAGTAAGGCCCAAGATCAGAGGCACTGCTTGTTTGCTCTATCATCATTTTCGAATCAACCTAAAACCTATTCATATGAATGCCCGTCTTTGTAAGTATCAATCAAGGGATTACAAGCACAAAAATACATGTATCAAAAGAATGAAATCGTAACCACCAAGATTAGAAAATATAGGCAAATGTTAAACCAAAGGAAATAAAGATTAGAGAAAGCTCAAATCTATATATGACATAATTGAATTAGAGAAAGCTCAAACCTGTAAATAACATGATTGAATTAAAACACCGCATAGTATATAGTCACTGATTTGATTTATGGAAAAACCAGACCAAATGATTTTACAAACCTGAAAGCAGAGGGGTTGATATCTTGAAATGCAACCACCTTGTCATCCTGCAGGACATAAAAACAAACTCGAATCAGCAACGAGTAGCGTTGATTCTAAGCAACCGAACAGAACTTTAAGTAAGAGCGAGAAGAGGGAAACTAACAGAATGGAGGAGAGTAGTGGAGGTGGAATTGGTGGCAATCTGGCAGAAGATACATGGTGAGGTCGCTTCCGCCATCGCGAAGATCGACCCCAAATCAGAATTTCCCCAAATTGGGCGAGAGCCGAAAATTAAGAATTAAGACTTAAGACTTAATTTTTTTTTTTTTAAAAAAAAAAACTCGTGCAGTCACCGTAATTTGTTTCGATTACACAGTCGCCTCTATTGTTTTATAAATTACACTTCATCTTCATTTTATGAGGGGGTGGCTACATTTCATCCTTGTTGTGCTTTGAAATTGGATTTGAAACTGTTTTGCGAAGTCATATGATTGAAAATGGGTTAAGGGCAGAAATTACTCATGTTCGATTGTAATTTTATAATTTCATATTTTTGTTATTAATTTACGTAATTTAAATTAAAGATATTAATTTTTTAGCAAATGTTATTTAAATCGTATTCCATATAATTAACTGTTATTATATATATATATGTTAAAATTGCTTAGATAAAAATTGATTTCACATTCTTTAGATCACTTGAAGTTTTTTTCACTAATTCTTTTCCTCCATTTTTTTAAGAAAATTTTTTTCTTACACTTTTACTTATAAATAAAAAAATTCATTAAATTTATCACTAAACTTTCTTTTGGATTTCTCTAAAAGATGGCTTTTACTTTTTGAATCTATATTTAAAAAAATAAAAATAAAATAAAATTAAAAAATTTTTAAAAAATAGTTTTCTAATTCTAACAATTTTAAATACATATTATATATTTGAATCAATTGTGATAATACAAGATCGTATAAATTATGTGAAGATAAAAAAAATATTAAATAAATACAATTACATTTAAAATTTAATGATTGATGATCACAAAAAATAAATTCATTGACCAGACAAAAGAAAATTTTTAATTAAAAATTAATTATTTGATAATTTCAATTGATTACAGTCAACCAATAAATATTTATATTTTATTAATTATAGAAGTAGAGTGTTTTAATGGATAATAGTACAACATAAATTTTTTTTTTAAATTGAAAAAAATTATATACAAATAACAATTTGATCAACTACGAAAAATTAAACTAATTAATATGTCGAAATTTTAAATAGAAAGAATTAAGTTATAATTACATTGAAAAAATAAGAACAAGTTTTTCCTTTATTTTTTAAAAATTAATTACGGAATGCCTAAACAACAAACGATGTCATTTAAGTATTCCATTTAATGGTCAATTGGGTTGACCGTTATAAATAACAAAAAAAAAAAAGAAATTGGATAATATTTATCTAAAAATTGATATTTTAGGATTTAAATTATGTAAATTAGTAATAAAAAACCTAAAATTGACAAGTTACAATAAAACGGAGGCAATTTTTGCTATAATGTTGATTGAAAAAGGCACGTTAAATTTTCCTTCAACTATTAATATTTTGAATAATATAGATATTTAAGTGATAAAATACATGAGTATATTATTTTATTATTTTATAGGCAACTATAACTTTTTTCATAACTATTTATATCTCATTTCAATTTTAAACATTCACACAAACAAACAACTATTCATTACACAAAATGTACACATCCATCTTCTCAAATTTAAAAATAATGATTAAAAAATAGTTTTCAAACAAAGATGAAATGATTTAACGAGTTAAAAAATAATTTTATCAATAATATATATATATATATATATATATATATATATATATATATATATATATATAATTAGCAATTAGGTTATCCATATAGAATATATTTCTTATACTTAAACTTAAATTTTAATAATAATTTATTTCTTTTCGTGCTCCTGTTTGGAGTAAAAAAATATCTCAAAACTCTTTTAAATGAATTAGATTTTGGAAATGACAAACTCCTTTGATGAAATTATTATTTTTATCTTTTACTGATTATGTACAACTGTGAACGATTTAAAATTTTCATATATAGAAGAAACATTGCAAATTATTATTATTTTTTATTTCATCAGAAATTTAGAAGGTTAATCAAATCAAGTCTTATTAGGCCCGAAGGCTAAAAACCCATCCGTCAATCCTTAATACTACTTCTACTAATTAGAAGCCGATGCATCCACGGTAAGTTTGTAATGTGAAATCTCGAAGATGGAAATTTATTGTAATTACAACAAATATAGGGGCAATTGGTCTAATTAAAATATACTCAAAACAGCATTTTAACTTTTGAGCGGCAGCCAAACGGTAAAACCTAAAGCCTCAGAAGGCAAGCCTTTGCTCTGCCACGCCGTAACTCACACCATGCCACGCTATCCAGTGTCTTCTTCCCTATGATTTCTCTACTTTCCAAAACCCTAACGATCCCCTCTCCCCTCTACTTCGCTCAACTCGCTTGATCCTGATTCCTCACTCGCTATTCACCCGCTTCACTTCCACTCCCACACAATCCCGACTCATGAGTTCCGACTCAACCCAGCGTGTCTTCCAACTCAAAGTCGACCCGCTCACCGGTAATTCTGAATGGTTCATCATCGAAGACGGAAACAGAGAAGAAGATGAAGCTTTCAAGAGTTCCAGCAATGATCTTCTAGCCACGACGTCGTATTTGGACATGCTTAACGACGAAACAAGAAACAGAGCATTCCGTGAAGCCATTGACAAGACCATAAAGAAACCGTGCCACGTCTTAGACATCGGGTACATCAATTAATGCTAGTATTGTTTTGCTTTAATTTTGAAATTACAATATTATTTTAATTTAATTTAAAAGTTTACGGCGGCAGAGCTGGGACGGGGCTGCTGTCAATGATGACAGCAAGAGCAATGGGTGTAGGTGACTCAATGCCATGTGATGATAGCAAGAAGGGGATGGTAACAGCGTGTGAGTCATACCTTCCAATGTTGAAATTAATGAGAAAAGTATTGCACCTGAATGGTATGGGAAAGAATATAAAGATTTTTAACAAACGCTCGGATGAACTCCAAGTTGGTGTGGATATTCCTTCACGGGCAGATGTTCTTGTAAGTATAGTAATTGGTATTCTTTGTAGAATAGTTGTTTCTTCGCTGGTGTTAGCTAGTTTAGTTAGTAAAGTCATCTCTCGTAACACAAATGGGAAAAAAGAGAATAATTGATTTTTTCGTGGATAAGTAATGTAAGAAAAGTAAACTGCTAAGTTATTTTGCCATGTCGGTTATGTGATTGCTAAGGTACAAGTAGATGTTTTGAAATGAGGATCTGAAGTCGTAGATTATGTTTGGTGAGTTGTTGGTAGTTGAAGGTTATGCAATTGTTTACTTGAAGTCGTTTCTGATTTAATTGCAGGTTAGTGAGATACTAGACTCAGAGTTATTGGGTGAAGGGGTTATACCGACTCTACAACATGCACATGATATGCTGCTGGTGGACAATCCACTGACTGTGCCATATCGAGCTACGACTTATGGCCAGGTGTTTTGATAGACTATCTACTGTTCCTTTTCTTTTTCTTTTGTTTTTTTCCTGGAAGTTTTTTTTTTCAATCTTATTTCTTCTTTGAAAATGGTAGATTACATGTCAATTGTTGGTTTAGCATCTATTGCTCATATTCTCATCCCTGTCTATATGGCTATGGCTTTTCCCACATACAATGGGGGACAGTATAAATCTCAATGTTCGTGCCAAGGGTGCTGAGTAATATTTGACACTAAATCTGTAATGTGTGGTGTTATTTCTTTGCGACCATTTATGTCTAGTTAGGATTAGAGCAAACAAACGCTGTCCTTCAGAAATTAGTAAAACTCAACAGAAATTAGTAACATCATCAGAATATGAATATGTTTTGTTAGGTTTCACTAAAGTCTTGAATAATTTGCTTTAAGTTTTCTGTGCATGGGTGGAGGCTAATTCATTATACAGTGGCTCTACTGGAAACTTGAAATATGGGCAGCTGAAAATAATTGGTACGTATTCCCTAAAGAAGGATAAAATATAATAACATAGAGGAAGGATTTCTAGTTAAATTGACAGTGTTCCCTCTTCCAAACCCTGGAAAATTGTTTTATTTTTTGCTTTTTAACCTGGTAAATTTAGCTGAATGCGCTAGGCTAGATCAAAATCAGGCTCTGAAGTGATATATATATATATATATATATGTATGTATGTATTTTTTGCTTATAGTTGGACCATTTTGTTTTATTTTATTTGAGCTGCGTCTAATCTTTGTGTTATCACTTGGCCTTTTATTCCGTACACTTGGCTAGTTTATTTTCAATTGATTCATATTTTGGTTGAAAATATGATCCTTATCATCATTTGAAAGTTAATGCTAGCGTATTTATTTATTTTTTTCAACTTTTCTTCTCCTTTCAAAGTTGGTTGAAAGTACATTCCTGTGGAAGCTGCATGATCTTTCTAATAATGAAGAAGAAGCAGCGGACAGCATTCGTCTTGTTCCAACTGGCTTGGACACAATTTCATGTGTCAAAGCACAACAACATCCCATGCATTGTGATGCAATATCAAAAGAAATAAATCTGGTAATGACATTGGTCGCTATCTTTCTAACTTCTTTGAGAGGACAATTGGTTTAATTGTTGCTCAATTTAGGATTCATCCAGCTGTCAGAACCCTTCAAAATTTTTGAATTTGACTTTTGGAAACGGCCAGACAGCCGAGGGGACTCCAAATTGCTCATCAAGGCGACTAATGATGGTCGAGTTCATGCTGTAGTATCATGGTAAGCATATCTCTGCTGCTTTATGTCACATTTTTCGGATAGCTATAACATCTGTAATTATGTTTGTTCAGGTGGGTTCTTCAGCTTGATCCTGAAGGGACAATCTTTTATTCCACTGCTCCTAGATGGACAACTTCACCAATGAACACAGGTAAGTCACATATGCCTTTCCCTTCTTGGTCCTTTTGTTTATCCACTCTAAAGTGTTATAACCATGCACATACTACATCCTTGGAAGGAAGTTGAGCAATTCAATGAAGAAAGGATTTTAAATGACTGACAATGTTTTATGGATGTTTATGCTAACAAATAAGGGCAGTCAGACATGATTGCTGACTAGGTACGTTTATATTCTCAATAATGAAAATTTGCAATATTGTGGCATCTGCAATAAAGCAAATTATTTAAGAATGAGCTATAAAAGTTGTTTATTGTGAAAATTGATCATATGGAGTATGGACTGTTCCTCAGTCAGTACCTGAGAGTTCTAAATTATAATGGAGAGGATCAATGTTCTGAATAAATATTAGCTCATTTGCAAATTGTTTTGAAACCTAGCTCATGATGTGAAAAACCTTACATAGCTATGAAAAAAATTTACTATGAGAAGTGAATTTAAATGAGCTGTTGCTTTTCAGATATGCACTTAAGAAGTTTAGATATCCATCTCCACCTAAGAATTTCAACGAACAGACAAGATACATTTTGAAATTTATACTGATTATTGTTATTATCATTTTTTTTTTTTTTTAGAATTGCACTGGAACATCATGTTTTTTTTTTTTTTTTTTTTTTTTTCTGATCCCACTAACAAGGTTGATTTAATGCTTCACTAGGTACTAGCAACTGGTGTGACCACTGGAAACAATGTGTGTGGTTCATTCCAGGGAAAGGTATACCTGTATCCAAGGGTGAAGAGGTTCATTTGCATGCTGTTCATATTGATACGAGTGTCTCATATAATCTTACAACCCAAACCACCGAGATTAGGGAATATGATTACAGTGCTGGAGATTCTCTCCTCACATTGTCTCCTGAAAGAATTGCAATCTATGGAGACAGAAAATGGAGGTCTTGCATGTTAATGGCTTTGAGAAATTTGGTATGAGCTCTGTGTCTCTTTGTCCCTCTCTCAGGTGTCATGTTCTGTGCCTGCACTTTTTTAAATGTGAGTTGCATTTTACAGTTGCAGGAAAGAGTTCACTCACTATGTGTTGTTGCTGATGATAGTGTGTTCTTATCACTTCTTGTAACACATCTGTCGAAAACATCAGATGTGATATCACTGTTTCCCGGGCTGCAGGAGAGGGGTGCACAGTATTTGCAGGCAGTTGCTGATGCTAATGGCTTCACAGCAGATCGTATAGAAGTTTTCCAAAAGAAGAAATACTTGACTCTGGATGATACTAAGCAAAAGAAGGTATTTTTTTCTGTGTACTAGCTGACATTTCAAATACCACTTTTACTTTCTCGGTAATCTTTGAGGTAGGACTATTGTTGTTGTGCTTGTCTTTTCTTTTTTGGTTGTGGCCATTGGGGTAGGGGGTGGAGTTAAAGTGAAAATGCCAAGTTGAATCATGTTGTCGTGCAAGCTCTTACTCCTCATTAAGCTAAAGTAACGACTTGCATTTGCTTTTGAGCAACTGCAAATTGTTAAGCTAAAGTAACGGCTTACATTTGCTTTTGAGCAACTGCAAATTGTAGTTCAACAATTAGAGTTTTATGTGTTCTGTTTGCAGGTTGATCTATTGATTGGAGAACCATACTACTATGGAAATGATGGGATGCTTCCATGGCAAAGTCTGCGGTTTTGGTATACTATAATATGCAGCATTTCATTAGTGGGACAAATATGTTATTCTATCAGTCTACGTCATCGATCAAAGTACTTATATGATGCCCTTTTTCTTGTCATGGATTCGGATTTTAGGAAGGAAAGGACTAAGCTTAACTGTGTCCTTGCTGAAGATGCGGTAGTAATGCCTTGTAAAGCAATACTGAAGGCTTGTGCAATGTCCCTTCCTGTAAGAGAAAAAATTCTCCTTATTTTTATTTGTTTGAACCAGCTATTTGGCTAGTGATGGAACTGGTATCTGATACCTTTTGTACAGGATCTTTGGAAAAGTCGTTGCTGTTTAAGCAAGATAGAAGACTTTGACCATTCAATTGTAAATAACACCTTAGGAGCCTGTGGTGACTTACCTGCATCACAAGATGGTCCACTTCTGCCTTTCTTTATATGGCAGTGTGGGAAGATTAAGGTAGCTGATATGCATAAATTTATGCCTACAAGAACATTGTGTTCTTTTCCAGAATACTTTAACACCATTGTTATTGATGTGATTCTATTGGAATTGTTTAGGAACTCAGTGAGACATTTACAATCATGGAATTTGATTTCTCTAAATCTATTGGTCCATGCTATGGAAAAGCCCAGGTGATAAATTTTGCACCTTGAATTGTCATTTTGTAATACTGACCAGGGTTTAATTGTTGGGATTTGATTTATCTGTGCTTTGGCTCCAAGTTCCTAGATGTTATTCCCTTCCTGGGAGCTGGTTTCTGTTCTCTAATGTCATAATGGTTTGTGTGAGTGTGCATCTTCTCCTTTTGTTATTCTTTTCCACGTACACATGAAATTTGTAAGCTAAGGTTTTTAATCTAGTGGTGCAATACATGAGAGCAAGTTAATTGCATGTTTATGCATTGATAAACCATTGGCATGAAATGATGTGAACAGTAATGTTGTAAACAAATGTGGCTCGCCAAGGTGTATCTTTAGACCTTTTTTTTTTTCCACTTACATTACAGTTTATTTGAGCTCGTGTTATGTGCACTAGATGCTTAAGTATCTATATAATTTGTGAACTAGAAGTGATTGGCATCTTAGAATTTTCTTTAACTGGAAATATTTAATAAGCAACACAGAAGAACTGCTAGTAAATACTTTCTGTCAATGTCTATGATGTAATAGTTGTGATTATTTGTTAGTAAGATTTTGAGCTGAACATTGTGGGGCAATTCCCATGGCAATATTTTGTCTGTAGCATTTAGTATTCAACTCAGCTTATCCTGACAAAAGGTGGTCTCCACAGGTTGAATTTACTGAGCAAGGGATATGCCATGGATTTGTGCTATGGATTGATTGGGTGATGGATGCGAAGAATTTTGTTGTGCTAACTACAGGACCAGGTATAATTTTATTCTTCAGAGTAGTTGGTTCAATCAAAGCTTTTTACACCTATCATGTCTGCTTTAAGTTGCATATGTCTTGCAATCTTCAGTGTTCTATAACTTTGTAGTTTTTGCTTATTCGGATATCCTTCCTATTTTCATCTTGCATTAACTCATCCGTTTTATGTATGCATTAGATGAGAGATACTGGAAGCAAGGAGTGAAGCTTCTGTCACAACCTGTGGCAGTTGGAGGCCGTGGATCCAGCACGGGTGATTGCCGTTCAACACTAATTGAAGCATCTTTTGATCCATCAAGTGGTGAACTCGTTGTCAAACATGTTTTCTCATAAAAATTGTTTGTTCCAAGGAATCCAGTACGTGATAAATAATTTAGTTGATGAGAAGTGTTCCTCTTATTTTTCCTTAAAATTAAACATTTAGTTTGAGATTTCAAGTCTTCCGATTGGCCTTTTGATGTAGTATATGTATGTTCTATTAGGTTCACTTGCATAGGTTTGCTAAATTTTGGCTTCGACTTAAGTGTGGTGGAAATCTTAGATGTTTGTTGGTGTAAAAAGCACAATGTTTTTGCAAGGTGTATGATCTTTTTAATGCACATTCATGTAACAAAACATTTTTTAAAAATGGAAAAGCTTTCTTCCAATCCTTCAACGAGAACAAGTAGAACTGAAAAAAGCTGTTATTTTAGGATCTCTAAACAGTCTTCAGCAACTGCCTATTTTAGCGCAAAAGATTATGATGAGCAGAAGCACTTGTGAAGCGTGAACGCACGTATAGTACTCGTGATAGGTTTTATGTTTACATGAGTGAAGTACTAGCGATGCATTGTGGGAGGAATACCGATGGAGGGAGGGATTGATCTTTGAAAAACAAAGGAAATTTTTGAAATAAAAGATCTAATTGTGAATAAAAAGCACGAAGAAAAGGAGACAGCGATGGGCAAGGTATTCGCCCATTTATAAACATATTTATAGGGTACTTATTTTAAAATATCACCTAAAAAATCATATCAGATCAAATGGGAACCCAAAATACCAACTTGAATATCAAGTTAAAAAATTAATTAATCTCTTAGTTTTTAAATTAGTACTGATAATATTTAATTTAATAGTATTTTTAGTTTATAAAATCTACTATTTTCTCATCAATCTTTTCATATTTCTTCTTTATTTTTTAAAATAAAAAATCAAAATAAATTAAAAATAAACAAAAATAACTAAATTATAAATAAATTTCAAAACAAAATACTAAATCAATAGTTTTTGAAATAAAAAAAATAATTAATTCGTTTATCAAAACAAGAGAGAATAATTTATAATTTACTCATTCAAAGATAGATAAGTTAACAAACCAACCATCCCACCCAAAATTTTATTCTTAGGATCTACAGTAATCACCATCATCGCTGCAAGGCCGCAATCAATTGAGGATCATACAGAAATGGTGGATATATTCTGTGAATTGACTGACTGATAGGGAATATTTTATGCCGAAAGATGCGGATCTTGAGAAGTTCCTAGCTAGTATTAGCCTCCTAGTCCTAGCTAGTTTACTTTCCTTCGAATTTTGAGATTCATCTACGTCAAAACTTGCTGCTTGCATCTGGTAATTAATCAAACTAGTGTTATATGCACCGCCGCCCTCCTCCAGGAAGAAACCGATATTATGTGGCGCACATATTTTACTTTTGAAGACGATAACCTTTATAACTTTTAAGCTTCTTCCCTAACAACCAAACAGTGGAAAATGCACGAAACCATGGGGTTTCTAAAGAATTAGAAAATTTTGTCCTTTGGAGACCTTCAATTTTCTGTTGAAACATGACATTGACAAATGGCTGTCCACCTCTCTGGCTAAAATAATTCATGATCCGTTTACATTAAATTAGACCAAACTAACCCTCTTACTTCCAATCAAAGGTGATTTGAGCCCTTCATCTATCCCACTCTGACGCTAACTAAATTCATAGCTAGACCAATGCCACATGCTATGATGTAATTGGATAAAGGATCTCAAATTATCTACTTCAATGACTTAGAGGAATAAAAAAGATTCAATTTAAAATGGAGTTTGATTTATCAAAAAATGTGGAAAGAGGACCATACATGTTTCTTTTGTGCGGACGCCAGCTTGGAATTTTTCTAAACAACATGCATCATATGACGCATTCATCGATCTTCAGAAGACCAAACCAAAACCAATCGGAAGCAGATCCGATCTGTGATTAATGAATAAATCAATAATTAAAATCAAATCACGTAAAGCTTCCAAGATTGGATGAGCTGACTTGGTTAAACAATTGTATTTTATGATCAAAATTAGCTGCTATAGGCGCTAAAGCTGGTTCCACAGAGTGTGAATGGAGAGAAAATTAACAAACTATGGCAATGGTTGAATTTGATTTTTTTTTCCGGCTGATAGCAGGAATAATTTCATCAAGATCCACAGTGGAGCCCATGTTGTAGGCTTTACGGTTGCCCGTGACACTCACAAGTCACATCCACCAAGTAAACTTCACTAGATCGAATAAGCTAATTCATTACCAAACAATATATATTGTTTTACACTGAAGTCGTCAAAAAAACATAAAAGATTTAATCATATCCTGGCCGATTAGTAATGTCATCCCATTATTTGGGGCGTTTAAGAGGAAGCACCGAATAAAAAATATACTATATGCATATTTGATGTGTTTGGTTTGCCTGTGATTTACTTTGTTTTGCCTTGATCTTCCGGAATTTTGAAATTTTATGCATCATTTAGTTGGAATATATTAATGGACGTTTGATCTTCAGTCAAATTAAGAAGGACGAGATTTAGCAAGCCAAGTGCTTATTCATGGATGTATGCCTCTCAAATTGATCAATTAGAGTAAACGATTTTACAGTAAAGCTACGAAGAAGGTTGAAGGGTGACGACAATCCTCCGGGGACGATTTAAATAATCGAAACCAACTTGTCCTCAGTAGGATCTGGCCTATAATTTGAAAGGGCGCATGCATGTAAAAGAAATGGATTACCGTGTTCATGTGAAAGAAAACAGAAGAAAAGGCAGTCTTTATAAGGAATTAAATGGAAAATATATAATAGATTGTTATGCATCTAATTAATAGCAATCAGAGGAAATAAGGAATTGAAATATTATAGAGAGAAAAGAATTTCCTCTTATTCCTTATCCCAAAATACAAAATATATATGATGCGTGTGTATGTATATATATATATAATCAATCAATCAAATACAATTAACTCTACTTCTGTTGTCTAGTCAAATCTTATAGTTATAGCCGATCAATATCTAGCTAACTAAGCCTAAATTATCTCCACCGATGCTAATATTACTAGTTATACGCTGTCTTAGCAAATTCATTCCTCCATCATATCCGGTATGCATGAGGGCATTTAGCAATCCAAAACATGTGATCAAGGGGGCTCTCAAATTTGTTTCGAGACATTCAAACAACTATAACATCTTGATCTAGTATGTACTAGCTCAATACCCACACGTTGCTGTAGGTAAGTTTATCATATCCATATTTTAATATTTTAAATAATTTAAAAATAAAAATTAATTAATACTCATTGTAAAAAAACTTATTTAAGTTAATATATATATAATTGAATTGAAATATTTCTTAGGAATATTTTTTATTTTGATAGATAAAAAGTATATGCAATTAATTAATTATTTTAAAAAAATCCAATTAGAAGGAGGTGTTTAATCAATTTACATTAGAAGAATATTTAATTTTAGTTCATGAATATTTATAAAAGTAGAAAAAGTAACAATTGACGATGGAAAAAAAATTATTTTGATTAAATAATAATTAATGAAAAAAAACCCAATCCGAAAAAAAAATGATAGGGACCTTTTGGTTATTCATAAAAAATCAAGAACTGTTTTATATAAAGTAATAACTTAGAGGATCAAAGTATAAAATACTGATAAATCGATAAAAAATCACTTTTTTTTTTTTTTTGAAAAATGAAGCCGTTTTAAGTCTAAAAGACACAAAACGATGTCATTTTGGTTTCACTGTAGCAGAGATTTAGCTACAATGAAACTTTATTTCGTTTTAGTATATGTTATAATAATGATGTAGGATTGAAATTTTTTTCTAACTAGATAAATACATGGCAATGATGCTAGCTAGGGCAAGGAATTAAGATAATATATGGCAATTTGCATGCCAATTAATCCTACCACGCAAGCATCCAAAAGTTTGCCCCAAAAAAAATATATATATATCAATTACCTGTATGCTGCCAGCTATAAATTCCAAGAGTACAGATGGGTGAACGGACTTATTTTATTAATTATTTTCCCTCGAATTCAGATTAGCCGACTGAACCAATAAGCTCCTCGAACCCTATAAAAACCCATCCCTTGTTGCATATCTCTCCATCAGGAGAAGTGCTCTCTTCTTTATATAGCTTCTACCTCTATAATTAAAAGAAGCTGTTTTGGTTTGAGAGAAAAATGGCTTCCAAAAGCACCGCATCACTTGCTCTCTTGCTTGCACTCAACCTTCTCTTCTTCTCCCTAGTCACTGCCAATAAGCGCAACTGCCCCCTCCTCCAAACCCAACACCAACACCATCACCACCAAACCCAACACCAACACCAAGCCCTTCCAATGGAAAGTGCCCAAGGGATGCACTTAAATTAGGCGTGTGTGCTGATTTGCTCGGTTCATTGCTTAATATCACCATTGGCACGCCCCCAGTACAACCTTGCTGTAGTGTCATCCAAGGCCTTCTTGATCTCGAGGCTGCTGTTTGCCTTTGCACTGCCCTCAAAGCTAACATCTTGGGCATCAACCTTAATATCCCCCTGTCTCTCAGCTTGCTTATCAATGTCTGTGGAAAGAAGGTCCCTAAAGGTTTCCAATGTTAGTAAACATATTTCAAATCCATCATGCATGATTTATTTAGCGTGTGATTTTTCATGGTGTGAAGTACTCTTACTTTCTATTAAGAAACGCGTGATATAAATGTAACAGCTGCTTGTTTCGCTTGTTACACTGGTGCTTGTATGTTTACCACAAATAAGTGTAGCTTTCGTCGATGATGTGTACTCAAGTTTCTCTATGTGAAGTGGATGTTGTAGTTGATCATGATTATATATGATTAAGATGTAATACCCAAAATCCTGTTATAAATCCTCTTTTATCTGTTTTTATTTATAATCCTTCGAAGTAAACTTGCAATGTGTGTATGATTTGCAGATAACATAATGTTACATAAATAAACTTCCTACCAGTACTGAGCATTTAGTCTGGTCGTACGGGGCAGTATCATCATCCTCCCCCCCCCCCAAACACCCCACACCACAAAAAAAGAAGAAGAAAAAGAGTGTTCTCGAGTTCGTTTCTAGTACTCTTACTATCCTAAGAAAATTTATGAGAAACTCAAATTCATCTTAGAGAAAATTTAGAAAAAGGAAAGCATAAAAGAGAATAAATCTATATGGTGTCCATTTCCTATCCAATTTATCCGAAGCTTACGACAAATCTGATGTTGTAATTTAACCCAAAGTATTCATCAATTAACTTGGAAGTCAAATAGGTTTGCCCCATTACTCATGTCATTTGGACAATTACTAAAAGAGTACGGAAATGTTTAAGTGTTCGCATAGCGATGGGGGTGTTAATTTACAAAAAAAAAAAACTTCTTGATTCAAGAATATTTTTTAAGGCATTGCAACAGAAGCTGAGGCCGGTTTGCATATACACACACAAAAAAAAAATAAAATAAAAAATTCTAAGTTGTAGAAATTTGGCTTTAATTTTCCTTTATTTTTGCATATATATATATATATATATATATATATATTGCCGCCTCACTCATAAAATCTTGATTCACCCAGCCATAAACAATTATGTTTGAGACAATGCAGGGAATTTTCAGAATTTTATAGTACAATCGAATCAATGATGATGAGGATTCACAAAGAGAAGAAGGAATAAATTGCTTTTACGAATTAATTGAGCTCACGATCGACGTAAAGCATTAAATGAGCCAGCTGGCTGTTGATCCCATGATTGGCAGGTACTAGGTAGAGCAAAAAATATCAAAACAAAATCCAACCCCCTAACCAGCAGAGCAGATTTGATCCCCCAAGTCCGACCAAACTATTTTCAGCAAGCTAGCCTTACCTTTGATCTAGTTGTATGACCGTTTTGAATAGGCTTGTTCGTAGATTTATTATTGATTACTTGTTTCAATAAATATGACGCCCATCTGTTTTACTTTTAATTTCTTGCTGCATTAAGTCATGGGACTGGAAGCAACGTTTCTAGGGAGAAGGAAAAAAATGTTGCCACTGATCATAAAAAAGCCTCCTCCAAAAGTACCTTTAAGAGGGGAATCCAAAGAAGTTCACTGCTGATTGGAGCAAGGCTGCTTCTGGTATTTTCTTTGTTGTTCTTTTTGGGATTCTTTCTGTTTTCCAGTTCCCAACTCATTTAAGGAGTAATTGAATCTTTCGTAAGTCGCCAGCCGGAGTTTAATCTTGAATCAATGGTGGTATCATTCGAGGATATTTCTACAGCAGTAATCTGAGCTCAACGGGAACTTATCTTGTCTCTAAAAAATCCAAAACAGGTTATGGATATGCTGTATAATGCACCCACTGTGAAGCTTTTTTACGGCCATGGTAAAGAATCCCTACTATCTGAAACTAATATGGAGTCCTTCCATCAGAAACAGGGGAAGCAGTCCTTGATAACCTTGAAGTGCAAATGTGGCTCAAGCCATCGGAGCTCAAAGAACTTGGCAAAGAGGTGTGGTTTTTAAAATTGAAATCCACGATGAGGTTACAGTTAATCCAAGTTTACCATCTGGAAGAAGGATTGAAATTACGTTATCATGTAATTATCGGATGCTTGAGTTTTTGGCAGATGGCATGGTTGGGAAAACATCAGATAGTACTGGTCTTGCGATAGAAGGGACAAAGTCTATTTAATAGACTCCATGCCCTGCTTTTTTAAGAGTATGGTGTTGCAGTTGCAGCTGCTGGGTTCATTTAATTTAATAAAATAATGTTTTATTAATTATGTGAAATTTATCTGGTAAGCGGCACACTATGCAAACATCCCTTGCAACTAGACGACGATATTTAATTCTACATTAATTAATTAATTTGATTTATGCTTTCTCTGCCAAAACCACAAAATTTCAATGTCTTGTAATATATATATATATATATATATATATATATATATATATATATTTTTTTTTTCTTTTCAGATGAGGAGAAAACCACATCCATCTTATCAATGCTTGATTTTAGCTTTGGAATGACATAACATTTTAATTTTTTTGTTGCATTGATTAAACAGCTTTTTCCATAATTCGGAGCACAAATGAATATTTTTGCTCAAAACGAGTTAAGACAGGAGTAGCCATTGTCAAACTCCAAGTTGCTTGGAACCGAAACATAATTTATGTTGGGATCACCCAAGTGCATAGATCGCATTCTTTACACAAAACAAACATCACTTGAAACTATACGACAATATTTAATTCTACCACTCTTGATTTGATGCATGTTACAAACCAAATCACCAGGTGTTCCCTTCGAACTTGTTGGTAAATTAAAATAAAAGGGAAGAATAGTGGAATATGACTGCTGACAAATGTTACAATAGAAGTTAGTCTTATTGATTCACAAAGCTTACATTTATAAAGCTTAGAATGAAAGAACTGAATAAAGATTCTAAAACTTAACAAATAAATACGTGATCCATAAAACACTCAACTTTGATTAACTAATTCCTATAAAATAAGAACAGATTATTGACTAAGACTAATTCAAAATCAAATACAAAAAAAGGACACATGCAATACTCCAAAAGCATAGTTTTAACACTCCTCCTTGCTTTAGGAACTACGGACTCTAAGTTTTTCTCTAAGAAGATTGAATTTGCTTGATGGGTAAATGCTTTGTGAATATATCAACCGAGTTGCTCTTCCGTCTTGTAATAGACAAGACTTATATTTTCATCTTTTGCACTTCTCTCAAGAAGAAAAGCTTGATATTAAAGTGCTTAGTTTTTCCATGAAACACGGGATTGTGAGAAATTGCTATTGAAGCTTGGTTGTCCACAAAAACTTCGAGTGCTTTTGGTGTGTTCCATATGTAGATCGGTCAAAATTTTCCTAGCCATAATGCTTGCTTTATTGCTATTGTGGCTACCACAAACTTAGTTTCGCGATAGATTGAGCTACAATATTTTGTTTCTTTGAACACCATGAGAAAACTCTTAAGCCAAGGCTACAAAATATCCTGAAGTACTTGTTCATATCATCCAAGAAACCACCTCAATCGTTGTCGAATATCCAAACAGACTACATATTTTGACTCTTTTGAAACTTGACTCCATAGTTGATGGTTCCTTTAATATACCATACAACTCTTTTGGTCGTCTTTAGATGAACTTCACTAGGATAATGCATGAACCTTGATAGAACACTTATAACATACAATATGTCAAGCCTTGTTATGGTGAGATACATCAAACACCCAATAAGACTTTTGTGATATGTTTCTTCTACTTTTTCAGCTCCATCTTCTTTACTTAGCTTCTTTTTTTTGGTTCATGGGAGTATCCATCTCTTTGCAATCTTCCATTTTGAATTTCTTAAGAATCTCCTTTGCATACTTTTTCGGCAAATGAAAACCTCATCTTTTCCTTGCTTAATCTCCATTCCAAGGAAAAAAATCATTAAACTAAGATTAGACATTTCAAAAGCTTACTTCATATCTAGCTTGAACTCATCAATGGGTTTTGCACTACTCCCTATAATCAAAATGTCATCCACATATAGAGAAACAACAAGAATCTCATTTCTTTTGTGATTAACATAAAGTGTGGATTTTGATAAACTTTTTTTTAAAAGCTGAAGTCAAGCAAATAATTATCTATTCGACTATACTAAGCTCTCGGGGCATGTTTTAGGCTATAAAGAGCTTTATGCGGTCTATAGACTTTGTCTTTTTTGCCTTTCATGAAAAAACCTTCGGGTTACTCGACATAGATTTCTTCTTTAAGAATTCAATTGAGGAACGCTGATTTAACATCCATTTGATGCACTTTTTAGCCAAGTTGTGCGAAATAATAACAAGTAGCTTCGATTGTGTCAAGCCTAGCCATTGGTGCGAATGTGTCAAAATAATCAACACTAAAAATCTATGCATATCTCTTGACTACAAGCCTCGTTTTATGCTTATTAATTGAACCATCGACATTTAACTTGGTTCTAAACACTCATTTTACCCCAATTACCTTTCTTTCTTAGGGTTTATCAATAAGCTCCCAAGTTTCGTTCTTTTTTTTTTTTTTTTTATCATAAACAACTCCTCCTTCATTGCATTCTTCCATTTGGGGTCTTGAAGAGCTTTTTCATGGTCAATAGGTTCATATATTGCAACATTGTATCTTTGGTATATGTCAAATAGCAATCGAGTGCCTCTAGCTCGGTGAGTCATCCTCCTTTTCATCTAGCCATAAGGTTGTTCTTGGTGTGGAATCCTTTGAGTCTTTCCATTCCCATTCTTCATTTTCCATGAAGTGCATATCTCGGCTATAGTTATAGTCTCGGTTTCGGTTGGAAGACTTTATAAGCCTTTGAAACTATACTATATCTAATAAAAATGCCATGAGTAGCCTTTTTGTCTAGTTTATCTCATTTAACCTATGGAACATAGGTAAAACAAAGACAACCAAAAACTTCAAGAAAGTTCATTGAAGGTTTGTACTCATACCAAGCTTCAAAAGGAGTTTTGTTCTTTATAGCTTTTATGGGAAGTCTATATTGCAAAAACACTACTATGTTTACTACTTACGCCCAAAACTTCTTTGGTAAATTTTTTTCATGCAACATGCATCTTGCCATCTCCATAATAAACTTGTTTTGCCTCTCACTAATTTTATTTTGTTCCGGAGTGTAAGGGGCTATAAGTTGATGTTCAATTCCTTCTTCCTCACAAAATAGATTGAATTGTACGAAGTATACTCCTTGATATTATTAGACCTTAAAATCTGAATTTTACGAGTCATTTTCATTCTCCATTTTTGCTTTAAACTTCTAAAAAATACTCTCAACTTCGATTTGAAGTTTAGAAAAGAAATCCAGCACATAAGGGTTAAATCATCCGCAAAAATAATTTTGTAACGACTACCTTTAAGTGAAAGAGTCCTTTGTGACCCTCCAACATCGGTGTGGATTAACTACAATTTCTTTATAGCTCTCGAGGTGGCTTTTTAGAACGAAAGTCTACTTTGCTTCCCATATTGACAACCATGACAATATAAAGAAATCACTTTAATTGCAATTAGAGCATTATTCTTAAGGGATCTATAAGTGAAAAATTTGAGTGTTTTTAAGTGAGTTAAGAGACACCAAACACTATGTTTTAATACCAGAATGTCAAGCATGAAAGGAAATTCAAGTTTCTTAACAATGGCACCACCGGACTTCAATGATGAAAATTATAACATCCGTGTAGTATGAATGAAAGGCTACTTAGATGCTTTGGATTTATGAAAGATAATTGAAGAAGACTATGACGTTTCTACACTACCCGATAATCCAATAAAGGTTCAAATCAAGAATCACAAAGACGAGAAAAATAAAAAAAGCTAAGGCAAACGTGTACCTATGTACAACGGTTTCATCAACTATCTTCACTCGAATCATGTCTCTAAAGTTAGCCAAATCCATATAGGATTATCTCAAAACTGAATATGAAGGAGATGATAGAATCAAAGGAATGTAAGTGCTGAATCTCATTAGAGATTTTGAATTATAGAAGATGAAGGAGTCGGAAACCATCAAGGAGTACTGCGAAAGGCTTTTGAATATAGCAAACAGAGTAAGATTGCTTGATGCCGAGTTTAATGACTCTCATATTATTGAAAAAATTATGGTTACTCGTACCTAAAAGATTTGAGGCCATCATAACCACGTTGAAAAACACTACGGATCTGTCTAAGATCACCTTGGTAGAGTTATTGAATTCCTTACAAGCACAAAAACGAGTGAAGGATTATGAGAGAAGAAAGCTTTGTTGAGGAAGCTTTGCATTAAGATGATAGAAGAAACAAAAAAAGTAAAACAAAAAGAGCCAATAAGGCGCTACTAGTAACAACATCAAGAACAAACTAAGAAGCTTCAAAGGAAAGTACCATCCTTATAAGCATTGCAACAAGATAGGTCATTTTACGTTCAAGTGCTTGGAAAAGGCTCGATGCTAAGTGCACCAAGTGCAATCAACTTAGGCACGAAGTTATTATTTACAAGAGTCGAAACCAACGAGCAGAAGCGGATGCTCATATTACTAATAAAGAGGAGGAAGACCAACTCTTTATTGCAACATGTTTTTCTAGCAATATTTCAAGCGAGTCTTGGGCGATTGATAGCAGATGCTTCAATCACATAACTCATGACAAGGAGCTTTTCAAGGAATTGAAGTCTTCTAAAATTTTAAAGGTCAAAATAGGTCACGGGGGTTATATTTAAGCAAAAGAAATAGAAACCATTGCTATTGCAACACGTTCGAGTACTCCAAAAGCATAGTTTTAACAAAACTTAGTACACTTTATTATTTATTTGTTATCAACATGAACCTATTTATTCTTTTAGAATGGTTCATAGTTATGTTATTGATGCTTTCCTTAGGATTAAGATATTTCAATGATTGATTTCGTTTTATTTGATTAGTATCCGTTATTCCATTTATGTCGCTATTTCGAGTTGTAATGAAAAGGCCTCTAAGTTATCAAATAAAGATATCGAATTCTTAATTATAATACTATTTGCTTCATAAATTATTCCATTTGCTTTTGTCGAGTCTTTCAAAATAGCTCGTGGAAGGACACGAACGCAAGGTCGAGGCATGAGCCGTGAAGAGGTTCGAATATATAACGAGTTTGGTATTAAAGCCAAGCATGACGGATGAAATAAGTGACCAACGTTTCCTTCGATTTAAGCACCGGCTTGAGAGTCTTAGCGGACGAGATGATGGAAATGTTTTAAGCATTTCAAACCAAAAAGGAATCCTTGACCAATCAAGCAAGTCCGGCACGGAAGCACAACAACGGTGATGGGACCAATGCGGATTGGGCTCCTAAATTTGTAAAGTTAGACTTTCCTTGCTATAACGGGATTGAAGACCCCACACTCTAGATTAGTCGAGTGGAATAATTTTTTAACTTTCGAGCACTTGCTCCGGAAGAACAAGTGCACTTGTCAACTTAGCATCTCGAAAGAGATGCCTAATTATGAACCCCATGTCAAAAGAATTTACACCCACTACCGACATGATAAAGGATGTGTGGTCAAGGCCATGAAGAAGCTCTAGTGATTTGGTCTGTTCCATAGGTGTGAATCACCGTGAAGAAGTCATTTGACTACCTTAAGAGAGCCATAATTACTTCCATTGTTTACTCGTGCTTAGTTGAATTTCTTCACTTTGAAATTCGGAGCACTAAGCGAGAATCACATTGCGTGTGCATCCATAAAGACTATTGCAATACTTTGTTTTAATTAAACGAGTCGATTCCTCTTATCCATACCGAGTTCGAGTCGACTATTCGATGCTCGGGGAAGGCCCCTTTTCATCAAACAATTGACTCAAAGCTGGTATGGTTTGGTATCCTCGAATTGTGCTCACCTATTTAAGTTTACATAAATTAGCAAATAAATTCTTATAAGAAGACATACCAAATTGTTTCAAAAGCCTCTCCTTCAATTCTTGTAATGTAAGTAATGGGTATAAATTCTTTTGACGTTAGGCCTATAATTGGGCATCTCCTATGAGATGGTAAGTTGACAAATGCATTTGTGCTTTTGGACCAGTGCTCTAGAAGTTGAAAAATTATTCCACTTGATTAATCCAAAGTGTGGGATCTTTAGTCCTGTTATAACGAGGGAAGTTAACTTTACCAATTTGAGAGCCAAATTCGTATTAGTCCCATCACCATTAGTGTGCCTCCGTACTGGACCTAGCTGATTGGTGAAGGATTCCTCCCTAGCCTAAAAATCTTAGAACATCTCTATCATCTGCCTACTCAGACTCTCAAGCTGATGCTCAAGTCGAAGGAAACGATGGTCGTTGGTTTCGTTAGCCATGTCAGGCTCTGATACCAAGCTGATACATACCTGATCTTCTTCACGACCTCGACCACCCATCCTCTGCCTTTCATCAGCTATTTTGAAGAGAATAGCAAAACAGGGAAGTATAGAAACATGTGTTTTTAGAATTGCACTGGAACATCATTTTTTCTTTAGATATACTAACAAAGTTGATTTAATGCTTCACTAGGTATTAGCAACTGGTGTGACCACTGGAAACAATATGTATGGTTCATTCTGGGGAAAGGTATACCCATATCCAAGAGTGAAGAGGTTCATTTGCATGCTGTTCATACTGATACAAGTGTCTCATATAATCTTGTAACCCCGACCACTGAGATTAGCACATGTGATGCTAGTGCTGGAGATTCTCACCTCACATTGTCTCCTAAAAGAATTGTAATCTATGGAAACAGTAAATGGAGGTCTTGCATGTTAACAGCTTTGAGAAATTTGATATGAGCTCTTTATCTCTTTTTCCCATTCTCTGGTGTAATGTTCTGTGCCAACATTTTTTTAAATATGAGTTGCATTTTACAGTTGCAGGAAATAGTTCACCCACTACGTGTTGTTACAGATGATAGTGTGTTCTTATCGCTTCTTGTAACACATCTCTCAAAAACACCAGAGGTGATATCACTGTTTCTTGGACTGCGGGAGAGGGTGCACAGTATTTGCAGGCAGTTGCTGATGCTAATGGCTTTACAACAGATCGTATAGAAGTTTTTCAAAAAAAAATGTTAAAATTTACTCCAGAACTGTACGTGACTTTTTATTGCTACAGTTATCTATTTAAGTTATAATTAGTGTGTTGTCTTAGTCTTTAGGAAGTTTTTTAAATTGTTTTGGATTGTAGCTCTAGTGGTTTTATTTTCGACCCATGAGCTACTTTTAGTTCAGTTTCTTAGCTATTTAAATGTTAGGGATGTTGATTAATACAAGCGATTTTTTCTTTGCTATTGCCTTGTTCAAATTTATTTCTCTGCAACGCTCTCTAAAATTCAAATCTCCTATGTTTTTTCTCATTTCTTGAAACTAACATTTGGTATTAGAGCTCTCTTCTTAAGGGATCTATGAAATGGAAGCCGAAGCTAGTTTTTCTCAAATTGCTCCTCTTGTCCTTGATGGAGAAAACTATCAACTTTGGGCAATAAGAATGGAGACCTACCTGGAGGCTTTAGATCTTTGGGAAGTTGTGGAAGAGGATTATCAAGTTCCTTCGCTGCCAAACAATCCTACCATGGCCCAAATCAAAAGTCACAAGGAAGGAAAAACCAAGAACTCAAAGGCAAAAGCATGTTTACTTGCTGCTGGTTCACGAGAATCATGTCTTTCAAAACAACAAAAGAAATTTAGGATTACTTGAAGGACGAATATGCAGGAGATGAAAGGATAAGAGGTATGCAAGTGCTAAATTTAATAAGGGAATTCGAGTTGTAAATGATGAAAGAGTCTGAGACAATCAAAGAGTACTTAGATAGATTGCTTGGGATTGTCAGCAAGGTAAGGATACTTGGCATCGAGTTTACTAATTCCAAAATTGTAGAGAAAATTCTTGTAATAATGCTTGAAAGATATGAAGCACTTATAAATACCTTGGAGAACATAAAGGATTAGTCTAAGATCACCTTAGCAGAGCTGTTAAATGCTTTGCAAGCCCAAGAGCAACAGAGGCTTATCAGACAAGATCATTTGGTTGAAGGAGCACTATCAGCCAAGCATTAGGATGCTGGAAAGAATATAAAGAAAAATCATGTGTCTAGCAGTGAAAATACTGTAAACAACCAGAAGCAAAGCAAGGGTAGAAACTCAAAGAGAAACTATCCACCTTGTCAACACTTTAGTAAAATAGGCCATCCACCGTTCAAATACTGGAGGAGACCAAATGCTAAGTGCAGTAAGTGTAATCAGCTTGGACATGATGCTGTGATTTGTAAAAGCAAACTTCAAAGGCACGAAGCAGATGCCCAAGTCGTTGACCAAGATGAAGAAGATCAAATTTTTGTGGCAATGTGTTTTTCAACTAGGAGCTCTTCAGAATGTTGGCTGATTGATAGTGTTTATACAAAACTACATGACTTATGATAAAACTCTCTTCAAGGATTTGAAGCCCACTGGAATCATGAAGGTCAAAATAGGAAATGGTAACTACATTTCTGCAAAAGGAAGAGGAACCATTGCAATTACAACAAGTTTAGGTACAAAGAAAACTTAAGATGTTCTTTATGTACCCGATATTGACCAAAATTTACTAAGTATGGGTTAGCTAATAGACAAAGGATTCAAATTATCCTTTGAAGATCAACAGGTATCCATGATACTACGGGTCAAGAGATTTTAAGGGTTAAGATGAGAGGTAAAAGCTTCTCATTTGACCTAACAAAGGAGGAGCAAACGGCTTATTACAATGAAGTCAATACCATAGAAATCTGGCATAAAAGATTTGGCCATTGTCATCTTCAAAGAATGTTGAAAATGAAGAAGGAGGATATGATAAGAGGTCTACCAGTGCTTGCTGATCATTTGCTAAATTGTAATGCTTGTCAATTTGGTAAACAAAATCGGATGCCATTTTCTAAATTAACATAGAGAGCAATCCAAAAGCTACAACTAATATACACAAATGTGGCAGAACCTCAAAGAACACCAACATTACAAGATAGCCTCTATTATATTCTTTTCATTAACGATTTTATGAGAATGTGCTGGATTTTTTTCTTGAAACTCAAGTTAGCAGTGCCTGACGTATTTTGGAAGTTCAAGAAAATGGTAAAAAGTCAAAGTGGTTGCAAGATTCAATCTCTGAGGTCTGATAATATAAAGGAGTACACCTCAGCAACATTCAATTTATTCTATAAAGAAGCTGGTATTGAACATCAGCTCATAACTCCTTATACTCTGGAACAAAATGGAGTTAGCAAAAGGAGAAATAGATCTGTAACGGAGATGGCCATATGTATGTTGCATGAGAAGGAGTTGCCTAAAACGTTTTGAGCAAAGGCAGCTAACACAGCAATTTTTTTGCAAAATCGACTTCCAACCAAGGCTTTGAAAGATAAAACTCCATTTGAGGCTTGGAATGGATATAAACCTTCATTAAGCTTTCTTAAAGTGTTTGGTTGTGTGTGTGTTTTGCTCATGTTTCATAGGTTAAGCATGACAAACTTGACAAGAAGGTAATTTCAGGAATCTTCATGGGTTATAGTTCAGTTTTAAAAGCCTACAAAGTGTATCATCCACGAATAGGAAAAATGACTATCACTAGAGATGTACACTTTAACGAGGATGAGCATTGGGACTAGAAGAATCTACAAAGAACAAGTGAATCCTCATAAGCTCTAAAAGATAACTTTCCTGAAGAGCAAACCGTAAACCAATGGCAAAATAAGGTGGAAGATAATCCTCTAATCAGAGGTACAAGGCTACTTTCAGAAATCTGTGAACCTGCTAGCCATGAAGAAGCACTTAAAGACCTGAAATGGAAGAAAGCAATGAAGGAGGAGATGTCAATGATTCAAAAAAATAAAACCTGGGAGTTGGTTGACAGGCCTCAAGATAGAAAAGTCATTGGAGTGAAATGGGTGTTCAGAACAAAACTTAATACAGATAGCTCCATCAACAAATTCAAGGCCAGATTTGTTGTTAAAGGGTATGCATAAATTTTTGGTGTTGATTATTCTGACACTTTTGCTCATGTTGCTAGATTAGATGCAATTACATTGCTAATAGCAATAGCAGTATAATAAGGGTGGAAAGTGTTCCAGTTAGATGTCAAATCAGCTTTTCTAAATGGTGTATTACAGGAAGAAATATATATGGAGCAGCTAGAGGGATTGATGAAGCAAGGTGAAGAAGATAAAGTCTACCTGCTTAAAAAGACTCTCTATGGCCTAAAACAAGCACCAAGAGCCTGGTACAGCAGGATAGATAAACATTTGTTGAGCCTAAGCTTTGTGAAAAGCTTATCTGAGACCACTCTTTATGTGAAATGTAAGGGCAATGACTTTCTTATAGTGTCCCTTTATGTTGATGATTTTTTGGTGACTGGAAATGATACAGGGCTGGTTGAGGAGTTCAAACAAGAAATGATACAGGTTTTTGAAATGATAGATCTTGGTCTCATGACTTATTTTCTTGGAATTGAAATCAAACAAAGCAAAAATGAAGTGTTCATCTGCTAAAAGAAGTATGCAAAGGAAATACTGAAGAAATTTCAGATGGAGGAGTGCAAAACAATAAGCACCAAATGAATCAAAAAGGGAAGCTGAGCAAAGATGATGGCGCTGATAAAGTTGATGAAGGTTATTATAGAAGCTTGATTGGATGCCTAACGTATCTTACTGCAACAAGGCCAAACATTCTATTTGCTGTAAGTCTCTTATCCCGATTTATGCATTGTGCTAGTGAAATGAACTTAAGAGCAGCAAAAAGAATATTAACTTATATCAAATGTACTGTTGATTATGGTGTCAAGTTTAAGAAGTGTCAAAACTTCAAGATGTGTGGATTCTCGGATAGTGACTGGGCTGGATCCATTGAAGACAAGAAAAGTACTTAAGGATATTGTTTCAGCTTAGGTTCAGGAATTTTCTCATGGTGCTCAAAGAAACAGGAAATTGTAGCACAATCCATTGCAGAAGTAGAATTCATCGCAGCAACCGCAGTAGTCAATCAAGCTTTATGGTTGAAAAAACTTTTGTGTGATCTACATGTGGAGCAAAAGGTTGAAACAAAGATTTTTGTTGACAATCAAGGAGCAATTGCAATCTCTCACAATTCGGTGTTTCATGGGAAACTAAACACTTCAACATTAAGCTTTACTTCTTGAGGGAGGTGTAGAAAAATGGAGAAGTAAAAATGGTCTATTGCAAATCTGAAGATCAATTGGTAGATTTGTTTACAAAACCACTTCCAGTGAGCAAGTTTGAGCTTCTAAGGCAGAAGATTGGGATTTGTAGTTCCTAAAGCAAGGAGGAGTGTTAAAATTTGCTTCAGAACTGCACGTGACTTTTTATTGTTACAGTTACCTATTTAAGTTATACTCAGTGGGTTGTCCTAGTCTTTAGGAAGTTTTTTTAACTTATTTTGGATTATGGCTCTAGTGGCTTTATTTTCGGTCCATGAGTTACTTTTAGTTCAGTTTCTTCGCTATTTAAATGTTAGGGCTGTTGATTAATACAAGCGCTTTTCTCTTTGCTACTGCCTTGTTCAAATTTCTTTCTCTGCAACGTTCTCTGTCTCTGCAACGCTCTCTAAAATTCAAATCTCCTCTGTTTTTTCTCATTTCTTGAAACTAACAAGAAGAAATACTTGACTCTGGATGATACTAAGCAAAAGAAGGTATTTCGTTCTGTGTGCTAGCTGACATTTCAAATACTGCTTTTACTTTCTCGGTAATCTTTGAGGTTTTGTAGGACTATTGTTGTTGTGCTTGTCTTTTCTTTTCTGGTTGTGGTCATTCGGGTTGGAGTGGAGTTAAAGTGAAAATGCCAAGTTAAATCCTGTTGTTGTGCAAGCTCTTACTCGTTAACCTAACGTAACGACTTGCATTTGCTTTTGAGCAACTGCAAATTGTTAAGCTGAAGTAACGGCTTACATTTGCTTTTGCAAATTGTCCTTCAACAATTAGAGTTTTATGTGTTCTGTTTGCAGTTTGATCTGTTGATTGGAGAACCATACTATTATGGAAATGATGGGATGCTTCCATGGAAAATCTGCGGTTTTGGTATACTATAATATGCAGCATTTCATTACTGGGACAAATATGTTATTCTATCAGTCCATGTCATCGATCAAAGTACTTATATGATGCCCTTTTTCTTGTCTTGGATTCGGATTGTAGGAAGGAAAGGACTATGCTTGACTGTGTCCTTGCTGAAGATGTGGTAGTAATGCCTTGTAAAGCAATACTGAAGGCTTGTGCAATGTCCCTTCCTGTAAGAGAAAAAATTCTCCTTATTTTTATCTGTTTGAACCAGCTATTTGGCTAGTGATGGAACTGGTATCGGATACCTTTTGTACAGGATCTTTGGAAAAGTCGTCGCTGTTTAAGCAAGATAAAAGACTTTGACCATTCAATTGTAAATAACACCTTAGGAACCATACATAAATTTATGCCTACAAGAACATTGTGTTCTTTTCCAGAATACGTTAACACCATTGTTATTGATTTGATTCTATTGGAATTGTTTAGGAACTCAGTGAGACATTTACAATCATGGAATTTGATTCATCTGTGCTTTGGCTCCAAGTTCCTAGATGTTATTCCCTTCCTGGGAGCTGGTTTCTGTTCTCTAATGTCATAATGGTTTGTGTGAGTGCGCATCTTCTCCTTTTGTTATTCTTTTCCACGTAAACATGAAATTTGTAAGCTAAGGTTTTTAATCTAGTGGTGCAATACATGAGAGCGAGTTAATTGCATGTTTATGCATTGATAAACCATTGGCATGAAATGATGTGAACAATAATGTTGTAAACAAATGTGGCTTGCCAAGGTTTATCTTTAGACCTTTTTTTTTCCACTTACATTACAGTTTATTTGAGCTCGTGTTATGTGCACTAGATGCTTAAATATCTATATAATTTGTGAACTAGACGTGATTGGCATCTTAGAATTTTCTTTCACTGGAAATATTTAAAAAGCAATACAGAAAACTGCTAGTAAATACTTTCTGTCAATGTCTATAATGTAATAGGAGTGATTATTTGTTAGTAAGATTTTGAGCTGAACATTGTCGGGCAATTCCTATGGCAATATTTTGTCTGTAGCATTTAGTATTCAACTCAGTTTATCCTGACAAAGAGCGGTCTCCATAGGTTGAATTTACTGAGCAAGGGATATGCCATGGATTTGTGCTATGGATTGATTGGATGCGAAGAATTTTGTTGTGCTAACTACAGGACCAGGTATAATTTTATTCTTCACAGTAGTTGGTTCAATCAAAGCTTTTTACACCTATCATGTCTGCTTTAAGTTGCATATGTCTTGCAATCTTCAGTTTTCTATAACTTTGTAGTTTTTGCTTATTCGGATATCCTTCCTATTTTTGCTTTGTAACCTTTCTGAAAGTTGGTTTTCGGGGCAATTCAAGCTTTTTTCGTCTTGCATTAACTCATCCGTTTTATGTATGCATTAGATGAGAGATACTGGAAGCAAGGAGTGAAGCTGTCACAACCTGTGGCAGTTGGAGGCTGTGGATCAAGCATGGGTGATTGCCGTTCAAGCACGGGTGATTGCATCGACATGTTTTCTCATAAAAATTGTTTGTTCCGAGGAATCCGGTACGTGATGAATAATTTTGTTGATGAGAAGGGTTCCTCTTATTGTTCCTTCAAATTAAACATGTAGTTTGAGATTTCAAGTCTTCCGATTGGCCTTCCGAGGAATCCGGTTTGCTAAATTTTGGTTTCGAATTAAGTGTTGTGGAAATCTTAAATGTTTGTTGGTGTAAAAAATACAATGTTTTTGCAAGGTGCATGATCTATTTAATGCACATTCATGTAACAAAACATTAAAAAAAATGTTAGAGGTTTCTTCCAATCCTTCAACGAGAACAAGTAGAACTGAAAAAAGCTGTTATTTTAGTAACTCTAAAGCACTTGTGAAGCTCGCATATATGCAGTGTTTGCTCGTTCGTATTGAGAGTATCTAATCATTGTTTGTAGAGGGAGGAATGCTGTTGGGGAGAGGGATTGATCTTTGAAAAACCAAGGAAATTTTTGAAATCAAAGATCTAATTTTCAATAAAAAGCACGAAGAAAAGGGGGATGGCCTTGGGCAAGGTATTCGCTCATTTAGCTGTGTCCATAACCTAATTTCACTGCATAAATCTATAAAAATATTTATAGGGTATTTGTTTAAAATACCACCTAAAAAACCATATCAGAGCAAATGGGAACCCAAAATACCAACTTGAATATCAAGTTAAAAAATTAATTAATCTCTCCGTTTCAAAAATTATTATTTAATTTTTAAATCATCGTTGATTATATTTAATTTAATGTTATTTTTATTTTATAAAATTTTTTATTTTCTCATCAATCTTTTTATTTTTTAAAATAAAAAATAAAATAAATTAAAAATGAATAAAAATAACTAAATTATAAATAAATTTTAAAATGAGGACTAAATCATTAATTTTTGAAATAAAAAAATTAATTAATTCCTTTCTGAAAACAAGGGAGAATAATTTATAATTTACTCATTCAAAGATAGATAAGTTAACAAACCAACCACCCCACCCAAAATTTTATTCTTAGGATCTACAGTAATCACCATCATCGCTGCAAGGCCGCAATCAATTGAGGATCATACAGAAATGGTGGATATATATATATATATATATATATATATATATATATATTCTGTGAATTGACTGACTGATGGGGAATATTTTATGACGAAAGATGCGGATCTTTAGAAGTTCCTAGCTAGTATTAGCCTCCTAGCCCTAGCTAGTTTACTTTCCTTCGAATTTTGAGATTCATCTACGTCGAAACTTGCTACTTGCATCTGGTAATTAATCAAACTAGCGTTACATGCACCGCCGCCCTCCTTCAGGAAGAAACCGATATCATGTGGCGCACATATTTTACTTTTGAAGACGGTAACCTTTATAACTTTTAAGCTTCTTCCCTAACAACCAAACAGTGGAAAATGCACGAAACCATGGGATTTCTATTTTTCTGGAAGTGTTACATTCCCCGGATGTTGTAGATCGAATCCAGCAACCCATGTCAGGAATCAATCTAAAGAATTAGAAAATTTTGTCCTTTGGAGACCTTCAATTTGCTGTTGATACATGACATTGACAAATTGCTGTCCACCTCTCTGGCTAAAATAATTCATGATCACTTTACATTAAATTGGAGCAAACTTACCCTCTTACTTCCAATCAAAGGTGATTTGAGCCCTTCATCTATCCCACTCTGACACTAACCAAATTTATAGCTAGACCAATGCCACATGCTATGATGTAGTTGGATAAAGGATCTCAAATTAACTACTTCAATGAATTAGAGGAATAAAAAAGATTCAATTTAAAATAGAGTTTGATTTAATAAAAAATGTGGAAAGAGGGACCATACATGTTTTTTAGTCCACTGGAAAGCGCCAATATATATCTATATATATATATGCAGACGCCAGCTTGGAATTTTTCTAAACAACATGCATCATATGACGCATTCATCGATCTTCAGAAGACCAAAACAAAACCAATCGGAATCATATCCGATCTGTGATTAATGAATAAATCAATAATTAAAATCAAATCATGTAAAGCTTCCAAGATTGGATGAGCTGACTTGGTTAAACAATTGTATTTTATAATCAAATTTAGCTGCTATAGGCGCTAAAGCTGGTTCCACAGAGTGTGAATGGAGAGAAAATTAACAAACTATGGCAATGGTTTAATTTGATATTTTTTTCGGCTGATAGCATGCATAATTTCATCAAGATCCACAGTGGAGCCCATGTTGTAGGCTTTACGGTTGCCCGTGACACTCACTAGTCACATCCACCAAGTACACTTCACAAGATCGAATAAGCTAATTCATTACCAAACAATATATATATATAAAGCGACAGGTCCAGGTGTTATTTTTCATGAATAGCTATTAGTACGTATTCAGCATTAATTAAAAGGAAAAAGATTAACAAATTAACCTCTTTGTTTTACACTGAAGTCGTAAAAGATTTAATCATATCCTGGCCGATTAGTAATGTCATCCCATTATTTGGGGCGCTTAAGAGGAAGCACCGAATAAAAAATATACTATATGCATATTTGATGTGCTTGGTTTGCCTGTGATTTACTTTGTTTTGCCTTGATCGTCTAGAATTTTGAAATTTTATGCATCATTTAGTTGGAATATATTAATGGACGTTTGATTTTCAGTCAAATTAAGAAGGACGAGATTTAGCAAGCCAAGTGCTTATTCATGGATGTATGCCTCTCAAATTGATCAATCAGAGTAAACGATTTTACTGTAAAGCTACGAAGAAGTTTGAAGGGTGACGACAATCCTCCGGGGACGATTTAAATAATCGAAACCAACTTGTCCTCAGTAGGATCTGGCCTATAATTTGAAAGGGAGCATGCATGTAAGAGAAATGGATTACCGTGTTCATGTAAAAGAAAGTAGAAGAAAAGGCAGTCTTTATAAGGAATTAAATGGAAAATAATAGATTGCTATTCATCTAATGAATAGCAGTCAGAGGACATAAGGAATTGAAATATTATAGAGAGAAAAGACGTTTCTCCTATTGCTTATCCCAGAATACAAAATATATGTGATGGGTATATATATATATAATAATCAATCAAATACAATTAACTCTACTTATGTTGTCTAGTCAAATCTTATAGTTATAGCCGATCAATATCTAGCTAACTAAACCTAAATTATCTCCATCGATACTAATATTACTAGTTATACGCTGTCTTAGCAAATTCATTCCTCCATCATATCCGGTATGCATGAGCGCATTTAGCAATCCAAAACATGTGATCAAGGGGGCTCTCAAATTTGTTTCGAGACATTCAAACAACTATAACATCTTGATCTAGTATATATGGTGTAGGATTGAAATTTTTTGGCTAACTAGATAAATACATGGTAATGATGCTAGCTAGGGCCAAGGAATTAAGATAATATATGGCAATTTGCATGCCTATTAATCCCTACCACGCAAGCATCCAAAAGTTTGCCCAAAAAAAAATATCAATTACCTGTATGCTGCCAGCTATAAATTCCAAGAGTACAGATGGGTGAACGGACTTATTTTATTAATTATTTTCCCTCGAATTCAGATTAGCCGACTGAACCAATAAGCTCCTCGAACCCTATAAAAACCCATCCCTTGTTGCATATCTCTGCATCAGGAGAAGTGCTCTCTTCTTTATATAGCTTCTGCCTCTATAATTAAAAGAAGCTGTTTTGGTTTGAGAGAAAAATGGCTTCCAAAAGCACCGCATCACTTGCTCTCTTGCTTGCACTCAACCTTCTCTTCTTCTCCCTAGTCACTGCCAATAAGCGCAACTGCCCCCTCCTCCAAAACCAAAACCAACACCATCACCACCAAACCCAACACCAACACCAAGCCCTTCCAATGGAAAGTGCCCAAGGGATGCACTTAAATTAGGCGTGTGTGCTGATTTGCTCGGTTCATTGCTTAATATCACCATTGGCACGCCTCCAGTACAACCTTGCTGTAGTGTCATCCAAGGCCTTCTTGATCTCGAGGCTGCTGTTTGCCTTTGCACTGCCCTCAAAGCTAATATCTTGGGCATCAACCTTAATATCCCACTGTCTCTCAGCTTGCTTATCAATGTCTGTGGAAAGAAGGTCCCTAAAGGTTTCCAATGTTAGTAAACATATTTCAAATCCATCATGCATGATTTACTTAGTGTGTGATTTTTCATTGTGTGAGGTACTCTTACTTTCTATTAAGAAACGCGTGATATAAATGTAACAGCTGCTTGTTTCGCTTGTTACACTGGTGCTTGTATGTTTACCACAAATAAGTGTAGCTTTCGTCGATGATGTGTACTCAAGTTTCTTTATGTAAAGTGGATGTTGTAGTTGATCATGATTATATATGATTTAGATGTAATACCCAAAATCCTGTTATAAATCCTCTTTTATCTGTTTTTATTTATAATCCTTCGAAGTAAACTTGCAATGTGTCTTTGATTTGCAGATAACATAATGTTACATAAATAAACTTCCTACCAGTACTGAGCATGCAGTATCACCAAACCCCCCCCCCCCTCCCCACACACACACCAAAAAAGAAGAAGAAGAAGAAGAAGAAAAGGACTGTTCTCAAGTTCGTTTCTAGTACTCTTACTATCCTAAGAAAATTTATGAGAAACTCAAATTCATCTTAGAGAGAATTTAGAAAAAGAAAAGCATAAAAGAGAATAAATCTAAATGGTGTCCATTTCCTATCCAATTTATCCGAAGCTTACGACAAATCTGATGTTGTAATTTAACCCAAAGTATTCATCAATTAACTTGAAGTCAATAGGTTTGCCCCATTACTCATGTCATTTGGACAATTACTAAAAGAGTATGGAAATGTTTAAGTGTTCACATAGAGATGGGGGTGTTAATTTACAAAAAGACTTTTTGATTCAAGAATATTTTTTAAGGCATTGCAACAGAAGCTAAGGCCGGTTTGCACAGACACACACAAAAAAATAAAAAAATAAAAAAAATTCTAAGTTGTAGAAATTTGGCTTTAATTTTCTTTTATTTTTGCATATATATATATATATATATATTGCCGCCTCACTCATAAAATCTCGATTCACCCAGCCATAAACAATTATGTTTGAGACAATGCAGAGAATTTTGAGAATTTTATAGTACAATCGAATCAATGATGATGAGGATTCACAACGATAAGAAGGAATAAATTGCTTTTACGAATTAATTGAGCTCACGATCCACGTAAAACATTACATGAGCCAGCTGGTTGTTGATCCCATAATTGGCAGGTACTGGGTAGAGCTAAACATATCAAAACAAAATCCAACCCCTAATCAGCAGAGCAGATTTGATCCCCCAAGTCCAACCAAACTATTTTTAGCAAGCTAGCCTTGCCTTTGATCTAGTTGTATGACCGTTTTGAATAGGCTTGTTCGTAGATTTACTAATGATTACTTGTTTCAATAAATATGACGCCCATCTGTTTTCCTTTTAATTTCTTGCTGCATTAAGTCATGGAATTAGAGGCACCGTTTCTAGGGAGAAGGAAAAAAATGTTGCCACTGATCATAAAAAAGCCTCCTCCAAAAGTACCTTTAAGAGGGGAATCCAAAGAAGTTCACTGCTGATTGGAGCAAGGCTGCTTCTGGTAATTTCTTTGTTGTTCTTTTCGGGATTCTTTCTGTTTTCCAGTTCCCAACTCATTTCAGGAGTAATTGAATCTTTCGTAAGCCGCCAGCCGGAGTTTAATCTTGAATCAATGGTGGTATCATTCGATGATATTTCTACATCAGTAATCTGAGCTCAATGGGAACTTATCTTGTCTGTAAAAAAATCCAAAACAGGTTGTGGATATGATGCATAATGCACCCACTGTGAAGCCTTTTACCGGTCATGGTAAAGAACCCCTACTATCTGAAACTAACATGGAGTCCTTTCATCAGAAACAGGGGAAGAAGTCCTTGATAACCTTGAGAAGTGCACATGTGGCTCAAGTGCACATGCTATCTCTTTCATGCCATCAGGCAAATTCATCGAAAACAATGCAAGAAACCTGTCAGCGTTGAGCTCTAATGTGGCGGTTTCCATAATGAATCCTGATCAAGCCTTTCAACCAGCACGATATGGCAGCAACTCGAGATTCTGTCCTCTGAAAATAGCACCGACCCCAAAGTCGTCAATAGTAAAAGTATTCTCCGTCGAGGTTCACACGTTCTGTGAAGATTATTTTAAAAACATGAGAAGAATAGCACAAGTAGCATGACATGTTTAATTCATGTCTTATTAGAGGCTTCAAGCTTAATGGACAAGATCCAGCTTTCAATAGGTTTGCTCAGTTTTTTTTTTTTTTAAGTTCCCATATTGTTTGGATTACCAATGGAATAATCAGCTTCAGACTTTATGCAACGAAAGATATGAGAAAATATTTCACAATTTCTTATGCATGAATACGGAAATCCAAACGATCATCAATAAACTTTCTTCATGCTTATCTTTAAACTTTCTTCATACTTATCATTAAATCTTCCTATCTAATCTTAAAAGGATATAGCTTGAGCTGATTATTTTTATTGAGAAGATAGGAAAGACAACCATGATTTAAAAACATTATTTCTTAAGAAAAGTTACTTGACTTTTTTTATTTCTAAATCATTTCTTAAAGTATTATTTTGTCAAAATATTTATAATTCTATTTTTTAATCTATGTTTTACTTTAAGTAATTTTATCAATTTGGTGTAAAGAATCATTTTTTATTATATTAAATTGGTTATAATTTATTGTAAAATTGTAATAAATTATTATCGGTTTTCAAAATAGAGAATTGTGTTAATTTAACATCAAATCTTATTCTAGTCATGTCATGATCATCATATCAAAAATTATTAAACGCATTTAAGCATACTAAATGAATTAAATTTTATGGTGAAATCTTGTTACATTAACGTCGAACCTTAAAGTTAGGAAGCGTATCAATTAAAATCAAATCCTAATTAAATTTTGATGTGAATATATATATCAGGATTAAAAAAAAAAACATGAATTTACTATATAATGAAATAATCAATAATCCTATTGATTAGGATGAAACAATCATGCTTGACAAATATCAAGATTAATTTTTATTTTCTTATCACTATATAATGTCAAAGATTGGTTCTACGATTTGAAAAGGCAGAGACTTTTTAGAAAACCATTTCATTAACTGTATAGCGTCCTCATTTTCCAATCATTCTGACACCCACTTTGCACTGCATGGATAATACTCAAATTTTGCTGAAGCCCTACGTGTATGTAATACAACAATCCAACTACATAGCAAATAGTTATATATTGCTTTTTCATGGAACGCACAGGATCATAGAAAATTGCTGTAACATTTTAATTTATTTGTTGCATTGATTAAACCGCTTTTTCCATAATTCGGAGCACAAATGAATATTTTTGCTCAAAAAGAGCTAGACAGAAGTAGCCTTTGTCAAACTCCAAGTTGCTTGAAACTGAAGCATAATTTATGTTGGGATCACCCAAGTGTATAGATCGCATTCTTTACACAAAGCAAACATCACTTGAAACTATACGACAATATGTAATTCTACTACTCGTGATTTGATGCATGTTACAAACCAAACCACCACGTGTTCTCTTAGAACATAGTCCACTCTATTATCTATTAGTTATTAGCATGAGCCTATTTATTCCTTTAGAATAGATCAGACTTATGATGCTTTTCTCAGGATTAGGTTATTTCAATCGTTGGTTCTGTTTTATCTAATTAATATCTATTATTTTGCTTCTGTTGCTATTTCGATTGTAATGAAGGCTATATAACGACCTCCAAGTTATCGAATAAAGATATCGAATTCTTAGTTATAATACTATTTGCTTCTGTAAATTATTTCATTTGCTTTTGTCGGTCTTTCAAAATAACTCATGGAAGGATAGGAATACGGGGTCAAGGCATAAGTCATGAAGAGGTTTAAGGTACGTAAGGTTTGGTATCAAAGCCGGGCACGACGGATGAAACAAGCGACCGGCGTTCCCTTCGACTTGAGCACTAGCTTGAGAGTCTTAGTAGACAAATGATGAAAATGTTTCAAGCATTTCAAGCCAAAGAGCAATCCTTCACCAATCAGTCGGGTCCAATACGGAGGCACACCAACAATGCGAATTTGGCTTCCAAATTGGTAAAGTTAGACTTCCCTCGCTATAACGAGGCCGAAGACCCCGGACTTTGGATTAGTCGAGTGGAATAATTTTTTGACTTCCACGACATTACTCCAAAAGAACAAGTATGATTATCGACTTTCGAGATGCCCAATTGTGGGCCTAATGTCAAAAGAATTTACACCCACTTCTAACATGGCGAGAGGATGCGTGGTCAAGGTCGTGAAGAAGCTTCGATGCTCGGCCCCTCTATGGGTGTGAATCGTCATGAAGGAGTCATTTGGCTACCTTAAGAGAGTCATAATTACTCCCGTTGTTTACCCACGCTTGGTTGAATTTTTTCACTTTGACATTCAAAGCATTGATCGAAATCACATTGTGTGAGCATTCATAAGGACCATTGCAATACTTTATTTTATTTAAATAGTCGATTCCTTTTGTCCATACTAATTCTAAGTCGATCGTTCGATGCCGGGAAGGCCCCTAGGGTGTCGAATAGTCGACTCGAACTAGTACGATTTGGTATTCCCTAGCTGTGCCCACTTGTTTAAGTTTACACAAATCAGCAAATGAATTTTTATAAGAAGACATACCGAATCGTTTCGAAGCCCTTCCTTCAATTCTCACCATGTAAGTAATGGGTGTAAATTCTTTTGACGTTAGGTCCATAATTGAGCATCTCCTTCAAGATGGTAGATTGACAAAAGCGCACTCGTTCTTCGAAGCAATGATCCGGAAGTCAAAAAATTATTCCACTCGACTAATTTAGAGTGTGGAGTCTTCTCTCATTATAGTGAGAGAAGACTAACTTTACCAATTTAGGAGCCAAATTCGCATTGGTCCAATCACCGTTGGTATGCCTTTATACTTGGACTTGGCCGATTGGTAGAGGATTCCTCCCTAGCTTGAAAGGCTTAGAACATCTCTATCATCTACCTACTCGGACTCTCAAGCCGATGCTCAAGTAAAAGGAAACACCGATTGTTGCTTTCGTCGGTCATGTCGGGCTACGATACTAAGTTGTTACATATCTAATCTTCTTTACGACCTCGACGATGCATCTTTTGCCTTCATGTAGACTTGTTTACGGGGAGAAAAATAGTAAAACTAGGAAACAAAATAACACTATAAGGCCTATTCAAAAGCAACCATTGCAAACAAGCCTATATAAAGGTAGTTTGTGAGGAATAAAGACAGAATGGAAAAATATTAAAAACACTTATTTCTATACTTCTTTGTTTTGCTATTCTCTTCAAAATAGCTCTTGGAAGGCGAGAGGATGCGTGGTCGAGGCCTTGAAGAAGATCGGATATGTAACGACTTGGTATTAGAGCTCGACATGGCCGATGAAACCAATGACCAACATTTCCTTACTTGAGCATCGGCTTGAGAATGCGAGTAGATAGATGACAGAGATGTTACGAGCCTTTTAAGCCAAGGAGGAATCCTCCACCAATCGGTTGGGTCCGATACGAAGGCATACCAAGCCGTGATGGGACCAATGCGAATTTGGCTCCCAAATTGGTAAAGTTAGACTTCTCTCGTTATAATAGGATCGAATACCCCAACTATTACATACACGATCTTCTTCATAACCTTGACCACACGCCTGCTTGTCTTCCACGAGCTATTTTAAAGAGAATAGCAAAACAAAAAAGTATAAAAATATGTGTTTTTAATATTTTTATAGTCTATCTTTATTCCTTACAAGTTGCCTTTATATAGGCTTGTTTACAATAAAAAAGAGTAAAACTAGGAAAAAAAATAATACTAAGATGCCTATTCAAAAGCAAATAACTAGGAAATAAAATCATGCGAGATAAGACTTTTGCCACAAGATTAGGAGTCTATTGCTAACTAAACTAGACTAAGTCCTCCTAGAACGTGCTATTGTAATAGCTCCCTCCCCTAAAAACATTCCTTATCCTCGAGGAGAAGGAAAATTCAAAAATTCTTGAGAGAAGGACGACCTTGATGATCCATGTTGTAGCAAATTCGGTCGTGTTCAACCACTTGGACTAAAAATTCATGTTTCTTACCATATTCGTGTATATCAAGGATTGATGATGGCTTCTTTTCGATGGGAGAGTCTTTACGAAAAATTCTATGTTTGTCTCGAGCTCATGCTCCATCTCAATGAAAAAAAGCTTTTTGTAAGTATGGCCAACCATATAAGCCTTATCACAATGGAAGCATAGCCTTTATCGTTGTCTTTGTTGTAGCTCCGTGGGTGTGAATCGTCGAACCGAAGTAGAAGGGTTAAGAGAGGGTGACTAATTCATGAATCCTCCGAGCTTTAGTCTATAATGGATTCTCTTTACGGGTTACTTCGGTGGGTTTTGGCTCGGTTCGTTGTCCGAACAAAGGACCGAGCCATGGATCTTGGGCCTTGCTAGCCCTACTCTCAAAAATCTCGGCCGGCCCAATGGCCTCATTTAGAGCGAGTGGGCATTGAGCTTACATATCGACTGCGGGTGCTCCATTAGGCCACTAAGGAAGGCCACTTACTTCTGGTCATCAATTAAACTTTCTTGCTTTAACCACCAGCTCGTCAAATTAGATTTGGTATTCCCAAACTGTGTCCATTTGTTTAAGTTTACATAAATCGGCAAATGAATTTTCATAAGAAAAGATACCGAATCATTTCGAAGTCGCTCCTTCAATTCTTGTCATGTAAGTAGTAGGTGTAAATTCTTTTAATGTTGGGCCCACCATTGGGCATCTCTTTTGAGATGGTAAGTTGATAAGCACATTTGTTCTTCTAGAGCGATGCTCCGGAAGTTAAAAAGTTATTCCACTCGACTAATCTAGAGTGTGGGGTCTTCACGATCTTCTATCCGGATCGACCAACCGAAGCGACCTCGGGTCCAAAAAGAGGGATTGGCTCCATCTTCGATCCACGAAATAAGTAAAATAATGTCAAAAGTAATGGTATTTCACATTCGTCGAAGCTCCCACTTATCCTACACCTCTCAAGTTATTTCATAAAGTCGGGCTAAAGTCAAACTCAACAAGGTCTTCTTTCCTCGTTGATTTTGCCAAACTTGTTCCCTTGGTCGTGGTTTTGCTAGATAGCAAACATGGACGAGTGGGAATCTCGTTAATTCATTTATGTGCGTCACTAATTAGATGAAGAATTATATCTGCTACTACTCATCGATTCACGCCAATGGAGCTTCAACAAAGGCGTCGCTAGGGACTATGCTTTCATTATGATGAACCCTTCATAGTGGACCATGCTTGCAGAAGCTCTTATACATTGAGTTGGAGCAAGGAATTGATACACCATCAAAAATTTCCTTAGAAGAATTGACCACCGAGGAGTAAGAACCACCTGCCATTTCTCTCCATGCTCTCACTAACGTCCTCTCTCCCCGGACCATGCGAGTGTGTGCTAGGATCGCAGGACACTCTATCGTAGTTCTAATTAATTCGGGGTCAACACACAACTTCTTACGCGAAGGTTGGCTTGGATGGTCGGTCTCCACATTGAACAGAGACCCTTATTAAAAGTGATGATTGCCAATGGAGATAAGCTTAGTAGTTTGGGTTTTTGCCGGTAAGTACCACGAGTTCTTCTTAACTCTATATTCCAAATTGATTTTCTATTATTACCATTGGAGGGTTGTGATGTAGTATTGGGAGCTCAATAGCTTTAAACGCTTGGATCCATTTTGTGGAATTTCAAAAGCATGGAGATGAAATTCACAACGGGATCCTAAGCGGTAACTTTAAGGAGACTCAAAACCCCTAATGCACGATTGGTGGGGACAAAGACACCGCAATGGGTATTAAAACAAACACGGGGGCGTGGCAAGAAGCAAGAATTTTTGGTCCAATGGTTGAACAACTGCTGAAACGAGATACCATTTGGGTCGGCTAGGCCGCCTTCCGTCGGGAATTTTCGAATTTTCCTTCTTCGAGGACAAGGAGTGTCTTAGCAAAGGAGAATTGCTACAAACCAAACCACCACGTGTTCCTTTGAAACTTAGTCCACTCTATTATCTATTAGTTATTAGAATGAATCTATTTATTCCTTTAGAATAGGTTAGACTTAGGTTAAACGCTTGGATCCATTTTGTGGAATTTCAAAAGCATGGAGATGAAATTCACAACGGGATCCTAAGCGGTAACTTTAAGGAGACTCAAAACCCCTAATGCACGATTGGTGGGGACAAAGACAACTGCAATAGGTATTAAAACAAACACGGGGGCGTGGCAAGAAGCAAGAATTTTTGGTCCAATGGTTGAACACTCGCTGAAACGAGATACCATTTGGGTCGACTAGGTCGCCTTCCGTCGGGAATTTTCGAATTTTCCTTCTTCGAGGACAAGGAGTGTCTTAGCAAAGGAGAATTGCTACAAACCAAACCACCACGTGTTCCTTTGAAACTTAGTCCACTCTATTATCTATTAGTTATTAGAATGAATCTATTTATTCCTTTAGAATAGGTTAGACTTAGGTTAAACGCTTGGATCCATTTTGTGGAATTTCAAAAGCATGGAGATGAAATTCACAACGGGATCCTAAGCGGTAACTTTAAGGAGACTCAAAACCCCTAATGCACAATTGGTGGGGACAAAGACACCGCAATGGGTATTAAAACAAACACGAGGGCGTGGCAAGAAGCAAGAATTTTTGGTCCAATGGTTGAACAACTCGCTGAAACGGATACCATTTGGGTCGGCTAGGTCGCCTTCCGTCGGGAATTTTCGAATTTTCCTTCTTCGAGGACAAGGAGTGTCTTAGCAAAGGAGAATTGCTACAAACCAAACCACCACGTGTTCCTTTGAAACTTAGTCCACTCTATTATCTATTAGTTATTAGAATGAATCTATTTATTCCTTTAGAATAGGTTAGACTTATGTTATTGATGCTTTTCTTAGGATTATGCTATTTCAATGGTTGGTTCCATTTTATCTAATTAGTATACGTTATTTCGCTTCTATTGCTATTTCGGTATTAATGAAGGCTATATAAGGCCTTCAAGTTATCAAATAAAGATATCAAATTCTTAATTATAATACTATTTGCTTCGCAAATCATTCGATTTGCTTTTATCGATCCGTCAAGATAGCGCATGGAAGGACGCGAACATGGGGTCGAAGCATAAGTCGTGAAGAGGTCCGGTACATAACAATGCTTTTCCGCATGTCTAAAAATTTCAACGTCATGTAATAAACTCGTCATATGCTTTTAAGCTTTGGAAAGACAACAATTTTTTGCCGGCATTCAACTACTTTTTCCATAATTTACGAGCACAAACGAATAGTTTGCTCGACGGGAGGAGTTCATGATAAACTCCAAGTTGCTTGAAATTGAAACACAAAAATAATTGGCAACGTTTTGATCGAATTAATTTAAGATACATGCTTGCCACATCCGTCCATATTTTATTTTTCCATTAATCTAAAATTCTTACAAAGCCTAACCATGCTGATTAGTTATAAGCGTATCGGACAAGTTGATATCATACATTAAACATGAATTATACTATTCATATTCCCTTACTAATATCTATCAAAAAAAGAAAAATTAATTCTCTCTTAATTAATTAGTAAACCTAAGTGAAAATTTACATTTGATAAATCGAAACCCCGAATAAAGATAAAACAGATTCATGTGGCTCTTAAAACTTTGTTGCCATCCGAATAGACTAAGATATTAAAATTAGAATAAAGAAGCTACTTAATCGTAAATGAAAACCACGTGACACTAGTTTCTCTCGTTGTGAAACCCACGTGAGGCCCCGGCCGAATGCATCCGTAGCCTTGTTATTCCGTGATTGAAACAATCATTAGACTAAATGGTATAAACACTAGTACTTGGTATAGTGACAACCTATTCAAGCCACAAAATTTTTTATTCGGCACTTAAGAAATCGGAGGTTGGACTAATTTTCTTTTAAGGCCCAAAATATGATTAAGACCATTAGGATAGGCATGTTTTTAGTTAGTTGCCTTTATATTTAAAAATAAAATATGAGACCATCTCTTTTCATTTTTTCACTCGAATCGAAACATTGTTCTAAGAGTCGAAAAAATAACCATCGAAACTTTACGGATGGAAAAAACACCTCTTCGAGGGAGTCCAAGAGAAGTCGGCGAGTGAAAAGGAGCGTTCGGATGGTCCCGGTTAAGTACCTTCAACAAGGAAACCGAGAACAGGTGATAGGGTGTTTACACTTTACTTAAGGACGAAGAAAGAAAGGGAGAGGAACGAGAGAAAAAGAAAGAAAAAGATAATTAGGAAGAAGACAGAAATTGTAATTCATTCATTATGTCGGTATTGTACCATTCTATATACCAAAAGCATAACAAAATGTAACAATTCATAAGACACGGACCCATAAGCCCATTAGTTTAATAACCACTAAGGACATTAATCCATTAAGCCCCGGATAGTAGTACGTCAATAATAGCTTCCCATCCCATAGTCTTCAAGCCCGTTACGTTAATAAAAAGATTAATGATCTAGGATGTCCCTATATTATTTTATTATGTTATTCTATTTTTAATTTACATCTTAATTTTGTTCCTTTGGTTAAACTTTCTTGTAATTACATTAATTTTCAATGACAAACTTATAGGATGTGGTACTTTAAAAAAAAAATCTGAAAAAAAATTTTAAAAATAAAAAAATTCCAAAATACCTTTCTTTTTCTCTATCTTTGTGTATAGAAATAAATAATTAATTTCATTCGTAATTTTTTTTCTTTCGCTTAAATTCTAAAAAAATTAAAAAAAAAATCCTAAAATGCTCTTCTTTTTAGCCACTTGTTCCTTTTATTCTTATGTTATGAAAAAAATTTCATAATTTTTTTTTTTTTGGTTTGGATTTGAAATAAAATTTCATGATAAATTTCTGAAAAAAATTGCTTCTATTCTTTCCTATACATAGAAAAATTTCTTTTTTGATTTGAATTTAAGAGAAAGGAAAAAAATTGAGAGATGAAATTAATTATTGATTTCTATACATAAAGATAGAGAAAAAGAGAGTCATTTTGAATTTTTTTAATTGTTTTTAGGATTTTATAAACTTTTTTAGACAAAATTTTTTTTTTTAAAAAAAAGCCATGTGTCAACACCATGTGAGTATGTCGTTGGATATTTATGTAGTTATCAAAAAATTGGACGAGAGAGATAACATTAAGCTACAAATTAAGAGTAGAGGGACATCCATGACCTTTAGACCATTAATAAAACTCAATGTAAACCCCATAACAAAAAAAAAAAAAAAAAATCAAAATCGAGTAGTCTGAGGACTATATTCTATTCGAATTTTGTGTAATTTATTTGAGAACTTTAAAGTGATTTTTGGGTAAAACTTACAAAATAAAAGTTGTTCTTCGATGTGTCTACTAGATCTTTGTAAACTTTGGTGATTTTTACTCCTATATATAAAGAGTTATGACCATTTTAGTATAGGTTGGTCTTGAAGCATCAACTGCTGGAATTTTTGGGAAAAGAATGGACAAGGAATTTTTGAGTTTTAAGAAAAGAAAATTCCAAAATTTCATGAAGGAAACTATGTTTATTTACTTAATCAAGTTAATTAGGATGTATATTAAACCTAAATTTTTAGTTAGACACCTAAGCAATATATTAAATGAATTAATAGCCAACTTACCCATTTTTGTCCCAAACCCACCACCTCTTACATGATCGACCATAACTTTTACATCTTGTCTCATTAATTTTCAACACTTGTAACTTAATTCACTTAAAAGGGAAAGTAAGTATATATATACATAGGAAGTGTTAAGCTGGAATTTTTAGCAAACCAAAACCACCAAATTGGGAGAAAAAAATGGCAAGAAAGAGAGAAAGAAAAAGGAAAGAAAAGGAAAAGAAAGAAAGAAAATCTAAGGAAATCCAACCACATCTAAGCTAAGTAAGTAGGTTTATTTATGCTTTTACATGTCCATTTTTATGTGTTTGAGTTATGTATTGGTTGAGTTGTTTGATATATTGTTCGAGCTTAGTTTGTGTTGGTGGTTGTTTGATGCCTTGGCTTGCTCTACTTGTGGATGTTGTGTAGGTGATGAATTGTGATATTTATAATGCCTAGTGCATGTCCAAGTATGTGATGATGAGTTGGATTAGACTTGGAATGAAATTTAATTGGACTAAAACATGGTTAATGTGGGTTAGAATGAATGGCAAAATCGGTGTTATTGAGGAGTAGTTTCGTTCGACTTTAGTATTACCAATTCAAGGACCTTAGGTTGATTTCTAGGTGAATCTTAAAGAATAAAAGTTTTTTTTTTATCTATTTCTCGAATAACTCCATCTAAAATATTTTTATTATTAGGTTTTTATAGAAACATTTATGACCGTTTCGAGTACGGACTATGCTTGGGTGAACTACTACTGGACTGATTGAATCTTAAACTTCAAAATTATGTTATGAATTGTGTGTTTGGTAATTAAACCTAATTTTTAGATATGTTATGAATAAATATGTCTAGTTTATAATAAAAAAAGATAGGATTTAATTATTCTCGAAGTTGGTACGTTGCATACTTGATTAGAGGTCGCTCTATAATAAACCATAAATTGGAAATGAGGGGAAAATGAATTCCTAGGGTTTCACTCAAGAACCCTTTCGGCCTAAGTAAGAAAATGAGTAAGATTAGATCCATTCTATGTAATTAAAGACATAGAACTCAAGTACAATTTAATTAGGTGTACATTAGTAAGTTGAGATGAAAAAGTTATCTTTGGCCACTTTAAGGACATATTCGGCTTAAACCCTAAACTGTGGAGATTTGGATTTCAATCCTTCAATTCCATAATTAATGGTTTGAATACACCCTAATAAGTATAAGAGGACATTTAGATAGAAAAAAAATTTCTAGGTAAATCGAAATTTTGACCTAGAACATTTAAAAGCTCGAGTACTGACCCAAAATGCCTCAATTTGAGTTCGGAGAGAAAATGTCACCTTAGTTGTTTTAACCGATTTAAAATGCTACCGATTACATACTTCAAGTGAAGGTTAATTGTACGGTGAGACTTACTAAATTTAATGGGAGGAAAGTGCCTACGTGCAACATAAAACTTATGACTTGACTAATATGAGTCAACGGTAATTGATTTTCATTGGGGGAAATATTATGAAAGTGATATGGGAATATATAAAAAACCCTATATGGGTTGGATATTGAGAATGATTTGGTAGTCTAGGGTCCGACACCTATAGGGTGTTTAATAAGGTAAATGTAACTTTACGTAAATCATATGCATTCGAAGATGGATTGAATTGATTGCTAAGGAGTTCATGATAAACTCCAAGTTGCTTGAAATTGAAACACAAAAATAATTGGCAACGTTTTGATCGAATTAATTTAAGATACATGCTTGCCACATCCGTCCGCATTTTATTTTTCCATTAATCTAAAATTCTTACAAAGCCTAACCATGCTGATTAGTTATAAGCGTATCGGACAAGTTGATATCATACATTAAACATGAATTATACTATTCATATTCCCTTACTAATATCTATCAAAAGAAGAAAAATTAATTCTTTCTTAATTAATTAGTAAACCTAAGTGAAAATTTACATTTGATAAATCGAAACCCTGAATAAAGATAAAACGGATTCATGTGGCTCTTAAAACTTTGTTGCCATCCGAATAGACTAAGATATTAAAATTAGAATAAAGAAGCTACTTAATCGTAAATGAAAACCACGTGACACTAGTTTCTCTCGTTGTGAAACCCACGTGAGGCCCCGGCCGAATGCATCCGTAGCCTTGTTATTCGTCACCGAAACAATCATTAGACTAAATGGTATAAACACTAGCACTCGGTATAGTGACAACCTATTCAAGCCACAAAATTTTTTATTCGGCACGTAAGAAATTGGAAGTTGGACTAATTTTCTTTTAAGGCCCAAAATATGATTAAGACCATTAAGATAGGCATGTTTTTAGTTAGTTGCCTTTATATTTCTAAATAAAATATGAAACCATCTCTTTTCATTTTTTCACTCGAATCGAAACACTTTTCTAAGAGTCGAAAAAAATAACCATCGAAACTTTACGGATGGAAAAAACACCTCTTCGAGGAGTCCAAGAGAAGTCGGCAATGAAAAGGAGCGTTCGGATGGTCCCGGTTAAGTACCTTCAACAAGGGAAACCGAGAACAGGTGATAGGGTGTTTACACTTTACTTAAGGACGAAGAAAGAAAGGGAGAGGAACGAGAGAAAAAGAAAGAAAAAGATAATTAGGAAGAAGACAGAAATTGTAATTCATTCATTTTGTCGGTATTGTACCATTTCTATATACCAAAAGCATAACAAAATGTAACAATTCATAAGACACGGACCCATAAGCCCATTAGTTTAATAACCACTAAGGACATTAATCCATTAAGCCCCGGATAGTAGTCCGTCAATAATAGCTTCCCATCCCATAGTCTTCAAGCCCGTTACGTTAATAAAAAGATTAAAGATTTAGGATGTCCCTCTATTATTTTATTATGTTATTCTATTTTTAATTTACATCTTAATTTTGTTTCTTTGGTTAAACTTTCTTGTAAATATATTAATTTTCAACGACAAACTTATAGGATGCTCGACATGTGGTATTTTTAAAAAAAAAATCTGAAAAAAATTTTAAAAATAAAAAAATTTCAAAATACCTTTCTTTTTTTCTATCTTTATGTATAGAAATAAATAATTAATTTTCATTTGTAATTTTTTTTCTTTCGCTTAAATTCTAAAAAAATAAAAAAATCCTAAAATGCTCTTCTTTTTAGCCACTTGTTCCTTTTATTCTTATGTTATGAAAAAAATTTCATAATTTTTTTTTTTTGGTTTGGATTTAAAATAAAATTTCATGATAAATTTCTGAAAAAAATTGCTTCTATTCTTTCCTATACATAGAAAATTTTCTTTTTTTATTTGAATTTAAGAGAAAGAAAAAAATTGAGAGATGAAATTAATTATTTATTTCTATACATAAAGATAGAGAAAAGAGAGTCATTTTGAATTTTTTTAATTGTTTTTAGGATTTTTTAAACTTTTTTAGACAACTTTTTTTTTAAAAAAAGCCATGTGTCAACATCATGTGAGTATGTCGTTGGAAATTGATGTAGTTATCAAAAAATTAGACCGAGAGAGATAAAATTAGGATACAAATTAAGAGTAGAGGGACATCTTGGACCTTTAGACCATTAATAAAACTCAATGTAAACCCCGTAACAAAAAAAAAAAATCAAAATCGAGTAGTGTCGAGGACTATATTCTATTCGAATTTTGTGTGATTTATTTGAGGACTTTGGTGATTTTTACACCTATATATAAAGAGTTATGACAATTTTAGTATAGGTTGGTCTTGAAGCATCACTGCTGGAATTTTTGGGAAAAGAATGGACAAAGAATTTTCGAGTTTTAAGAAAAGAAAATTCCAAAATTTCATGAAAGAAACTATGTTTATTTACTTAATCAAGTTAATTAGGATGTATATTTAACCTAAATTTTTAGTTAGACACATAAGCAATATATTAAATGAATTAATAGCCAACTTACCCATTTTTGTCCCAAACCCACCACCTCTTACATAACTCACCATAACTTTTACACCTTGTCCCATTAATTTTCAACACTTGTAACTTAATTCACTTAAAAGGGAAAGTAAGTATATATATATACATAGGAAGTGTTAAGTCTGGTGGGAATTTTTAGCAAACCAAAATCACCAAATTGGGAGAGAAAAAATGGCAAGAAAGAGAGAAAGAAAAAGGAAAGAAAAGGAAAAGAAAGATAGAAAATCTAAGGAAATCCAACCACATCTAAGCTAAGTAAGTAGGTTTATTTATGCTTTTACATGTCCATTTTTATGTGTTTGAGTTATGTATTGGTTGAGTTGTTTGATATATTGTTCGAGCTTAGTTTGTGTTGGTGGTTGTTTGATGTCTTGGCTTGCTCTACTTGTGGATGTTGTGTAGGTGATGAATTGTGATATTTATAATGCCTAGTGCATGTCCAAGTATGTGATGATGAGTTGGATTGGACTTGGAATGAAATTTAATTGGACTTGGAATGAAATTTAATTGGACTAAAACATGGTTAATGTGGGTTAGAATGAATGGCAAAATCAATGTTATTGAGGAGTAGTTTACGTCCGACTTTAGTATTACCTATTCAAGGACCTTAGGTTGATTTCTAGGTGAATCTTAAAGAATAAAAGTTTTTTATCTATTTCCTGAATAACTCCATGTAAAATATTTTTATTATTAGGTTTATATAGAAAAATTTATGTCCATTTTAGTACAGTATGTGCTAGGTGAACTACTGCTTGGACAAATTGAATCTTAAACTTCAAAATTATGTTATGAATTGTGTGTTTGGTATTTAAACCTAATTTTTGGATATGTTATGAATAAATATGTCAAGTTTTTAATAAAAAAAGATAGGATTTAATTATTCTCGGAAGTTGGTACGTTGCATACTTGATTAGAGGCTGCAGTATAATAAACCATAAATTAGAAATGAGGGGAAAATGAATTCCTAAGGTTTCACTCAAGAACCCTTTCGGCCTAAGTAAGAAAATGAGTAAGATTGGATCCATTTTATGTAATTAAAGACATAGAACTCAAGTACAATTTAATTAGGTGTACATTAGTAAGTTGAGATGAAAAAGTTATCTTTGGCCACTTTAAAGACCTATTCGACTTAAACCCTAAACTATGGAGATTTGGATTTCAATCCTTCAATTCCATAATTAATGATTTGAATACACCCTAATAAGTATAAGAGGATATTTAAATAGAAAAAAAATTTCTAGGTAAATTGAAATTTTGACCGAGAACATTTAAAAGCCCAATCTAGCCCAAAATGCCCTAATTTGGGTTCGGAGAGAAAATGTCACCTTAATATGTTTTAACTGATTTAAAATGCTACTAATTACATACTTCAAGTGAAGGATTAATTGTACGGTGAGACTTACTAAATTTAATGAGAGGAAAGTACCTACATGCGACATAAAATTTATGACTTGACTAATATGAGTCAACGGTAATTGATTTTCCTTAAAGGAAATATTATGAAAGTGATATGGGAATATATAAAAAATCCTATGTGGGTTGGATCTTGATAATGATTTGGTAGTCTAGGGTCCGGCACCTATAGGGTGTTTAATAGGGTAAATATAACTTCACGTGCATCATATGCATTCGGAGATGGATTGAATTGATTGCTAAGGTTATTCGGTAGTAATCGATTGTCGAGGTTATTCGAGCAGTAAATGATTGTCGAGGTTATTCAGCGATGAATCGATTGTTGAGGTTATTCGACGAGTAAATGATTACCGAGGTTATTGGGTAATCACCGAGAATAGAGTAGACTTACTAATATCCAAGGTACCCTTAACATTTCAAATTGATGAGAATAGTGGAGGCAAATGAAAAAACATTGCATAACACATGCATCACCCTACTTATTGAGCTTCGGCCCACCTCGTTTGTTTTTGCATGCCATGACGAGTAAAAGCAATGTTAATACTAATAAGGGCACTGCTGGATCCTCCAAAAAGGCTCACATGTGACACAATTGTATCGAAATTTCTCTTGATTGTAATTTTGGGGTTGGGGTATCGAGGAACATTTTGATGTTGTTTTAAATAAATTTTATAATTTCTTTCAATGTATTGTTAATATTATGTAAATTATTTTGTACGCGTTTCATGATATGATAAATCTTTAACATATAAGCACGTATGTGCCTAAGGTTAATTAGAAGACTGGTTGTGTCGGCGTGATGCGCCTTGCTTGGCCACCCTTATTTGGGTAATAGAGAGTGGATCGGGGCGGGGGCGTCATAGGGTGTTATCGAGCCTTGGTTTCATAAGTCGGGTAGTGTTTTAAGTGTCACATGAGCTTAAGGACTAGTACGCTCCTGGACGGTAAAAAACTTATTCATTATTTTTATTTGGTTAATAAATGTATGTCATGGTTGTATGTATTCGAATTAGTATTGACCATAACCTAAAAATTAATGACGATTGTAATTATTCTCGTTGTAGATGCCATATATACGACGTGTTCCCTAGGTTGCTAAGATCCGTAGACGAGAGGGCCTTTCTAGCCGCTTATTGGGTAGAACTAAATAACCTCACTATGACAACGGATCGGGATATAGTGACTCATATCAATAGAGTATATGACTCGATTTAGCAGATAGTATTTGCCGATACCACATTTGAGCAAGATCTGCAACTTAGATTTTATGAGGACGACCATACGTCGAACTCTCCTGCCGAGGACCAGCGGTTGTTAGATGAGGTTTGGACGAGTCAAATAGATCGTAATTCTTACCAAAACCCGATCCGAGCTTTCCTACCGATGCAAGTTATACGGACCCTTACCCGACTCATGTATAATTGGGGTCTACCTGTAGGTATTGCTCGTGAGATAGCACTTACTCGTATCGGTCGATGCTATCAACCGGTGGCGAGTAGAGGGCGTCTTTCCTCGACGCGTCCGATACGTTAATTGCCACGTTAGACATACTATAAGGAAGATATAATATGCAACATAGTAATTTTTGTATGATTTTTGATGTAAATAAGAGCAACTTCTTGGTTGTCAATATGTACGAAAACCCTTAGGAGGGAAAATGCTTGTAAATGCCTGTTTTGTACGAAGTGCTTAATATATATGATACATATGTATAATCTCGTACGTACCTAGATGATTTACACTATATGTTGATTTCGATACCAAAACTAACATAAGCATAACATGGCATGTACAAAATCCAAGCATGCCAAGAAAGGAACTAACACGAGCGAAGGTGAAGGGACCTCCAATGATCACAATAGAAATCAACATGATGCTTTAAGTCGCATGATGAACATGATGTAGTAATAACAACAAGCAATGCGACAATAGCAACAAGACCATACAGAGCAAATGAGACAACTCCCGGCTATGCATCAACAACCTCCACCTTCGCCACCCCGAGCGATAGGAATGATGCGGTGGAGAGGTTTCGTAAGATGAGTCCTCGGGAATTCTCTAAGGGTGTTAACCTAATAATAGCGAGAGGAATGGATTTAAGTCGTTAGAAGCGATATTTGAATATGTGCAATTTACCAACAATAAACGAGTA